ATTTGGGATGAATCCAACAGCGTGCTCAATAAGTTGCTGATTTTCAGCAGGTTACAACTACTGTTCCTAGGGAGGACACTTCAATCTACGTTCCTCCAAAACATATTGAACGGTATTTTTAAAAATAGCGCTGGAATACATCACTGGACTCCTTCCTCAGAAACTTGGTTTTGTGTTTGTTGGGGTTTTATTTCCTCCCAAATCAATTTTCTAAGCTTTAAGGTAAAACTACAGGTATTTCAGAACAGGATTGAGTAAGGCTTCAGCTCAGCCATTAACACTAAACTGATCAGCACTCTACAACTGGTCCTGCTAGCGGAGGTGAACACATTGAAAACTTGTCCTAAAACTTAAAACTTTGTGTTTTTTTTGTTCTTTTTCCTGTCCACTTGGTGCCAACAATTACAGCAACGATGAGAAAAAGTTATGGAGTGTAATACAATTAAATCACATATCCTTTTTTTTTTTTCCTGCTGGAGACAAATACAGACATCAAATCTCAAACTGTTTTTAGGTTTAAGCAAAGAAGTCCTTGCCTAAAATTAAAGAAGATAATTGCAACACCACGTCACCCTGATTTAAATTAACACAAAATCCATTCCATTCACGCAGCCTTGATATTAGAGTGATGAAGAGCACGTGGAAACCCCCTCCCACTTCATGGTTTCCCTACATGAGGGCCGCAGGATGTTGTGTAAATAAACAGGGCCTCCTAAACTGAGGAATGAGCTTGGATGTTGGTAAAGCAGATCTTCCACTCGTAGCAAGAAAAACTTCACCGCAGCACCCTTCTGGACTCCTGAATGCATTAATTGGGGCTGCAACTCTGGTACATTGGACCAATTTTAAGAAGTCATGATAAAACTGGAAGATAATTTTAGTGGAACTCTAAAAGAATTGCCTGGAAACGTCTCTACACTGCCCCCCACTAGTAAGTCTGTTGTTCCCACTTGCTGTTGTAATAAAATATTGAGGTTCTTCGGTTCCTGTAGCATTTATTGCCCTAACAGCCACACTTTATCAGTGGTTAACAGTTTAACAACGTGTCACTGAACCTTTGGAGCATCCAAAACAGTCTCCCAACGTTCAGGTAGTGTCCGTGGAAAAAAGACAGGGTTAGCAGGCAAACTTATTCAAACTACTCCTGCGACTTAAAACCTTAAATTTTAATACTTTTAAGACTGCCACTCGATTTAACGATGCAGTGTGGCGGCAGCACGGGTCCAAAGCGAGATGTGCTTTGGCAAAATCGTTGGTTATCCCTAAACTTTCACGTTTTTATGGTTTAGGGTTGCGTATAAGCTCAATGATCTTACTTGTTGAAGCCACAGGAATGTTGGGAAAGTTAGTGGTGCTGGTAGTGCTAGCCTCGGTGGGAGCTAACATGGCTGGGGTGCTGTAAGGCTCCGTAGATGCCCTGTTACTCGGCGGGTGCTGGATGGTTTGGACTGAATGTCCTTCAGCTGAAGACAACGACGGCTGCGCCTCGTAATCGTGAACGTATTCGTCTTTCACCAACATGCTTGATGGGGCTGTGAAAAAGAGAACATTTAAACATGCAAAGCAAACTTATTTTCAAGATTTAGCTGCAATTTGGGCTTTTCGAGTGCGAGTTTTTTGCTTTCAAGCAGTAACAATGCCAATGAAACTACCGGGGGAAGAATTTAACCGATATAAATGTTTCTGAAACACTGAGAGAAACATCTTTAAATTACAAATAAGCACTGGATGGCAAAGCAAACCACTTACTTCGTTCAAACTCCCATCAAAATTGACTAGAAATAATACACACCACAAGGAACTTAGGACCATTTCCACCAGAACTTGTTTCTATATATCCTTTTGAGCACATCCAAGTAAAACTCTTACACTAATTTCCTTGCTCGTTTTTAAAGCAACCCTAAATATATTAAAATCTGACTGTAATTTTTCAGTTTCCTGCTCCAAAACCAGCAGCGTGACAAGGAAACAGGTTAAGTATTTAACTGCTGGCTAGTAGGATTCATTTTCCAGAAGCCACTGCTAACACAAATTAGCAGAGATGAGCACTAAGTTAAAAAAAAAATAAATAAAAAAAAAATTAAAAGCTTTTGAAGTCATTTTTGCTCATTTTCTAATAATGTGCTAATAACATGGGACTACTCAAACTTTCTTTTGAGTTTCTTCTGGAAGAAATAATAACATTTTTGAAATAAAGCTGTTATCAGCTGCACAATCTGACTTCTGAGTAAGATCCACTGGACATTTGATGTCCAATTTCTCTCAGTTTTCAGGGAGGTAACAGCATCAACTGCTTCATTCCACTGCATATTAATGACAACGTGTCTTATTTGCCAGTCTGACCACTTGCTTGTTAAACTGCTTATTAAATAAGCATCCATTACAGCCAACGCAGCTAATTAGTTAATTATCCAGGTGTACTTCTTTCATTTTGTTGGGGTTTATGAGTTGCAGGCAATGGAAAGAGAACAAACCTGCAAACTGAGCTGAGGCTTCTAGTTAAATTTATCAGCACGCTTGCCTCTCGTACACTACGTAGTTTGTTTTCCAAAATTGGAGAGAAAAAGCCATTTCTGTCTGCTCTTTATCCTCCCTCCATGCATAGAAATAAATCATGTGCATTTTGAAGAGTATTTAACACAGTTTGTCCCGATAGAAATGTGGCAGGAAACAGAACTGCTTACCAGAACTCTGTAGTGTCAGTCCTGAGAGATCTTTAAAAAATAGAAAGAAAAAAAAAAGGGGGGGGTGTGAGGAAAATTATAACCTTTAAGTGTTTGAACATTAATTTTATAAGCCTTTACGAATTGATGTTATAGATTATTGACTGTTATATAGTCTTCCCCTCCATCACTACACAACTCCCCGTGCTAAATTATTTCTAGAATATACATTAACTGTGTGTGAAGCAAACGAAGGCTCGACCAAAAGCCACAAACTGCTCTTTAACATTGGAAAGAGAGGTTAAAAGAACGATCCCATCAAGCAGATGTACAAAAACACACAAGACTGATTTATAATCAGATCATTAAAAGCGAATATTCTAACGAGGTCTTTATTTTCTACATTCCACAGGCAAAAAAACATTTCCCATTTCATTCCCACCACTGTTCCATCCCGAAATCCAAAGGCTACTTACCGATGCCAGGCGATACTACACGCTCATAATGGTAAGGATTTACACAGACACTGTCACATTTTAAGTCAAAAGCATACTGACAATATTTAACATGCTTGAGTTCATTTTTATGAAGATCGGGCCACCTCCAAAGACGAGCGTAAATCACATGAGGGAATCCCTTGCGACCGGCCACCTAAAAAGTTAGACACAAAAGGTGAGTGGGAAAGGAGCACGGCCTTGCCTTTTTACTGAGCGAGGAGCAAAGCTGGGGGAGGACAAACACAACCTGTCTCCGTTATCAAAATACGAGGGGGGACGAAAAAAAAAAGGGTGGTAAAGTTTACTCAGTTTACTCGAGTTCTGTGCTCAACGGGAATATGCATCTGGTTTTGCTACGGTTAAATCAACACCGTGGTTTTTAAGCAAAAAAAAAAAAGACTGCGTCCAAAATGGCAGAAGCAGAGTTTGTGCTTAATGTCGTGTGTATGTTCACCTTCCCCACCGTGGCTGATGAAAGGAGCTTTGCCCCCAGAAGAAGAGGACCGAGGCGCTAACCTACCCCCGGAAGGAATTTCCAAGTAGCAGAATGCCAATCCGTCAAAGTGACAAAAAAAAATAATAAAAATAATAATAAAAAAATAATAAAATGCTTCGAGGGTAGACAGCGAGCTAGCCAGCAAACACGACATCTGTCCTGGAACGAGGAAATCGCAAGCCAAGCTCGGCAGGTACTGAGTACTGACGACATAAGGCTAACGTACATCCTCAGTGCGGCCTCCTCGGAGTACCTGAGCAAGGGATCTTAGCTCTTTCTTCCCACTGCTGACCAACACAGAGCGAACAGAAGCTTGTCGGGAAAATACCGGGATCAACAGCCGAATTTGGGAACGTGACCCTGGTTTTGTTTTATTTTATTTGTATTTTTTTACTGCCACACACACACACACTCGTTTAGGACGGCTGATCCACCGCCTTCTGCTCCTTTTGGGAAGAAAAACGACAACAAAAAAAATCAACTACGCTTCCTCAACACGCTAGGATCCTGCGTCACTCACTTTTGCTCCAGCTTCGCTAGGAGGAAAACATCTGATTTGTCACTTGTACTAACCTGAAGCCTCCCATCCAGCGTTCTCTGTATTGTAACGCACTTGCTAGGATGAGCTCCATTTGTGGTTATAGCTGTAATCAAAGAATCCAATTCATCTTTTTTCTCCTTTAGCTTTTTAACTAAACTTTCAATTGCCCGTTTGGCAAAAGTTTCACTCTCTCCACCTTGGCGATGGCACATCAAGCTGTGAACAATGCTCAGACAAGCATCATTACTTGTTGGCGTGTTAGTAATAGACATATTGTCCATTTGTCACAGCTTTCTCTTTCAGATCAAATGTCAGTTTTGGGGGCTGTTATGATTCTCAAGCTGATGAACAAGAGATGATCCAAGTTAAGTGTTAGATGTACTGTCTCTTGGTAAAACCTAGGAGGAAAAAATAGCTACATTAGAATTGTTTCTTTAACAAATTGCAGAGCATGTTTCTAAGGAAGCCTGTGGCTTTTTTTTTTTTTTTTGCTTCTTTTATTTGCAAGCTAAGTGCGGGATATTAAAAGCACATCAGGAAAAAAAAAATCTCTATCGCTTGTCCCGTGATAGCTAAAACATGCTTAAGACACTGCCTGCACAGGTTTAGAAATGAGATTTTTGGGTTTTTTTCCCCTAGTAACAGCGGTTAAATATCCATGTACACGGAGGGTGTACATCTAGGAAGGCAGGAAAAGGAGGAGAGGGGCTTCCATCTCCTACGCTTTGCACCGGGAGGGTGCAGCCAAGGAAAAACATCGCCTGGGAATCCGGGGGGCGCTGATTCCACCAAAATTCGGAGAGCTAAAAAGCACGAATGCAAACCAGAATCGCCTGTCGCCCTCCTTTCATCCTCAACTCCAGTCAGCAAGGCGCTGACTTCAGACTCGAGCAAAAAGCTGCCCGGCAGCTCAGCTCACTCTGAATTAACCCTGCTCGTGTCTTTGCGCTCGGGAACTCCACGATCTCTCTCCTCGGTTCTTTCCAGCTCCTTCTGGGTCAAGATAAATCAAGCGAAGTCGCTGAGAGCCTGTTTCCAAATGGGCTCTGTCAAACAGAGCGGCTTGAACTAAAGGTACGGCAAGGAGTGAGCTCGCCCTTACGCCTTTAGCCTTTCGATTTTGTTTTAAAGAAGCATTTGCAGCGGTTTCTGGTCCTCGTGGCGCTCTCCCAGCTAGCAGACCTCCTCTTTTCCAAGTTATTTCCTGAAATTAGAAGAGCTGGCCTGATTTGGGGGATTCTACGTGAACTGATCAGTGCCTTACCTAGCCCTTCAAGTTCCTCCCTCGGTGCTAGGTTTTTTTTTTTTGGCGCTTGGACTCGATAAAGCCTCTTTTGAAAGTCAAGCCCAACCTGCCAGTCCTTCTCCATGGCAACCTGCGCTCGTAAGAAAGCCGGCAAAGCTCGCCAGGACATCGCTCGCCTTCGATACGAGGCGGCATCCCGGAGAGACACGCGGAAATCATCAGGAATAAGGGACTAGATAAAGCTAGCAGCCCCAAAAAAAGCCTTAAATAAGCACTTAACCCCAGGAACGCAGCTCCACGCGCCTCGAACTGGGAAGAATTTCGCTCGCTGGCTTGCAGGGGAATAAAATCCGGCAAACACAAATCCTTTTGGAAGTGGAACGATCTCCAGAAACGTTGAGTCACAACCCCCCCCCCCCCCAGCTGCCACCGCACTCAATAGGAGCTTCTGAGGGCTCAGCAGTTTTCGGAAAGCCGGGCCACTTGTTCGGGATTTGCGACGCCGCTGGGGCGCAACTGCGGGGTCATTCGGGAGCCTGGCTTACCAATCCCTCCCCCCCCGGGTTTAATCTTGGGGTTTTGAGCCCCAAAAACCTGGCACCTATTGAGAAATGCGGTGAGATTTCTTGGGAAGCACTTAAAGCGTTTAAGAGCTCCCCTCCGGTTTGGGATTCCGCTTTTGGGATGATGAGGAGAGGGAGCACGAAGAAAACAGCAGCAGGAGGCAGCGCTGGAGCGAAGCTCCTGGAACGAGACCCGAGCGGAGCACGGGAGGAAAAGGCACCAAGTGCTTCACCCCACCTCAAGGAAAGTCATTTAACTTGGGAAAAAAAAACATATTAAAGGCACTCTGCGTCCCGTAACGCAAAGGGGATCCTCGAGGGAGGAAAACAAAGCAGCTCGGATGGTCAGATAGCTAAAAACACCTCTGATTATCCCCTGCAAACACGCCCCTATCTCGAAACCAACCCCAAACCACGACCGGGACGCCGCACGCTTACGGAGATGACACGAAGGAACACGAGCCAGCGGTCCTACAACCCCACAGAGCTCGGGGAAGAGGGTTAATCCCGGCCCCACGGCACCCTGACACACTACCCGCCCCGTTTACAGTAGGGTCGGAGCCAATCGCGGCCGCGGAGGGCTCGAATTCCCCCAGGAACTCGGGCTCTAAAAATGTGGCCGGTCCAAATGCCACCGGATAATGACTTTAAGGTACGGGCAGAAGGCCAAAAACCACCCCTCACCCCTCCGGGGCACTTTGGGAGCACGTTTTATCCCGTTTTATCCCTCGTTTTCACTGCAAACCGCTTCTTTTCCAGCCCCGAGAGAAGCGGAGAGCCTGAAGGCCGTTTGCTGGACGCATCACGCCATTCAGCGGGGTGATGAGGAGCGACTGAACGGCAATTTGGAGCGTTTTAGGTGTTAAAAGAAAACATTAAGTGGCGTTATTTTTAAAAAATCAAGTGTTTTCTTTCTGTGTGTATGGATATTTATAAAAATACACGCGCTTTGCAGCCGTGGCACAACTGGAAGAAGCGTTTCCGTGCAGGTGGCAGGGTAACACGGGGCTTTTGGGAAGCTTTTGGTGCTGAAACGAAGCAGCCTCGTGGGCAAGAAGCTCCCGATACAGCGGTGAAAGCCCAGAAGGGCGACAAACACCCCAAATAACAGGGTGAGGGGACACTCTGGGGCCGGGGGCGTGAAATAAACACCAAAATCACTTCAAATCCTAACGATTAACTCCAATTAGTCCATTTTAAAGCAAGCGCACGGCTAGAAAACAAATAAATAAATAAAACAAAAAACCCACGAGCCTTTATCTCTTGCTGGAAGAAAACTTCCAGGTGTTTTAGGGTTCCAGGTATTCAAGGAACGACGGCGGCGGCGAAAAAAACACCACCCTGGCACCTCTCTGCCGGCCCAGCACGGATTTTAAATCCTGCAAAGGTGCACCCCGCATCCCGGCTTCCCCTCCCCTCCCTTTATTTATGGTTGTTTTTTTTTTTTAGGGAGAACGTAGACAGCTCAAAAATCTCTTTTCAATACAAGCTTTTGTACAGTCAGAGAAAGAAGAGCAGCGAACAGCACGAGCCGAGGAAGGGAAGCGAATTCCTTTCCAGCTGCTCTGTCTGAGCCGCCCAGCGGGACTCCGTGCCCGTCCCCCTGCCTAAGAGGGGGTGAAGGAGAAAGGGGAAAGAGCCCTCGTGCAGCAAGCTGCAGGTGGCAGGGCCACAAAACCCGGGCTGGGCTCTTCCTCGGAGCATCCTACAAGCCCCATCTTCCCGCAGGAGGCTTCCCTCGGCGAGGGCAAACAGCAATTTGCCCGAACCTCACAAACAGAGGCAACAATTGCGGCCGAAGCCAGCAACACGAGGCGCAGGCACCGATTCCTCCCTCTCGGCCAGCGGTTTTTTGTTGTTTTTTATGTGTTTTTTTTTTCCCGACGCCCCGGCACTGGGGCGCGCGGGGTAACGTCTGCTCCTCGCTCGCCGGGATAACGTCCTCCGCGCTCGAGAAAAAAAAAAGAAAAGAAAATAAAAAATAATCAAGGAATAACTCCGGGGAAAAGCCAGCGTGGAAAATGCCAGCCCTGAGCCAAAGCTGGGGGGGGTTTTTGGCGAGGTTTCCGAGGTGGGCAGCCGGCGTCCTGATGTTCGCAGCGGACCCTAAAGCTTTGTTCTCCTCGCTCCCAACTCGGCCGCCCATTGTGCGAGGCGAGGCGTGAGGAGCCTTCCAAAGCTCCTGGTGAGGAGGAGCTGAGCTGGAAGGGGGGGGGGGAGCAGGCGAGAAAACTTTCTCCCAACCCGCTCGCAACCAGCCAAAAGCCCCAGAGCTCCTTCTCGGGGTGAGGAGAGCCGGGTACGAAGGATAAATAAACCAGCAGCTGAGGGAACGGCGCTGCCAGGCCTTGCTGAGAGCTCCCAGAGCCCTCAAGGGGCCCAAGGGGATGAAGGGGGGGGGGCAGCGAGGCTCTGAGGGGGGCCAAGGGGGGTGCAGCCCCCTGAGGCCTGGCTGGGGGTGCTGAGGGGGGGGCTGAGCGCTGCTGCCGGGCGCGGATGTTACCTGGGGCCGCTCTCCAGGCTCGGCCGCGCTGCCGGGGCCGGCCCCGGTGCGGCGGAGCGGGGCCGGGCCTCGTCCTCCTTCCTCCTCCTCCTCTTCCTCCTCCTCAGCCGCCCCCCCCCCCTCCCAGCCCCGGCCCAGCCCTCCCCGCCCCGCTCCTTGGCGGTGGCGGCGGCGGCTCTCGAAGGGCAGGGCAGGGCCGGGCCCGGCCGCCCCGGCACGGCCGCGGGGCTGAGGCGGCCGTGAGGCGATGGCGGCGGGCGGGCGGGCGGGGAGGGGGAAAGGGGGAAAAGGGAAAAAAAAAAATTAAATAAAAAAATTAAAAAATAAAAAGGGAAGGGGGAAGCCGGGGTTATAAAAGGGGGGGGAGGGGAAGGGGGGGGGGCGGCCGCGCTCCGGCCGCTCGAGCTCCGCCGCCGCCGACACGTCCGGGCCGCCCGCTGCGCATGCGCCGCATCCGGGCACCCGCCGGGCGCTGAGGGGATGGAAAAAGGGCGGGACCGGGAGGGGAGAGGGGGGGGGGGGAGGGGGGAAAGGGGGGAGCGCTGAGGGGATTTGTGGCGGGGAAGGGGGGAAAGGGGGAAAAGGTGTTGGTAAATGGCCCCAAAATGGGAAAAGTGCACGATTATAAAGCCTCGCAAGTGCGAAATTGCCCAGCTAGCAAACCCCACAATTGTGAAGCCTCGCAACTATAAAACGCCTCAACTGCAAGACCCTACAACTGCAAAACCCCTCAACTGTAAGACCCCACAAAGCCCCACAATGGCAAAACCCCACAACTACAAGACCCCACAAGTGTAAAATCCCCCAACTACCAAGCCCCACAACTGTAAAGCCACACAAATGCAAAGCCCCACAACTACAAAACCCCACAAAGACCCACAACTACAAGACCCCACAACTGCAAGACCCCTCAACTTCAAGACCCCTCAAAGCCCCATGATGGCAAAACCCCACAACTGCAAAGCCCCACAACTTCAAAACCCCCAACTACAAGACCCCACAAGTGTAAAACCCCTCAACTACAAAACCCCTCAACTATAAGACCCCACAAAGCCCCACAATGGCAAAACCCCACAACTGCAAAGCCCCACAACTTCAAAACCCCCAACTACAAAACCCCAGAACTGCAAGACCCCTCAACTACATAGACCCTAGAAGTGCAAAGCCCCACAACTACAAAACCCCACACATACAAAACCCCACAACTGCAAAATCCCCCAACTACCAAGCCCCCCAACTGCAAAACCCCCCAACTATAAGACCCCACAAAGCCCCACAATAGCAAAACCCCTCAACTACAACACCCCACAAGTGCAAAATCCCCCAACTACCAAACCCCACAACTGCAAGACTCCACAACTACAAAGCCCCACAACTGCAAGACCCCACAACTGCAAGACCCCTCAACTACACAGACCCCAGAAGTGCAAAGCCCCACAACTACAAAACCCCACAACTACAAAGCCCCACAACTACAAGACCCCACAACTACAAGACCCCTCAACTGCAAGACCCCGCAACTGCAAGACCCCACAAACGCCAAACATCACCAACAAAACCCCAAGAAGCGCAAAGCCCCGCAGAGGCAAAACCCTTCAAACGCAAACGCCGCAAACACAAAACCCTACATGTGAAACCCCAGGACGTGTGCAGCCCCACAAATGCAAACCCCATAAATGCAAAACCCTGTGAATCCAAGCCCCACAGATGCAAAACCCTGATAATTCAAGCCCCATAAATGCAAAACCCCATCGAACGCCACAAGGCACCGGCGGACGACGCTTTTGGGGCCGGTGCTGCTGCCTTTGGGGCATCTTTCCACGGGGCAGCCGCCTTTAGGGGCGACGTTTTGCTTGTTAGGGTTTGGCTCGTCGCTCCCCTACAGCCACGTACGCTCTTTATTGAAGAAAATGCGAAGAAGACGGAAAAATTATACACGAGATTTAACTTCCCAGCTCAAAACCTGCCAAATTTGTGCATTTTTATTAGGAAGTTTTTCTTTCTTTCACCTTTCAGGAACCCAGAGAAAGGGAAAAAAGGCTCGAAAACGCCTTTAATGCTCATTTTTTTCAAAAAAAATTGACTTTTTCATGGGGATTTCGAGCGTCATCAAGTCCTCGGCCAACGTGACCTCTTGGCCATCCAACGCCGCCTCCGCCTGCCTCTTCAGCTGGGTGATGTCGGCGTCCCCCTCGCCGAGCCGAGCTTTGTAGCGCTGGCTGAAATGAGTCAAAACCAATTTTTTAGCTCCGCACAGCTTGGCGAAAGCAGACGCCGCTTTTGGGGTGCTGTGGCCGTGCTCTTTGGCCTTCTCCTCCTGGGTGTCGTCCAGCGTGGCTTCGTGGATCAACAAATCGGCTTCGCGGCAAAGCTCCGCGGCTTCGTCCCCGACCGGCCCCGAACAATCCCCTAAAATACAGATTTTTCGGCCGGGCACCGGCTCTTCTAAGACGTCCGAAGGAGAAATGGTTCTGCCATCCTCCAGAACGAGGGAAATTCCGTTCTTCAGTTTCCCGTACGCCGGACCTGGCTGAACTCCTGGCAAAGAGAGGCGAAAAAAAATCATTTAGGACGAGATTTGCTGTATTTAGAGCTGTCTTACTGAAAAAACACGACCTCGGTCTAAGCAGCACTCAACAATTCATCTAGCTCGTACAAAATAAAGCGCGTGTAACCCTATCGGGAAGTGCTTTTGAAGAAAAGTTACGTTCTTCATAAGGGAAATCAATAAATTCCTGCAAAACGCGCTGCCGTCCCTTCCTCGGCAAGCCACAGGGTGCTTTTTAAGCCTTTCTGAGCTTGGTTATTCCTCTCCGTACCAGAACAGGCTGCGATATTAACTGGAATCGGTGGTTTTTACACCAATTCGGATTGCTGCCTTGCTATAAATGTATAAAATCCTCTACTAGAAAACAGAAGATCGAATCTGAATGGATTACAGAGCGGCGCAGCAGCCCTGATTTAACAGAAACCCTACAAAGGTTGTCAGAAAAAGGTTTCAGCTGCTTAACCCCACGGCGTTAAATATGCTGGAAGCTGGAGTCATGAATCTTGGACCTTTATACCTTTAAAAATCAATTAAAAAGAGGAAAAATAAGTAGTAGTAGGAAGTTACCGAGGTCTTTCAGTTTTTCTACGTTGAGTTTCCCAGGCCGGGGCTTCTCTTCCACCACGAAGCCGAAGGAAGGCACGCGGTGGAAGAGGCGAAAGGCTTTCACCACCAGCTGCTCGCTGTCCACCAGCAAGTAGGAGTTTTCCCCGGGATCCAGGTGGAGAATTCTCCCCTGGGCTTCCCGGGGAGGCACCTCGTCTCTCAACAAAGAAAAATCTTTAAATTCTTCTGCAGGGCACTGGTCCCGCGTAGGGACGAGCTCGTGGACAACGTAGGGAAACGCGAGTTGGGAGTGGGAGAGCTCCATGGTCCTCCAGATGAAGTTTCTCAGTCCGATCGGGCCATAAATATCGAGGGGTGGTTTGTTTGGGTCGGGGCTGCTTTGGAGGCTGAGGGTACACAGCAAGCCGGGAAGCCCGAAAAAGTGGTCGCCGTGGAGATGAGTTATGAAAATCTTGGTTATTCTGCCTAGGGATCAGGACAAAAGAGGAAAAAAAAAGGTAAAAAATGAATGAAAAACGTATTTAGCACGCGAAATGATCTGAAATAATAATAAAAAAAAAGCATCCAGTTTTGATTTCAAAGGGCTTTAAAATGCAAGAACCTCGCAGTCCCCTCCTGATTGGTTTTCGGATGGAAAAACTTCACGGCCCAGCTGAGTTTGTGGGTGTCCTTTGGTGTCCAAGCCTTTTGGTGGCTTTTTCTCCTTCCGGGGAAGTCACGCTTAAATTAAAACGACACCACAAGCAGGGAGATTATTCCAATTACCCTTCTGTTCCTCATTAGGGTAGCCAGTTTACGTTTTCCTCTATCACTTCAGGTGCTCTTTTCTGCAAAGCGGGCAGCCACCAAAATGTGCAGCGTCTCCCCTGTTGCAGTTTGTGGACAGAAAGAGGTCAGGGAACCAAAAAAACCACAGTTTTTGCGTGACCGCAACCCTTGGCAGCTGTTTTACCATTTTCATCATGTGTTAAAACTACACAATAAGAAGGACCAAATGTCTTTTGGTTTAAGGACGATTTAAGGACGATCACTACTTTGGTCTGTTCGCTTGCACACTAAATCTGTAGTTTAAAACCAGTCTCTGCTCCCTGTTTCACACTGCAAAGCCAAAGAAATTAATTCAGGAGAGCTTCGTTCAGAAGAGTTTGGTTCTCAAACACAATTCGGCAGCGCAGAGCCATCAGGGACTACGGCACAGCAGGTTCAGCAACCTCCACCCATCCACAGATGCGCACGAATGTTTAGTTAAGTATTTGAGTAACTGGAGCACGAAGGGCAGAGTATTTTGCTTAAATCTCAGGAAACTTTTCAGCACTCACCTGCTTTCAGGTGGCTTTTCATCAGCTGGGTTTGCGTCCCCTCCCCGCAGTCGAAGAGCCAGCACTCGCCTTCTCGGCGGAGCACCAACGCGGACGCCCCCCTCGTTGGAGAGGGGTACGCTGAGCCCGTCCCGAGGAACGTTACATCCATCGACATTTTAAACGTCTCGATACCTGAAAGAGAGATTTTTAACTCACCGAGCAGATGTATTTATACTGAGAAAGCATCAAATGTTGCTCTTTTAAGGGAAGGCGCCTGACATATTTGAGTACCTTATTTTCAGGTGTGTTCCCACTTCACCTCAGCCTTCAGGTGCCTCAACAGTGCTGGGGGCTGAAAGAGCTTCAAGCTGTCGCATCCCCAGGAGGCAGATTTACAGATTTCTCTGCCTTTAGATGAGGATGTTGTGGGGATTAATCCCTCCAAAGCTGAAAAAAAAAAAAAAAAGAGAAGAAACCGGACTGGGGCCTTACGCCCTGCCTTTGTACCCTCCCAGCAGCAGCAGGCAGAGGCTGGGGGAAAGGCAGGGAAGCTCAGATCAGCTTTCTCGATAGGCAGGATCAAAGTTTAATCATTTTTCTATTTTATATCTGCGTGACGGGAAGGTTTCAAAGCCCGCGCCCGGCGCTGCCACACGGCGCTGGCTTCGCTTTCTCCTTTCAACCTCTCGGCGCCTCGCCCCGGCTGGCTGGCGTGAAACAGCATTTTCAGGAGTTTCAGGCAGGAGAAGGCCAAAAAATAATAATAATATATATATAAAAAAGCCACGGTGAGGGCTTTGAAGGTTCCTCCGGGAGCAACGCTACAGGTAGGGCAAGTTTTAATTAAGAAAATCCGCCGGAGAGGCGGCCAGCTCCCAGATGGGACCGCCTCATGCGCGGGGAAGCCGGGCTGCGTCTCTGCCGGCCGTCCTGAGGCTTTTCTGAAGGGAAAATGAGGGAAAAACGGGGTTTTTAGGGCCGTGTGGTGACCGGCTGGTGGGGGAGGGCTCAGCCTCCATCCACCCGCCCTCAGCACCGCGGCCGTAACGGTAACAAAATGCAAGCCACGACCGTAGGAGCCACCAGGCGACCCCCTCGGGCTCCCCTCAGGCTCCCCTCGCTATTTGGGGTCCTTTTTGTCCCGTTCCCGGCCCCATTCCCGTTCCCTTTCCCGGCCCTACCCGTGCGGGTGGCCCCGGCGGCGGCAGGCGGAGCCCGCGCTCTGTGGGGCCGGGCCGGCGGCGGGGCCACCCCCGGGGCCTCGGCGTGAGGAGAATCGCGCCCCGAGCGCCAATTTTAGGGGTTTTTGGGGTTTGCCCAGGGCCAAGCGGTGTGGCAGCGGGCTCCCAGTGGGGTTTGGAAGCTGGGAGCTGTGGGAGCGGTGGTTTGACGCGATTCCCGGCCCTGCTTGTGGCAGCCGGCGGGCCGCGGTTTCCTCTGAAGGATGCAAACTGCCAGGGGACACCCACACAAGGATTTTTCTCCTCATCTTACACATTTCAGCAACAATCCTTACAAATAGTCACAAAAATGTGCCTAAAACCTGGTAATTCACGTCAAATATCCTCCCTCTTCCCCCCCCAACCCCAAACACAGCGTCCCAATCGAGCTGGTGGATGCCACATACACTTGAACCTAAGACTTGTTTGGTTTTATATATTTTTTTTTCCTGTTAAAAAACACCTAAAGATTCTTCAGACCCTTAGAGGCTTCAGTGTAGAGTGCTGTGAAAAAGGCAGATGTTCCAGAAAAACTTCTGAGAGAAAAATTTTAATCGCTTTGCTCACTGTCCACATCCCTGCTTGGTCCCTTTTGTCCCGTTATGAGGGACAAAAATCAAGCAGACTAAAGAAAAAATAAATAAAAGTAAAAAAAAAGTGGGAGATTTGGGTGATTTCTACATAGGTCAAGCATTATTGTTGTAGAAGAAACAAAACCAAATGTAATTTAGGCAAAAGGGAATGCATTTTACTAAGAAAATAGAAGAGCAGAACACACATTTCAGTAGAATTACAGCGTAGAAAGGAGGAAAAAAAAATAAACAGGTCACATTTAAATACAATTTTAGTTTCAACTAAGCAATAACCCTCCAAAAGTAAAGCCAACCCTGGACAGATCAGGCTAGGATCTCACAAGCACTGCAGCACGGAGTCGCAGTGTAAGGTAGATGTGCCTAAGGTAGAAATAATTTTGCTGTTTTATTTATTTTCTCAAAAAAAGTCAATCTTATCGCTGTGCGGTCCTAAAACGATTCGTGTTTTTGTTTCAGAAAGGAAATATTTAAAGGGTGGAGAAGTCTGGTGCTGGATTTGCCTCACAGTTCACCCAGAAGGGGCTTTTTGCTGCCAGGGTAAGATGTGTTTCAGGTCAAGGTAGCTGCAAACGGAATTAGACGTCCCTTCACCAGAGGCATTGCGTTACTCAACTTCAGCTGTCAAGTGGCTGTAATGAGAGCTTTGCTCTAGATTTTCTCCTTGCTCCAGTATTCAATGTAACAGCAGTCCCTGCCTGTTACAAACATCTGTTAGGAAAGGGGACAGTAGGGTTGGTAACGGTGTCGTCTTAAAGAACCCCAAAACGGCAGCGGGTCCTCCTACTGCAGCGTTCCTTCCTGAGCGGCAAGCTGAGAAGTAGTAATTAATTCAAAGCTTAATTACGGCTGAGGAATTGACAAAGCTGAGATTGAATCTGTATCTTTTATTTAAAAAAAATAAAACTAAGATGAAAGGGAGGAGTGACAAGCAGTTACAGATGTGTGAGCTGACGTTTCCAGCTGCTGATGGAAAAAGGAAGGGCTGCACTTTAAAGGCAGAATTCTGCAGAATACTGCAGATTAGAGACGACTCCTGTTTTCCTAACGAGGGTCAAAAGCCCACTGAGGATGAACTCCTGGCCTGAAAAAAACCATCAGAGCGAAGAGACGGCTGCAGAACTTTTTTATTTTGTAAAGCCACGTTCGAATCACGGACTGAGGGCCCTGCCTTTGCCATCGGGCTCAGCCAGGATGCGAGATCAGTGCGTAGGATCCTTTTATCACTCTTCTGCCTAACGAGGACATCGTCAGAAGAGGTGAGGAAGTGTGCGTTGCCAACATCTTTCGATTCACGGAGACAGAACCCCGCCGCCGCGCAGAGCTGCGCTTTCAGAAGGTAAAAACAATCGTCCTCTAAATAAATAAATTCCTTTTTTTTTTTTCTCTCGGTAAGATCACAAATTTAAATACGCTAAAAACAGGCATAGCAAAAATAGATGAAAAAAAAAGCATTCTTTGTAAAAACATCACGTGTACGTGTTGGTCTTTTTCGCGTATACTCACATGGACAAGTTGCAAACCACGTTACGTGGTGATGGGGTGCTCAGAGCCCCGCCGGACAGCATTTTACCACAGTTTGAACGTGCAAAACGTTCCCCCCCCATCACCGTTTTCTGCATTTCGATAATCAGTCTTCTTTCCTCACCTAGGAAGCTTTTGGAAGGCTTTTTCTCGTTGTTTTAAGATCGGAGGCTAGGCAGGAAACGACAGAGATCATGTCCGAAGAGGTACAGAGAGTAGCAGACAACACAGAAAGCCCACCAGACTTCAATTTCTCTTAAGCCGCCCCCTTCTTTTGTTCCTGAACGAATTCTCTCTGCTGTTGCCACAAAGAACGCTGCGTGACACGGCAATTAGAAGACTGATTACGGAAAGCAGAAATAAGTGGTTGTGGAAATCAGCAGCGACGAGAGAGCAGCACGCACATGCAGCTACAACATCGTTAATCAAATTATTTAGCGTGGGGAGGGCTCGAAGGTAGAAACGCGATGTCCTTTCCCGAATTCATCTCTCTCGATGGGTGCCGTCATCCGGACAGTTCACCGGACGCTTGGGGGAGCGGGGAGCGACCTACGTCAAGGGAGAAGGGCAAAAGAGCCACCAAAAGAAGTGAAAATAAATTACAGGACTCAACGGGCATGATTTCAATTGGTCTGAAAAAAGGGATCCCTGCAGAGTAGAAGGTACTGCCTGAGGAGTGAGAGCTTCTGGTCCATCAGTGAACCTTAGACTCCGGCCAGTCGTACACGTCTGGCATGAAGGATTCGTATTCGTAGGTCCAGACTTTGGATCGAATGTACCGGTTCTTGTCCGCAGGCTCGGGGTAATGGAAAGCCATGTTGTTGGCGTACAAAAACTCCATCACCTGCGAAGGCAAAAAAAAACACCGGGCACTTTGTGCCTCTTCCTACGGCCACGCGACGTTCACGCTTCCGTAATATTTCGGACTTAGAAAGACAAATCGCAAAATCTTTGTACAATTCCTGCGCGATCGGGGGCTGAAAACTTTATTTCGGGTTGTTTTTCACACTCACCTTGACGGCGATGTAAATAGAAACTTCCCTGATATTGGACAGCGGAGGGTAAAGTCTTCCCTGGGCGAGCTCCTCGTCAGTCAGCTGCTCCGTCAGCGCCTGAATTAGAAGAGCAACAACTTCTCACCTACCGAATGGGGGCAGGAACGTGCTAAAATACCCGAGAAAACCCCGTTGGGGTGCTCTCACTACTAGAGTTTTCCTAAAGCACTGCGAGAAGGCGGTCAAAAATAATATCCTCGGAGGTCAAGTCTACAATCCGCGCCCATAGCAGGCTTTGTTAAATATTTAACCAAGTTAAACCCAGTTTTTTGGAGGCAGGATGGGAGGAAAAGGCAGGTCCTGCGAGGCTGGGAGGCGATTTACACCCAGATTTACTATTTGGGCGTTCAATTTCGGGATGAAAATCCACGTTTGCAACGGGGGCTGGTATTTTTCGCGACCGTCTTTGATCCAAACCCGTTTTATTTATTTATTTATTTATTTATTCTCCCGACAGGAAGGAAACCAAAAGAAAATCCTCGAGTTTCAGCAAGATTAAGGTAAGCTCCCACGCTTACCTTGGCGGCCTCCAGGAAAACCTTATCACTAATATGTCGAACGCTGCTGAGGATGACAGCGAGAGCCACGCCTACAACAAAACGATCGCCGATTAGGGGCCACGGCGCTTCCAAACGGGCAGCCCTCACGCTCTTCTACGCACACTCAAGGAATTATTCCCGCGTGTGCTCATCGTTTACCCTAAAAGGTGGCTTTTGGCAGTGGGTTGGAGCTGGGGGAAGAAAGGGAGAGAAACTGGAAAACTGAAACTGCTGCTGCATGAATTAGGGAAGCCAGAAAAGCTCCGAAGATTTTGGTTAATACCTGGAAAAATGTAAGCGTTGTTTCCTTGGCCCGGTTTGAAGGTTCTTCCGTCTTCCAGGGTCACCAGGTCGAAGGGGCTGCCGCTGGCGAACAAGCAGCGTCCCTGTGGAGGCAAGGGAAAGAAACCATCAGCGCTTCTGCTCCTCGCTTCCCGAAATGAAGAGGAAGCAGAGCAACGGGCGCTTCCAGAAGGAAACTGAAATAAAAATGAGAAAAGACCCAAAAAGACCAAAAAGAGCGAAAATTAGAAGCCAACAAAAGCCCACGCAGTACAAACAGGCGGTGGCAGAGGGCACTAAAGCACTGCCAGGCTTGCAGAGGAGCCACCTAGCGGGAGAAGGAGGAGGAGGAATAAAAATATAGCGGTGATGGCTTCGTTTCCTTCCAGACTTCCTGGTTTAGCGAGCGAGTTCACAGCAGCCGGGATCAGGCTGCTCCTGAGGCCAGGAGGAAAAGATGAAAACCACGAGCAAACCTGGTCCTGATTCCTTCCTCACGTAGTTAGCCGCTGTTCTGCCTAACAAAATCTCTCTGAGACACTCAATAATCTTCATTTTAAAGCATTTGCTACCGAAAGCTGAGGTGTGGATTTTTTCCGGAGGCTGGCGTGATTTCTGCCTAGGGCTCACTCTGGAGCAGTTAGATTCGGGGCTGCGCTTAAAGAAAAATAAAAATGGCTTTTCGAAAAGCCCCACCTTGAAAGTTTATAATTTAAAGAGAGGAAATTTCAAGACAGCTACAGACACCGGGAATGTGAGGAGAGAGGGTCACTGACTGATTAAAAATGAAGTGGCCACCACGTACCTCTGTTAACGTATACGCTTCCTCGGCCGTGCACTCGGCCTTCACCGTGGGGTTGCTCAGGGCAAATATGATGGGCCGCTCGTTGATGGAGCCCATGGCCTTGATCACGTCGGGAGAGAAGAGGCGCCCGGCTCCCGCGACTCCTGGAGCAATAAATCAGCGATTGCAACGTGAGCTGGAGCAAACGAAGCCAAAAGCCAAGTCATCAAAGAGATTGTGGAAAGATTTTTGGCTCACCGATGATAGCGGAAGGTCGCAGCACGTTCACCGCCTCGACGAACGTCTTTGGGATCTGCTCCGGAGCCGGGTGGGTAAATGGTTCCTGGTTGGAATCCACCTTTTGTTCTCGGCCCTGCAGGGAAACGTGGATTTTAGCCGTGAGGACGCGTAAAGGAGAGTAAAAAAAATATTTCTGTGGTATTTTAAGGTTTGGTGCAGCCCTACCTGAACCAGCAATCCGTATTTGTCAAACATCCATATTCTCTTGTAGGCTTCCTCTGCTGAAACACCAGTTTCCATCATGGCCATGACGATGAGGTTCGCGATTCCCAGGGCAGCCTTGGGGATAAAAAGACCCCGTTTTTATGTTAAAGGATCCCAAAAAGGGGTCTGTCGTCACCAACATCTTTCCCTCCACGCGGCGCTGAGTTTAGCAGGCAGAGGGAGGTGCAGAGCAGGGCTGGCTTCAGAGGCAACAACAGAACGTCAGCCAATTACCCCAATCAAGCCGGAGGCTTTTTCAGCTAATTAAGTGATTTTGTCAGCACCCTAGAAGCAATTTTGCTGATAAACCAAGGAGCACGGCGCTGGTACTGCCGCTACGAAGTGTCTGCTGCAACCAGATTTAACTTCCTAAGAAAACCACAGCCTATTCCTCCGTAATGCCATCAAAATTAACAGATGTGCTTCCTCCCTTTCCTACTGAATCATAAATTCATGGTAAAATCCCCCTAATTTACACAGCTCCCTGCTGCTTTTATAAATCCACGCAAAAAAAGCGAAAAACTGAGCCCTGGCAGAGGTCAGATTGCTTTCGGATAGCATTTTTTCAGCAGCTACTCCCCTCCTGTCGGTGCAGAATCCTTTTTAAGGCACGGTGAAACGCAAAGAAATTCAAAGAATCTGCAGATCCTGCGAAACCATGAAATAGAATACACTTAAAGTCTCTAGAACAACGCAAGATCTGAGAGATCTCACCTCTCCTGCTCCCAGGAACAGCACTTTCTGCTCTGAAATCGGCTTGCCCGTGGCTTTCTGTGCTGCCAGCAGTCCCGCCAAGGCCACCGAAGCCGTCCCTATAAAAGCAGGACAAAGCTGAAGAGAGTTGAACAGATCTACGTGGCGGATTTTGTCCAGGAAACGTTTTGGCACGTCCACGAGGAACACAAACCAAGGGTGTACCTTGGATGTCATCGTTGAAGGTGCAGTATTTCTCTCTGTATTTTCTCAAAAACCGAAAAGCGTTGTGGTTTCCGAAGTCTTCGAATTGGATGAGGGTGTTCTGGCCATACCTACAGCACACGGCAAATCATTAAGCTCACCAAAAAACGATTATTTTACAACAATTCCTGCCCGTTTCTCTCTGGACAGGGGATTCAAAGAGCTCCATCTCCATTCCGTGCACATTTAACGGGTAACTACAAACGGGTCACAGAAAAAAAGTCGCTACAGAGGCAGAAATACAACAGCATCTCTTGCCATCTACTCTTTTCTTTAATCCTGAAGTGGTTCTTACGAGGAGGGCGTGTCCTGGAGTTTTCTTGCCAGCAGTTTTGGCCGTACAGAATATTCAGGGTCATACCTGTCTGTGATGGCCTCCATAAACTCATCGATTAGGTCGTCGTAGACCTGCGAGCGATCCCTTTTTTGGTACAGGCCCATGTAAAACGGATCTTTTAAGAGGGTCTGAAAGAGAGCACAGCAAAAGACAGCAGCAGGGTGAGTCGCTTCCTTTGAATTCATTTCCCAGAGGTCACGTTTTACACCATTTTCAAAGGTGTTGAATTTATAGGGCCGCTCTATCTGCTTCCAGCCTGTATCAACGCTCAGGAACTTCAGCTGCCGCTTGGGGTTGGTTAAAAACTCACTGTGTTGTCAGTTCCAACGTCGATGCACACAGGCAGGCATTTATCTGGATGGATTCCTGCACAGGCCGTATACAAGCAGAGTTTCCCCACGGGAATTCCCATCCCGTACACCCCGAGGTCTCCGAGACCCAAGATCCTTTCTCCATCAGTGACAACAACAGCCTGAAAAAAAAAACAGAAATCAAGCTATCGACGAATACTGAAGTTTTATAAAGTTTATAGCGATACCAATTGTTTTTTTTCCAGGCAAATAATCAGGTATATTTGTACAGTTAAACAAAGAACACATTGCAAAGAATTTCTTTTCTTTTCTCTTTTCTTTTCTCTTTTTTTTTTTTTTTCTCTTTTCTCTTTTCTTTTCTCTTTTCTTTTCTCTTTTCTTATCTTCTGGTTTGCAATCATCGTCAAACAACTGCCAAGGACGTGTTATTCAGCGCTTAAATTTCCCTCAAATGCTAGCCAAGAAGCCCTGCTGGGATTAAATAATAATTAGAAAGAAGAATCATACGACGGCAGTACCTTGACGTCGTTCTCTGGCCAGTTATTCACAATGGACCTGATGTGACCTCTGTCTGAGATAGAAATAAATAATCCTCTGAAAGAAAAAAAAAGAAATATTTGATGGGTGACAATCAGAAATTTAATTTTGCTTCGTAAAACTAGATTCTAAACAGCAAAACTTTATGAAAATTGAAGCATTGCCATCACTGACACAAAATATTTAGAGGACAATTTCTCGTATGCATTTCTGTTCAGTTATTTGGATGCTCTGGAACAAAACCACAGAGGAAATACTTTTCAGGAGTGCTTCTCTCTGGGAAAAGGAGAGGCAATGAAGCAGAAAAGAGCCCAGGTGAAGAGCAAAAACCCTTCCTGAGCAGAGGGTGAGGCGGGCTGGCCTTCAGAGATCCCTTTCAACCCTATTCTTGCCTCTAAATCCTCAGGAACCTCAAGGAAGAAATAGAAAACAACAAAAAATATCAGCGATATCCATCTACTGTGCTTACTTTGGTCTCCTGAAGATGTGTCCGTACTGGGAACAGGCGAGGCCCACTGTTGGTGTATACACAATGGGCATTAACCGCTCGATGTCGTCTTGTAAAACCCTGTAGAATAACTTCTCGTTCCTCTCCTGGATTCCCATTATGTAGATATACCTGAAACCAAGAAAAAAAACAACATCGATTTAACAATTTTCACATTTACGCTTATTTAAGACAAGGTGAAAATGATCGAAGCAAAAACTTCACGTGATTTCTTCACGAAATTCCTTTTTCTGCTCAAGCTGGACACGTGGATACACGTAGGCACGTATGAAACCAGTGCCAGGGATGCTAAAAACATCCCCTTCGACTACAAGAAACGAGCAAAAAAGCTTAAACACCAAGCAAAAAAGCACTCAAAAATAAATAAGTAAATAATAAATGAACCAAATGAACCCCCCCACACACTTTTTCATCCAACAAACAACCAAAGAAGGTTATTTTGGATATTTAACACCACAAAATATTTATTTTCAGCCATTTCCATTTACTTGCAGGACAAAAGAAGGCCGGCGGGGTGCTTACTTCTCCAAGGGGTCCGTCATTTTGGCCAAATTCTTGTGGAAGCGTAAGGCTTGAATGTCTTGGGTCTCTATTTTGGGAGGAAGAAGCCCTTGCAAGCCGAGCATCTGCCGTTCGTGCAACGTAAAGGCCATCCCCTGAAAACAAAAGAGAGAAAGGTCAGAAATAACTTGTCTGATTTTTTTTTTCCTCCAGCATTTCCATTTATCCTGGATTTATTTTTGCCATTATCCACTCCCGGGACGTTCGTGGCTCGAATATCCCAAATGTTATCACAGCGGGGTGTCTCTGGAGAGATATTTTGGGGTGGGTGCCCTGCAGCAGCTGCCCCAGGGCACAGATTTGGGCATTTTGGGCTCTCCTGCGTGGGTTTCCCTCCTGAGCACGGCTTTTCCTCTGCGCTGAGTCCTCGGGTGCCCTCTCCCAGATGTCGTTTCCCTCTGTGAAACGGGAGAAGAGCGACGAGATTCCACCGCAGATGTTTAGGACTCAAACAACAGCTGGCTCTTGAAACATTTCCCAGAAATAAAGGGCTGACCAGAGCATGGGGAGGTCACCCAGTCTGCTCCTTACGCTCACAGCCACAAAGAGGCTGCATTTTCCCACTTATTTGCACTGCTCCAGACCCCAAAAAGTGACCGAATCACCCTAATAATTCCGCTGAGATCACATTTCAACCCAAATCCTTCATTTTTTGCTCCGGGCAGTGCCCGATCCCTTGGGACTGTAACACCTGACGACCAAAAAGCCTCATTTTGTCACAAATTCGGTTTCAGAAGAGCTAAATTGAGAAAAAAAAATAAAAAATCCCATTTCTGCCAGGAAAAAAGAACAAAAAACATCAGCTATTTTGCAAAAAATACTTGCAAATAGCTTAGATTTGAAAAGCGTTTGACCCTAAAATACTTTATTTTATTATTATTTATACGATACTTTAATTTTGACAACCTTCCGTGGAATAGTTTTGACGATACTGAACTCAATTTCTCCGTTTTTTTTCTATTATCTGCAGATGATTTGTGAAACCGTTTCATCCTTTTTCCTAGATCTGTTTCGGTTTCACTTCCACATCCCTCGCACGAGATGTGAAAGGACTCCCTGGGAACGTGAAGCTGCACGAAACCGCGGGTAACCCGACTTTCTTCCCCTTTTCCTCTGCTGCCTCCGAGTTCATCGCCATCAGCAGTTTATTTCTTCTCAAAACAACCACTTCTCTACAGAACACGCGCTTGGAGGGAAAAGAATTTGGGATGTTGAGCTAAGGGCAGCTGGTAAACAGCTGCGGCATTTCTCCCATCCCTTCAGGCTCTGGGAACATAAAAAACGATGCCGAAAGGATCATGACATGAAGGAGAAAAGAAAAAATAGGCTCAAATTCTTTTCAGAGCATGCAAAAACGGGTGTTTTGTGTTTGGGGTTGCAGCTCGCTCCCTGCACGAAAAGAAAAAAAAGAAAGAAAAGAAAAAGCAGCACCCCCAGGTGCGAGGTGTCCTTTCTCTGCCTATTCAGCACTGACTTTCACTCCGATTAATTTCCACAATCCTCTCAGCAGCTCAGGAAAAGCAGGTGGCCCTTTTAAGCTGGCCCAGACAACGCATAGGGCACATCTAGGGGAAAGAAACAGCACGCTTCAAAGACCCTAAATGAAATAATTCATACGTAGAGTCAATTTTTTCGCAATAAAACCAACGTACTGCCACGGGGGAGAGGAAAAAGGGAAGGAAACGAAGCGCCGACAGCTTTTTAGGATCGCTGACTCCTGCTACAAAGAGCAAGCGGCGCTATAAATACCACCCCAGACAAATTCCTCTTGCCCACTGGGCACAAAGGTGAACGGGAGACCATTCACCTCTGGGCCATAAACCTTGAAATCGTAAGCATTTTCAAAAGAAAAAGGGTTTTATAGCCCTTTGTGGACTTCCCTTTTCCTGAACTGCTTCTTTTGGCTCGATCCCAAAGTTCACTCTTGCACAAGGGATCCCCGGAGCAAATTAATGCAGTTCATCACTCGTACGAATCAAAGGTGTGTTCGCTATCTCGGCCACGATTTCAAAGTTTGTGTTTATGGGCAGCATACGGCATTCTCCTTGGATTTCTTTCCTCTTTTTCAACTTCATTTCCTATCTTTGTGGTTTTTCCAGAAACAGCGGGATGCGATGGAAGAAGCCAGGCTGCACGCGTGCTAAAATCCGGCAAAAAAAAGGTATTTTGCTGTTATGGAAAAGCTTTGCTCGCTTCTCCCATCACTACGCCTCGAAATCCACGCTGAAACTACGAGAAGAGGGCTGCTAAACCCATCAGGCAGCCCCTTTAGGGCCCTAAAACCCCCTAAACCAGGCAGTTCCCTTCCTTCCCTCCCCCAGCCGCCGTGCCTCGGGAGCAGAAGAGCTGACGGCAGTTAAACGGGGGCGCACCTTTGGTACTTACACCTCCTCTGCAACCAGGAGATAATAAAAAAAAAAACGAGTTATATATTAAAGAGCTCCATCTCCTTCCACAGCTCAACCCCTTTTTAAAGCACGCACGCCTCCGGGAAGCTGATAAAAGCTGCAGAAGCAGCAAACACCCGCTTTTTATTTTTATTAGTCGGTTTATTTTCGTCCAGCCAGCTTTATTATCTGATTTCGTTGAAAACACCGAACCTGGGGGGTGTTTTAAGCGCCCAACAGGTTTAAAACCTGTTGAATTAAAAGGCCCCGAAGCCAATTAGGTGTCATCTGAATCCCTGGCGCCAGCGATTAAACATCGTGGCACATTTCAAATACCCACGGATGGCAGTTCCAGAGCGTCCTGCAATTGTTTGGCTGCAGCAGCAAGGGCATTACTGATATAGCTCGTGACCTTTGCCGAGCTGCCCCGACAAGAAACGCTTCAAATCGGGAAGTTTTTTTTCCCCTTCTTCAGTATCGCTTCTCGGGGACGCTTAAAAATACAAAAATCACCTGCTGGGAACATGCAGCTCGCTGCTCTTCCTTCCCCCTCGAGAAAAAACACCGTGCTGTGCTCAGAGAGCTCCAGTCTTCAAAAAAAAAATGTAAAATGTGGGGTTTTTAAACCCCACATTTTTTACACCAGGGAAACAATAAGAACCGCCCTATTGTTTTTGCCTCCCAACGCCGTTGCGTAATCAGCACTGGGAAAAGCTTACGGGGCTTGAAATCATTTCCACTGGCACGGCGAAGTGTTTATAGCTCAGAGAACTCTTGAGCTAATCTGATCGGGGACAAAACACGCCCCTCTATTCTTCCCTCCGCCCCCGACACGCCGAGCCCGGTTTCATTCAGCCGGCCTCCGACCTCTGCAGCAGGCAGGGAGAGTGTTTAGGGTGAATTGGGAATATAAAAGCATCACAGGGGGAAAAAAAAGCCTAAAATCAGAGGATAGGGAGGAAGAGAAACGACGGATATTAAAAATATGGGATGAAGTAGTTTTAGTTTACATTTTGATTCAATATTTTCAGCTTATTTCTGCCTCGGGGCACCAAAAAATAAAGAAATTGAGGGAGAAATTGGTAGAGAAAAGCAACCAAACAACAAAAGGATGTTTTAGGAGTTCCTCCCAACGCAGGGAATTGCCAGAATGCCTCTCTCCCTCTCCGCTAGCTCCATTCAAAGCTTATTTTTAGATGCTCTGCGTGCCCCTGCCCAGGGATGTTTCGCGTTGATATGGCTCCGGCCCAACTCCCGGCAAAAGGCAGGAGCAGGACGGAGGAGCCGTCGCTTTTTACAGAGGCAGGAATTTCAATTCCCTCCTGCCAAGTCCGAAACCCAACTCCCCGGGGGTGGTTTCACCCCGGGACAAGGTCCGCCGAGCTGCTAGGAGCTGGAAGATAAGAAATTTGCTGCCAGGGTGCCACCGACCTTGTTTGTCCGGGGGTTTAACATCAAGGGTTTGCCTTTTTCTTTCGTGTGCGCCCCGCGGCGCGCCAGCGAGCAGGGAACGGCGGCCGCCCTGATCCGGGAGAGCATGGCTGGGGGTGCTGCACCTGGAAAGGAGGAAAAGATATTAAAAAAAAGAAGTTGAGACTACTGAAAAGAGCTGAATTGATGCTCCTGATCCGACGCCGGCTGTTGGAAGGGAAGTAGGTGTGTGTTTAGCGAGTCCTTTCACTGGATTTACCCCGGTGATAACCCCAAATTGCCTCGTGGCAGGCAGGGAGGAGAAAAGGGAAGGGTTCCCAACGCAGAAAGCGCACGATGAGAGGCGAGAACACCCCAGGAGAGCAAAATAACTTTCTTGTCGTCTTTTAGCTGCACTATAAAGCCACGGGAGAGCTGCTGTGAGCAAATATGGACCTGCCGTGGCCCCCCCTTCAACCAGATTCTTCATTTGTCCCTAATAAATACCCTAAACGAGGAACTAAAATGCAGGACAAACACCACACCTTATCTTCTTCTAATTAAATTGAAATTCCGTCCTTGCACCTAACGAGCAAACAAGATCGTGGCCCAGATTTCTCCTTAACTTCATCAATTAAGTCTCTAATTAACCACAGCTAGGTTTTATTTTCTTCCTTAACCGAGGCCTCGCCTACCCCGGCGTGACACAAACCAGGCACCCTCCAGCCGCCTTCATCACTTCGGCAACGCTCGAGCAGTCGAAAATGATTCCATCAGGCAAATTCCAGCTCCCAACGCACCTCCCGGCGAGGGTTTTGCTTTAAAAAATAGGAAGTTTCCCATTCTCCAGCGGCGCAGAAGGGGTTTGGTGGGGGATGAGGGCGCGATGTGATGAGGGGAGCCCCAAAATGGAGGAAGGAGCAGGGAATGAGGCCTGGGGTCTCCCTAAACTGACCTGAGGCTGGCGGGGAAAATGAGCAGGACGCCTGGTGTGGTTCTCTCCAGCAAGGTGCTGAGCGAATGGCATTCCTCAGGCACCTGGAGAGCTGCAGATGAACTGGGAGGTGGCCTTGACACCACGCCCAGCGGCGAGCTGCTCGCTCCGCAGGCGTCCTTTGCCATCCTCAAGCCTTTGCTCCTCTTCTTTCGAGGCCAGGCGAGGAAAAGTGGGTGGCGCAGAGGGCTCCGGCAGGGTGAATTCCCTCTCTCAGCCTCAAAGCGCTCGGCAAACAAAGCAGGGAGAGAAATCCAGCACCCGGCTTCGGAGCTTGTTTGCAGAAAGCGCGGCGTTATCTGAACGACTCGAGCCCGCGCCGCTGGCAGGCTGCCCACAGAACAAACAGAAAACGGGGCTGAAACGTTCAGCGTCGGAGTCTTGCTTCGTAAAAACCCTTCGCACGCATCACAGAGCTGCTTTCTGGGCGTTTCGGGGGACAGATTTGCCTTCAGCATCACAAAATCCTCGCTCTTGTACCCGTGGAAACCGCAGGAGCGGTGCTTTCGGCTTAATCCTCCACAAAGATTTGTTTTTTTCCTGGATTTTATTTCGTTTGTCTTGCTGGGAAGGCTCCTGGAGCATTATTCCGGAGAACAGGGACACGGATACACGACGTCTGCTTTCTCTTTTCCAAACATATGGATTATTTTATATAATTTGAGGGAGGAACAAGGATATCCTCACCACCTGCTGCTTCCACAAGGGAATTCCTCCTGGGAAAGTAACTCAGCAAGCAGATAGGGCTGCTGGCTATTAAATAAAACACCTTTAGTGGATGTTTTATCTCACATAAACTCGCCCACCTCTTACAAACCTCGGCGTGCAGCAAGTTTGGACTGACAAATCATAATTAGCAATCCATAAATCCTAAGAGGATTCTGGAAATACGCACACGTACAATGAGCTGGCAGCCCCGGCAACGCTGAGGCGATCCTTCTGTGGCAAAAAAAGGTGCAGAAAAGGATTATAGCAAGGATGAAAGTGTGAGTAGCAGGCACCCAGGGCCAGCACCTACCGCGCATTTTAACACTTCCTCAGCTTGCAGGAGAAAAAAAAAAAACCTTCAAGTGTCGCCTGCGCTGCCGCTGCTGACTCATAACGCCGCTGCTGGGGGTTAGCAGAGGCTTTGTCCTCGGGCTGAGGCGTGTTTTTGGCCTTAAATTAGACGCCGGGACCGTGTTTTTGTTCTTTTTTACCTCAGGAGAGCAGCGCGGGAGATGCTCCTGGCTGCCCACCCACGAGTTGCTTGCGGGGCTCTTTGCATCGCTCCGGCGGATGTATCCTGTTTGCCACTAACTTTTTGGAAGGAAGAAGGTGAAGATACCACAAAAGGCTGCTCGGCTGGCTTCTTTATGGGCCCTTCGTGGCCACCATGGGTGTTTTAGGGGGATTTAAGCAGCTGGACATCTCCGCCACCACGACCAAGGGGCTCTGAGGAGCCTTCACCTCACAGCGCTCGGTGGTGAGCGCCTGACAGGACCCGTGAGGCTTCGCACCACCGTTTCTTCATCCCCGAAGAGCCGGAAAGTGAAAAAAATAACCCCAAAGGATGGGAGAAGAAGGCTCCGGGCAGGCCAGGCGGCTTCCTCCTGAGGAGCCGCGGCGCTGCCCGGCTGGGGCCGGGAAACAGCGGCCGCTCCTCGCCTCAGGATGGACCCGGGAGAACCGGGGGAAGGTGCCCGGGGGGGGGACACGGCCTCGGGGCCGCCCCCTGCCCGCGTTACCCCCGCGGCTGAGGCGATGCCCGCCCCGCCGCCTCCCCGCAGAAAAGGCCCCCGAAGGACGGGCTGGGAAAGGGCCGGAGGCCTTCCTAGCAATTGGAGAATCGTTACCGGAGCGCCGTCCGCCTCCTCCTGCTGCCCTCCGAGCGATGCTGGCCGAGGACCTGTGTCTATTGTGCGACAGCAGTTGCCATCCGCCGGAGCTCCGCCCGCCTCGGAACCCGCCACTGAATGCGGCCGGCGGGGCTGCGCCAGGGAGGGACACTCCGGAGGGCGGGGCGTGCCCGTGACTGACAGAGGCGGGCAGCCAATGAGAAGGAGGAACCTCGAGCTGGCGGCGGCGCTCCACCAATGAGCTCGCTGCTCCGCGGCTCCTCGCGCTGAGCTGAGGGAGGGCGGGCCGGGCGCGGCCGGTAATATGCAAATGAGCCGGGGCCGGCAGCGAATGGGAGCGCGGAGCCCGAAAGGGGGCGGGGCTTGCGTGAGGGGAGGGGGCGGCGAGGGGAGGGGGCGCGGAGGGAAAAGGGCGGGAAGGGGCCGGGGGCTGTGAGGGGACCCGGTCATGGAGGGGACCCCAAATGGCTGTGGCAGCCATAAGGGGAGCCCAGCTCTGAGGGGTGGCAGGCCAGGAAGGAAGGGGAGGCAGGAAAGGCACAGCCCAAGCCACCAAAAAGGGGTTTTTGGGGCGCAAGATGGCCCCCGGGGTTGTTACTTGGGGCGAGATGCTTCCAGCAGGGACGCCACCGCTCCCCTGGGCAACCTGTCCCAATGCCTATCCACAATTTCTGACAGAAAATCTCCTCATTTTCAGCTTAAACCTTCCCTGGCACAACTTGAGGCCATTCCCTCTGGTCCTATCACTAGTTTTGGGTGAGAAGAGGCCGACCCCAGCTCCCCAAACCTGCCCTTCAGGCAGTTGCAGAGATCAATAAGGTCTCAATAAGGTTTCCCCCAACCTAAACAACCCCAGGACCAGTTAAAACGCACACACATTTCATTAAAACAGAAGGTATGGCAGAATCACCACATATCTCCAGAGAAGATACTCGCTTAATCAAAGCCTCGCCTCCTAATCACGATTTTGAGGCTTGTCGTGAATTATATATCCTATATATCTCCCCCTCTCCCTGTCGGCACGGTTGTGTTGGCTTTGAAACGTTTCCCCATAACGCGATGCTGTGCCTATAAACAAAGAAGATTGCTAAAATACCATGCAAGGTCATGGCTTTGTGCCTGGCTAAGAATAGCCCGAAGAAGGTCTGGACCATGCTTCATGCCTATGTGGTGGCTAGCAGCACGTCTTTCTTTGCTAAATCCGACTCTTCCTCTTTTATTTTCCCCATAATCTCCCTTACTGCCCCTTCCCAAATCCCCCCGATAAATGAAACAGAAGATTTTTTATTTTTTTTCCCCATCCAGGAGACCGTTTTGGCGGCCCTCTCTGTAACAGCTCCATTTTTTCAGCCTATTTAAAGCACAAGCGCCAGAGCTGGACTCAATGTTCTTGGCTTTTTATATCACCGATTCTTAATGGGAATTAAAATAAAAAAAAAATAACAAGCGGGTTTTTAGGCTGAGGGCTCAGGTTAGGCTCAAATTCGCAACTGATGCTTTTTTGCGAGCTTTTCCTTTTTGTAAAAATACCTCTTTGCAGGCTGAGGACCCAGACAACCTCACAGATGTGCCGTACTTTGGCGTCAGCCGAGCCCCACAGCCCTAAAATTCAGGGTTGCAATTCAAACAGGCACCTCATGAATAAGCTGTTAATGATTAGATGTTACTAATTGTTAATATTAACCTGGAAATTTGCATCTGTGGGCGATAGATTGACATCTTGGCCGGCGTAACAGCTCTGCAGCGTCCACTTATGGATTTGAGGCTGTACAGAGTTGAGCACAAAGCCAGAAAAACACAGAGGGGAAGCACTGCCCTCTCCTGACCACTCGCTACCAGTTGGGATTGCTCCTTTAGCTGATCTAAACTGGGATAAAAAAAAAGCACCAAACACGAACTGCATTTTTTTGCAGTGAAAACTCAGCCTACAGCGGAGGAGAAACGGCAGGGGGAGAAAAAATTGAACACCGTAGGCATTGCAACACATTTTTTAATTTAAAAAAATTAAAAAGGGGGGAAAGAATAGTTTTTAGGGATAGTCTGTCCTGTCCAAGCTGTAATTGGGTGTATTCTCTCCAAAGCCTAGCAAAAATTCACACAAACTTCCTAAAGCACCTGCTTGTTTGCCCTCTACGATTAATCCGAGCAACCCTTTCAAGACCCTTTTGTTCCATCTATTCTGCTGCAAGCCAAGAGACAATGGAATAATTTATTTATTATTTTTTTTTGCAGAAATCACCGTATTTGTTGAAATTCACTCCCCGGCGCCAGGGTTTGTGCTCAGGAGGCTTCTGATCTCCCACGGGGACGAAACACCGAGGGGGTCGGATCCCTTCACCCCGGAGCTGCCCCCCCCCCGCCAGTGAAAAGTGCTGAGCTTTAGTTGAGGTATATAAATCGCGGCACGCCCTGCACACCCAGCCCTCTGCCTCTCCCTCCTTCTTTCTTTTTTTTTATTTCTTTATTTTTTTGCAGGGCAGCAGCCTGAACATCCTCCGGGGACCTCCGAAGAGCGGAGTCCGCTTTGCCTCCTGCCCATCTCACCCGTTTTGCTGGAGCAGCAGCGGATCCGGACAGCGTAAGGTGAGGGTTTCACGAGAAGAAGCAGCTTGCTGGCTTGTCAAACGCTAGCAAAAGCTCTCCTACACCTAAACCTGCCCCTAAATCCTCCCCCCCAGGAACAGAAAGCAGGGTTAACGCAGCAAGCGCTGCTGTTAGTCCTTCCCCCGAGTCTCGCACGCGTTTTCTTCACAGCTCAGAGCATTTAGGAGTTAAAAGGGGAGAAATAATTGGTAGGGGAGCGATAGTTAAATACGGACCTTGGAGTTTTAAATACAGGAGTTTCTCTTTTACAAATGAAGTCGAGGCACAGCGCCCCACCAGCAGCACGAATGGAGGCTGGCTTCTACGCTATTTACAGGTTTTTGATTTAAAAAACGGCCGAGTTTGGTCAAATAGAAGTATAGAACATCTCCTCCCTATACAAACCCTCGTTGGCTGATTCATTAGTAAGGTGCTCGTTAAGTGTGAACGAAAAGTTAGAGTGGATTAATTTGTGTCCGCATCTATTTACAAACCACGCTTGTTCGCCCGCCGGCGTGTTCCAGAGAAGCTGAAAGCAAAGTGCCTTGGAGAAATGTGAGTACAATTTTTTTTATACATAAACTCATCCGGTTAGGAAAGCGATGCCACAGGAACCCGGCACCAGGTGGTGTCTCCAAAAGAGTTCAGAAGCACCCGGCTCCAACGGGAAGGAGAAACCAAACGAGGAGAAGGTGCTCAGAAACAAAAGAAAATTAAATAATAAAATTATCTTCCCGTCGGGAAAAGAAAAATAAAATCCCGAGTGGTCAAATTCTTTCACCGTCGACGTTCTTGAGAGGTTATTTTCTGCCTCCCACGAGCTCCAAGTTTGGAAGCCGTCGCCCCGGGAGAGGACCTGACCAGAATAAAAAGCTGATTTTGCCCTCGTCGTTTTCAGATGCTATGGAAAAAGGAAGGAGAAGAAGTTGATTTGACCTCTGTTTGCAAACTTAGCGTGGACCAGCACCTCTCTGCTGGACGTTGAAGTTGCAAACAGGTCCCAGAGATTGCAAGGCAAGCTTGTTAAGGCAGTGGAAGAAACTCAAGACTCCGTTCACGCCTCGTGATCCCCTTCGATGCGCTTCTTCGGCATCAAAAGGGGTCGGAAAAACCTGGTCGGAAAAAAAAGGCATTCGGAGCAGCGTAAAAAAGGGCTCAAGGAGGGGCAGAAGCCGGGGTTCCTCACCAGCGCTCCTTCTGGTACACCTCGCTTTGCACCATCTCGCTGGGGTGCTCGGAGATGCAGGCCCCGTTGATGTCGCTGAGCTTGTTGTCCGGCAGATCCTCGGGTTTCGTGCAAAGTTTCAGCGCCCTGGAGATGAAGACGTCCAAATTAAACTCGGGCTCGGTTTCGGCGCTCACCTCCTCGGATTCCTGGCGGAGGTGGGGAGGAGGAGACGGCTCCCGAATCTCCGGAAGACTCGCAGGGACACTCGAGCCCCACTTGGGTGCTCTTCACCCACTGGGCGATCTCCAAGAAGAGGTTGGAGGGTTCCTCCTCCAGGGACAGCTCGCTTTCGGGCGCGATGGCCGCTCGTTTCCAGTGGGATAAATCCAAAATCAGCTTGGGTTCCGAGTAGTGGTGGGGCTTGTTGTCTCTCCACAGCAATTTGTCCAGGTAAGAGGGCGACCCCACTTTGTAATCGCAGGATTTGCCGCACTCGGCGTCAAAGACGCGGTCCATGGAGGAGTGAGAGAGCTCCAGGAACCTCTCCGAGCTGCTCTGCGAATATTTCCGGGGATCCACTTGCGCCTCCTCGGCGATGGATCCCGACCCCGCCCGCGGGTCCCGCTGAACCTCGTCCATCTCGTGATATTTATCGTGCCGCCAGTCCAAATCAGACGAGAGGCTGACGTGGTACCTGGGAAAGACACGAGGTCGGTAAATCTTGGCTACTGGGTTTGTCCCAGCTGCACCAGTCCCGGGAAGGACCTTTTTAACTGGGGTGTTCGTCTAGGACAGGGAAAATCTGCTCTAACCCTCCACGTACAGGTTTCAATCCATTTAAAACCCAACTCCAATATGTTTTAACGCACCCCTCTAGGGCTTAGGCACCTTGAAACAGGATAAAATCATCCCGAATCTTGTCCCTGAAAGGATGACAGGGTGTTATAGGGGCGGAGGATAGAGGGAAGAACCCCAAATCGATGGCATTCAAATGACAACGACGTATGCTGTTGATAAAACCGAGGGCAGAAAGATTCCCAAGTGACTTGAAGACACAGATTCAGCATCTCCTCCCCTCGGATATCAACGACAAAACTCCCCAGCTTGAGTCAGGATTAAAAAACGGCATAAAAAAGGCAAAACAAGAACCCTTTGTGGGTCCAGGGAACGTGTTACCGAACCAAATCGATGCTCAGAGACTCACCGGTCCAATTTGGCCTAGAAAAATCCCAGTATCTGGTCTCCAGGCCAGCCCCAGGCACTGTACCTGTCCCAGTTCGCCATCTGGCTCTGGTTGGCTTCCATCAGTAAAATGTCATCGATCTCGTCCTCGATCCGGAACGGCTGCTGCGACACCGGCTCGTCCTCGGGGCAGGAATAGGGGCTCATGTAAGGGTGCTGCAGCCCCATCTCGGCCGTTAAGCGATCCATGGGGTTGAAGGTCAGGATTTTCTCCAGGAAATCGATAGCTGGGAAGCACACAGAAGCAAACTCCCTCAGTCCTCAAAAGCACCGCTCGCTTTCGTTCCAGAAACAGCTTCGGGAACCCCAAACCCCCCCGAAGGAAGGAAGGAATTAAAGGTCAAGTCCTGTCGGCGGTCTAACGCGGCCACGTTTGTCCTGCCTGCTTCGGGGTTACGGGGCTAAGTCCTCGGCACGACAAACGCTATTAAATTATTTTGCACGTTAATATTTCAGAAAGTTTGGGCGTCTAGAATTATTTCAGAAAGACCGCGGAGAGCCAAGTCTCTACGATGATGAAAGAAGAAATTTAGCGCAACGAAAGCAGCTAGAATGAAACCTAAATACGGGATTTATAGGGATTTTTTTGCTGATTCCTTTTATGCAGGCTACATAAAAAAGATCAAATCCTGCCATTAAAGATGCGTTGTTATTATTTGTTATTCATTTAGGTCTTGGTGCATGGCAGAGTCCCTTCAAGTCCCGTTAAGGTAACGAGAATTGGGTTTTTACCTTGGCTGTCCACCTCGGGGAGCAGCTGGCGCAGCGGCTTCCTCACCTCCCAGGTGCTGCTGATGAAGCTGGGCATCACCTTGAGCAGCTCCTCTTTGTCCTCCTCGTGGACGACGGGGATCGTTTCCAAAATCAGCTGCATCTGCTCCAGCTCGTGTCCCCCTGAACGGGGCAGAGAGAGAAAGGAGGGGAGTTGAGGCACCCAAAATCCCGGAGGGAAAGAGGCGGAGAACTTTTGGGCTGCGATGCCTGCACCTACACGCGTTTTTTTGGCAGATTTAGGAACATTTGGGGTTTCAAGCCTTTTATTTCCCGCCTATTCCTAAGCTCCCAGAAAAGAGGAACAACACATCCAAATCTCCCCAAAGCAGAGCTTCCCGTGGCTCCAAACACACGAGCAAGGAGAAAAAAAAAGAGGAAAAAAACGAAATAAACGGATGGGGACCTACCTGCAAAGAGCATCCTCCCCGTCAGCATCTCCGCCAGGATGCAGCCGGCCGCCCACATGTCGATGGCTTTGGTGTAGTCGTTGGGCGAGAGGAGGAGGCGAGGCGAGCGGTACCACTTGGTGACCAAGCCTTCCGAAAGGTAACCCTGGAAGAGCAGAGAGAGAATTGTTACGGATTGCAAAAAAGCCCCAGGTTTGCCCCCGTGCAGTTTTTTTGTAATTTTCAAGCCTCGTTTTGCTGCTTCTGTTCCTAAGGCTTGCGTACGAACTACTCAAACGACCTAAAAAAAAAGGGATAAACCTGCTGTGGGTAGGATTAGTGTCAAGTTCTCCCAAATATCGTAGTAAAGAAAGTGAAAAGTGAAGAAAATTGAGTGCAGGAGGGACTGAGGGCTTGAGAACCCTGGAGAACCACAGAGATTCAGGATCTGGCTCAGCCCCTCAGCGCCTCTCCTGAGCATCCAAGCGTGCTGCACCCCAAAATCCAGCGTTTTGCACTCAAAAAGCTGCGACGGCGAGTAGCGGGTGCCCCCAAATCAGGAACCGGGCAGCACCCAGCACAAGCTCCTAGGTTCTTCTTCCCTCGAGGCTGCAATTTCTGCCACTGACTGCTGGCGGAGCTGCAGCTCTGCGCCATGCCCCAAGCTCTCCAGCCCTGCAAGGGCGCAGACGTGAGGATAAACCCCAAAACAACAAAAAAACAACGCTTGTTAATGAGGTGGGAACCCTTTCACGCGCTTCTCCTGTGGGGATAAACGGCAGCTGGCGTTTTATACAAGAAGAAGGGCGTCAACGGACGAGGCCGCGGCGATTTCTCGATTTCTCGGCGCCTACCTTGTGGGAGTAATGCTGATCCACGATCCTGGCGAGCCCGAAATCGCCGATCTTCAACACCAGGTCCTCGGTGCTGATAAAAATGTTGGCCGGCTTGAGGTCTCGGTGGAGCACGTTGGCCGAGTGGATGTATTTGAGCCCGCGGAGGAGCTGGTACATGAAGAGCTTGGCGTGCTCCTCGGCGAGCTTCCCCTGCTCCAGCAGGCGAGCCAGGTCCGTCTCCATGTACTCCTGGACGATGTAGACCACGTTGAACTTGAAGAAATCCCCCCGCAGGCTGCTCCCCTTCGGCCCCAGCACCTCGTACACCTTGACGATGTTGTCGTGCTCCAGCCGCCGGATGATCTTCACCTCGCGGAAGGCGTGCTTCAAGCTCCGCGCGTCGCTGATGGCGATTTTCTTCACCGCCACCTTACGGCAGCTCCTGCTGTCCAGGGCCGACAGCACCAAACCGTTGGCCCCGAAACCCAAAGGGCGGAAGTTGACGAAGCGGCAGCCCAGGTCGTAGCCGTAAACGCTGGCGATGCAGTCGCACTTCTCGGCCATGGCTTCTTTGGCCTTCACCAAAGCCTCGGGGGCCGTGCCGAAGCGCTGCCCGACGTCCCCAAGGCTTCAGTCCCGGGGCAAGCAGCCGGCGCCGATGTCCCCGCGGCGGGGCAGAGCCCGGCGCGCCCCCATGGCCCCTCCGCTGCCCCGCAGCCTTCCTCCTGCCCGCGGGTCTCCACAGAGCTTCTCCACCCAGCTACGTGCATCGAACCTCACTCTTTCCCCGCTGGACTGTTTCCACGGGTGCATTTCCAGTACCTCACGTGTCTTTTCCCTTGATCTTTAGGATATAAAGTCCAAGAGTCGTCCCCGGCGCTGGGCAGCTCTCAGCCCTGCTCCTGGAATTAAAAAAAAGAGATGGAATCACTCAAAAACACCACCAAACCCCACGTAAAGACTTTCCTCCTGGAAGGAGGGAAAAAAAAAAAGGGTTTTGCAGCTGGGATGTCAGCCCCAGAGCTCGGTTTGAAGTTTGGCACCGCCACCTCTTCCGTGCAGCTGGGCTAATCGCTCCGGAGGATTGCTAGCCCGGCCCCGAAGAGCCTCAAAACAAAAATGCTAATGGGACGGCGTGTTCCCGGAGAGGAGGAAAGCGTCCTCATTAAGATGGGCGACTCGTGCTGTCCCCAGCTCGACAGAGAGCAAAGATTTCGGAGCGGCACAAGGGAGATCCGCGTGCCAGCTTGGCCCCCGCACCCCAAGCCTGGGAAGTTTGTTGCGCCCGGCGTGGAAGGAAACCCTCAGTTTTGCTTCGTCAGCTTCATTATTAATAATTAGTGAAGCGCTGGAGGCGCCGAAAAGGGAAAATGTGCCGCGTAAGACCGGGAGGGAGGAAAGTTCTGGCTGATAAGCGCGCACGGTAGCTGCACTTTTGTCCCGGGAACATCTTGGCGGGGGCACAGAAAACAAGAAAAATAAATAAATCAGAGCCCGAGAAGCCCCAGCTAAAAAAAATTAAGCCCGCTTTTCCCCATTTTGGGTTCAGAGCACGAGAAAACCTGCCTAAAAGCACGATAAAACGAATGCGTCTGATTTATTTACGCCCCAATTTAGGTTGAGGGCTGACTTGGTTCCCATCCGCGCTGCCACCTCCTCCCTCCCTCCTTCCCTTAGCAGGGGGAATTCATTAAAGCTCGAGTGCTGTAACGAGCCGGCTGTTATTAAGGGAGCACCACGGGTGCTAATTAAAGGAGGCTGAGAGCCATCTCTCGCTTGAAAACGCTCGGAAGGGGCCGGATCCTGCGGGTTTTTACATCTCGGCAGTGATGGGAGCAGAGATTCAACAGCGGGGCCGGCACCAGGGACTGAAAAATAAGACGCTCACGTGCACACAGGCTACCTGGGGTCTCCGAGAGCCACGTAACCTCCTCAGGAGTCCACTATACACTTATTTTCCCCCCAAAAATAATATTTTTCAGATGTTTTGACTGCCAGGATGCAAATGGAAACACTTTGGACTTTTAAACGGGGCACAAAAGGCGCTGGGCTGCCCCCGGCGCTGCTAAATCAGCCGTGGCCGGGGCTTCGAGTGGCTGAGCACGGACAAGAGGTGAGGGAAAGCTTTCCCAGCGGGTCCGAGCACACAAAACCGCCCTGGGCCCTGCGGTTTCCAGCCGGGGAGTTGCTACTAATGCCTCGAACAAACACTGGCGGGCTCCTAAAGGAGGGAGGAAATAAATAAACGGCGCTCACCCGCACCCCGTCCACCAGCCCTTCGCTCGCCGGGATGCCACAGGTCAGGACTTTGCCTGCGTTATCGCCGGCGGGGCCAAACCGAGATAAATAAAAGCAGGAAGGGGATAAAAATAAAAATCAAAATCAAACAACAAGGTAGGAATAGCCCCGGAGGTTTTTCATTCCAGCCCACAGCAGGAATTTGCCCCAGAGGAGGAGGCAGGCACGGCACGCACACCGGGTAGTAAAATTACACGGGGCAGAGCACCTTGCCCCAAAAACCACCCCGCTGATCCTCGTTCCCCTCCTGTCTGCACACAGCAGAAGTTTGGGGTCCCTCCCCTGCAGCTCTCATCATTTTGGGAAAAAGTTGTGTGTTTTTGTGGGGTGCCAGCAACTGAACGAAGCGGCTGCGGACGAAATGTGCTGGCGCTGTCAAAAAAAACACTGGAGAGCCAGAGAATTGTAAGAAAAAAAATGTAAGTCCTGGTCCTAAAATAGCCCGAGGGAAAACAGAACGCGTTCCCAGTGACTTCTCCCCCCAAATAACCTGGGTGGAGGGAGACAGCAAGGCGATGCTGGGGACAAAAATAAAAAAAAATAAAATAAAATCACGCTGCCCAAACTCTTTCACTCTTTTTTTTTCAGAGCAGGAGCCCCTCGGCAGGTAAAAGCCTCATTTTTCCCCCTTTTTCCCCCATAACCACCCCAGGGCTGGGGACGCCCAGGTGCAGAGGGGGGGTTCTCGGCAGCCAGAGCTCTGGATCACGAGCTGTGATCAGGCTTTTTCCTCTTGCTTTACCCCGCTAATTGCTCCGGGCCTATCAGTTACCAGGTAATTAACGCGGCTGTAAAAATCAGGTGGCACCCAGAACGTGTTTGCGCAAAGCAGAGAGGGACAGATGGACCCTGGTGGTTATTAACGCGGGGCTTGGTCGCTCTCGGCTGACTCCTGAGTGGACCTGACACGAGGCTGAGCCACTTCACGAGGATTTTGGGGGATTTGGAAAGGCTCCTGACCCTTGGTAGAAGAGTAGGGCCGTCCTCCTACCCATCCCAGCAGAAGTTTTGTGTTCCAGAGCAGCTGCGTGCCCAGAAAGATGCCCAAATATCCCTGGAAGCGACCCACAAACAGCACCTGGGCACTCTGGTCGCTGCTCGTGGGCGATTTTCTTCCACGATGGTGGCAGAGACGCTTCACCTCCCTTAAATTCAGACCTCTGAAACACAAATATCAGAGTCTGAACCAGTGACGGGGGTGAAATTAATCCCGTCTGGGCCTTCCACAGGGCGAACAGCTCAGCCCAGACGCGTTGGGGCGCTTGACCACGGGGCAATGAATCACGTCCACCAACGCGCCTTGGACTGCCTGGAAAAGTCTCGGCGTAATTTGGGATCAAAACTCCAAATTTTGGCCTGGGAGGAATCAAAATGATCGCTCCCGACTTCGGCGTCTGGGCGCAGCTCTTCCTTTCTAGGTTTTAGGTTTAGAGGGGAGCTGAAGGAGGGAATACCCGCGTCAAGCAGCCAACCTGCAACCTGGAGACGCTGTGGGATGCTGGTTTGGTGTCCTCCTTCCTAAGCAGGGGTCACCTGCTTGGGATTTTCTCCCTCATGAGGGCTGAGCCCTTCCAGCCACCTACCTGGGAGGCTGTCGGTGACACTGAGGTGACGCTGAGGTGATGCTGAGGGGACGCTGAGGGGCTTCTCCCTTCGCCCTCACATCTTCTCCACGGCGGACACGCTGCCGACGAGGCAGGTGGCGCCCCCGTTCCTGCCTCCCTCGATGTCCCCCGAGGGGGTTTGGTGGCACCCGGCTGTCCCCAGCGCTGTCCCCAAAGGCTGAGCCCTGAGGCGCCCCCGACCTCCTCGCCTGGGTGTGGAGGGGAGGGGAGGGGGGGGGGGAGGCTCGCCGTGAGGCGGCAGCCCCCTGAGGGGCGGCGGGAGGCTGCTGCGGCCGCGGGGGTGAGGAGGATGAAGGGGGAGGAGGCTGAAGACGAAGGAGGAGGATGAGGAGGGTGAGGATGAAGGAGGAGGAGGATGAGGAGGATGAAGCCGGGGCTCGCTCGGCACCGGCACCCGCCGCCCGCCCCCGCCGCTGACGTCAGCCCCGGCCTCAGCCGCCGCGCGGGAGCCACCTGCCGGGGAGGGGCCTCACGGGCAGCCGGGGCCGCCCCCCCCCCCTCCTCCTCCTCCCCGCTCCACACACGCAAGCCCTGAGGCAGCCGCTGTGGCGGCACCCCCTGTGGTAGCCCCTCTGATAGCCCCTGTGGTAGCCCCGGTGGTAGCCCCCCGGTGACAGCCGGCAGTGTCACCACACAGCGACACTCCCCCAGCGACACCCCCAGTGCCACCCCCCGGTGCCACCCATCAGTGTCACCACGCAGAGACACACCCCCAAGCGACACCCCCAGCGACACCCCCCAGTGGCACCCGGCAGTGTCACCACACAGCGACACCCCCCCAGTGATATCCCCTGTGACACCCCCGGTGCCACCCATTAGTGTCACCCCCCCAGTGATACCCCCAGTGACACCCCCCGGTGCCACCTGTCCGTGTCACCACACAGCGACATCCCCCAGCAACACTCCCATGACATCCCCAGTGTCACCACACAGTGCCACCCCCAAAGTGACACCCCCAAAGTGACACCCGTCAGTGCCACCACACAGTGCCACCCCCACAGTGCCACCCCTGTGATACTCCCAGTGACACCCCCCAAAGTGACACCCCCATAGTGATACCCCCCAGTGCCACCCCGTCAGTGTCACCACACAGCGACATCCCCGCAGTGCCACCCCCAGTGCCACCCCCTGGTGCCACCACACAGTGAAACCCCTGTGATACTCCCAGTGACACCCCCAGTGACACCCCCAGTGACACCCCCAGTGCCACCTGTCAGTGCCACCACACAGTGACACCCCCAAAGTGACACCCCCAAAGTGACACCACACAGCAACATCCCCACAGTGACACCCCCTGTGATATCCCCTGGTGTCACCCCCAGTGCCACCACACAAGTGACACCCCCCAGTGCCACCCCAGTGCCACCCCCCGCCACAGAGGCGCTGCCATGGATGAGGCCCCCACAGCTCCTCGGGGCAGCCGCCCTCAGCATTCCCTCCCCGTGCCTCCATTTCCCCCTCCCAGTCTGAAGTCCTTGTCCCGTCGCTGCCCCCCCGTGACAAAATGTCCCCCTCAAACCTTCCTCCCGTGAGGTACGGGATGGCCGCCACTGATTTTGAGTGTCTCCAGAGAAGGAGACCCCACAACCTCCCTGGGCAGCCTGTCCCAAGGCTCTGTCACCTCACAGAAAAGCCCCCTCATATCCCACTGGGACCTCTCGGCCTTCGGTTTGTGCCCCTCTTGTCCTGTCACGGCGTGTGACTGAGAAGAGCCCGCCTCCATCTTCTCCACACCCTCACCTCAGATATTTATACACGTTTATGAGGCCTCCCCTCAATGGAGGCGTCCCCATCACGACGACGGAGGCATCCCCCTCCTAATAGAGGCATCTTCTTCACGATGATGGAGGTGTCCTCCTCATGTTGACAGAGGTGTCTTCTTCACAACAATGGAGGTGTCTTCCTCATGACGACGAAGGTGTCCTCCTCATGATGATGGAGGTGTCTCCCTCACGATGGTGGAGGTGTCTCCTTCACAACGATGGAGGCATCCCCCTCACAACAACGGAGGCGTCCTCATGGTAGAGGTGTCTTCTTCATGATGTTGGAGGTGTCTCCCTCACGATGATGGGGGTGTCCTCCTCATGATGACGGAGATGTCTCCCTCATGATGAAGGAGGTGTCCTCCTCGTGATGATGGAGGCGTCCTCATGATGGCAGAGGTGTCTCCTTCACGATGACGGCGATGTCCTCCTCATGATGACGGAGGCGTCCTCCTCACGGTGATGGTGTCTTCTTCACGATGAGGGAGATGTCTTCCTCATGATGATGGAGGTGTCCTCCTCACAATGATGGAGGTTTCTCCCTCACGATGATGACGGAGACATCCTCCTCACGGTGATGGTGTCTTCTTCACGATGATGGAGGTGTCCTCCTCATGATGACGGAAGCGTCTTCTTCACGATGATGGAGATGTCTTCCTCATGATGACGGAGGTGTCCTCCTCACAATGATGTCCTTTTTTCCAGGCGGGGCATTTTTCTTGTCTAATCCCAGCATTTACAGCAAGAAGAAAGCAAAGGGGGTTTCTTGCCTCTCGTATCCCACACGTTCCCGCTGCTCACCAAATTTGAGCTGCCCTCAGCACTTCCAGCTCGCCGCCCGATTTCGTTCCGTCAGCTGTATCATTGATCAGCGGGCTGCAAATGATGTTTGCCATCACCCACGTACTTCCCACATTTTCGACTAAAAATAAAGCAAATCGGCCCAGAGCAAACAAACCCTGGTCTGCTGGGAGAGCCCGCGAGCAATCCTGACCCCAAAACAGCCCTAAGGGCTGGGTGACGCGGCGGAGGACATCGCGTCCCTGCTCCATCCATCAACCCAGGAGCAAAAACGTTCGAGAGCAAAGCTTCCGAGATCCCAAACTGCCACCAGTTTGTCATTAATTTCCTTTAAGGTTTCTTTATTTTGGGTTTTGTTTTCCCTCTGCTTCATTAATTTGACCTAAAACTGCCAAAGCAAAGAAAAAAAAACCAACAAAACAAGACGAAGTCGCTCTCCTCTCTCTCTCTCTTCCCACCTTCCTCCCGCTACAGATTTCAGGAGGATCCTATAGGACAGGCATCCAATTAATCCATATTTTGATGTTTTTGGCAAAAATTTTCTTTATTTCATCGGCACGAGCCCTCCGTGTGCATTTTTGGGGGGTGCACATCCTGGAAAAGCAGGGACTCCGGCTTAATATCCGAGACAAAAGCTTGGCCGTGGTAAGAGAAGATAAAAAAGTGTGTTGTTCTAATGGGAATGAAATAAAAAATAATTAATAAAAAGGCTTGGATAGGCCGGGAGCTTTGTATTTGGGCTGTCATTAATCAAGCTAATTGACAGAAGCGAGCCGTTGGGGTGATATTAAGCACAGTGAGAGCAGCCCGGGCGAAATCATCAAGGAGAAAGAAGAAAATACAAAGCAGATTTCTGGGTTCAGCCGTACGGAGCCAGAAAAAGAGAGGGGCTGCAGGCTGGGAAGCCCAGGATGTGCTTTTTGGGTCAAAACGTGGAGAATTTGGTGGCCAAACCAGGCGAGGAAGACCCCTCAGTGCCTGGAACCGGGGGAGGTTTGGGGCGATGGTGGTGCAGAGGGATGCTGCCTCCGATTTAAGGTTAATTCGGAGGGAAAAAGGGGAAAAAAACCTCCTGGTAGGAGCTGGAAATGCCTTACCTTGGGAGACGGTCGCAGGATGAGGCCACCGGAGCCTCCCTGGAGGCTGCCAAGCCTGCAGCCGCGACCACGCCGCTTCCAGAGGGAAGCAGACGGGCGCTCAAAGCGCTCTTCGTTAAACATTTGTCTAGCAATTACATACTTCCGAGTCATTATCGCCGGCAAGGCAAACACCAACTGGATCGCGCAGGAATGAGACAGACGGGAAAGGTTCACGGGGGCTGCTTCTGCCTCTGGGGCTAGCCCCAAATTCTCGCTGCAGGACGGGATGCCCAGAGCTCCAGGTGGAAGGGCTGAGGGGCAGATTTTGAAGCTACAGGGTTGAAAAGACAACTCTAGCAGCGCTGTCTCTCCTTAAATCCTCGTTTTTTACATTCAGGAACCCCAATTCCTTTCTTTTTGCCCCTACAAACCTTTCTGGCTGGCCCTGCCCTTCTGGTTTCTCTTCATTTTGGCCAGGTCTCCTCCACCACACCCCCGTGGGCCAGCTCAGCCTCTGTCTGCCTCCGATTTCTCCTCCTTACAGACACCACGAAAATAAAAAAAAGGACTTAAATCAACCAGGAAAATAGAGACTAATAGAAACGCTCTTGAATCGTTGCCACCCTTGCTCGCGGCTGTTTTCCCCCAAACAAACCGCCTCGAAAGAAGCGCGGCCGGCGAGCGAAATGAATCACCCTCCTCGGTTCTATTTTTAAAAGCCTTTCTCCGTTTTAATTGCATCCCAATTCCCAGGAAAACGCCGTACGACAATTTAGAGGCTGCTTTTTTATTAAAAAAGTCAACTGTTTCGTAAGAAAGCCCCGTTTAGGCTTCGTACTTTGCTGTGGAAAACGGTGAGCCTAATTATTAAGCTCTGTAGCTGCTGGTATCTTCTCCTGGTGGTCACACACGAGCCCCAAATTTAGCACAGCTCCTGCTTTTGGTTTCAGGTAACACACCGTAAGGGGTCCGCTATAAGAAGCAAAACGCTCAAGGAAAATTCTTATAAAAGCAAAACTTGATGACGAATAATTGCTTAAATACAGCAGGGAGCAAAATAAAACCCCGGCGCTGAGCTCCCACCACCATCATACAAGGTGGGAGGGACCTAGATGAGGTTTTCATTTTAATGATGAAAATAAGCTTTTTTTCCCCTTTTTTTCAGGGCTCACAACTCCACCCGTTGTTCTCTGGGGATGCCTATGTCAGTTTTATTTCATGGTGTGGATATTTGGGCCAGGCGAGCACCCTGGCACTATCAACGTCCCCTTAAAGCTGCAAAAAACACTTCTGAGAGTCACTCGAGGAAGGTGTGCGCGCCCCTGAGACCTTTTTGCTTAGGAGATGAAGCATCAGAAAGAGGAAAAAAAACAGAAGCTGATGTTTGGAGGAGGACAAGTCCCCACTGGAAAGCTGAATTCTGGGGGAGTATTAGTAACGCGCCGCGATGCGCAACACCGATTGCCAATTGTGCGCTGCTGGGAGAGAAGGGAAACTCCAGCCAAAGAAAAAGAAGCGAGCGCACGGCTGCAGGAGCTGGAGAGCCGGGTTTGGAGGTGACTCAGAGCTGAACGCCGTCTGAAAAACAGTTTGGAAACACCAGCGTGGCGTTCGAGGAAGGAGACGGGAGCGTGGTGAGCACCTGGGGCAACACAGGCTCTTCTTTTTTTTACTTCTTCCCCACATTTTTCAAGTTAAAGCTGTATAATCCCGATATAAATCACCCAGGAAACTAAATCATGCTGTAAATTAAGAGAAAAGTTACAGAAATTAGAGAAATTCTCATTTTGCACATCTTCCTACACCGAAGATGAAATAAAATCGGACACTACACAGAGACAGCAGCTCGGAGCATGACATCCCAGGGCAAAAGACACCAGAAAAGGTTATTTGGTACTCGCCAGAATCTCTTTATTGATCAGGTTCTGAGTTTATTCAGGATTGTTTGCTCATTAAATTGTCAGCTGACAGGGTAAAACAAGAAGGATTTTCAAATAGTTGCTGGGATAACAGCAGATAGAGGCTCAGGGAAGAAAAAAAAGACTAGAACTTTTCTTATCAAAGCAATTTTCATCACTCACAGAGTTGAAATTAATCACCACCTTTCAAAAAACTCTAAAAATGTGGAGTTTGGCCAGTATTTATAAATGTAATTCAACGTTTTCACTACAAAAGGGAAAAAATGAGTCCTGTTCTGCTCTTTAGTGTGTTGGTCTGAGCAAAAAAAATCTGGATGAATGAAGTATGAAAACCATATGGGCAGCAGAACCACCCGAGCATCGGTCTGGAAACGTTTAAACCACCTCAGATCTTCCTGTTCAAACGATGCAAGGAACTCCAAAACGCACAGTTAGGACAGGAATTTAAAAAAAAAAGATTAAGGAAAGGAAATCTGGGAATTGGTTTGAGGCATTAAAAAGAACCCAGTGCTTCTTTTGGGTTTCTGTGGAGTAGTAACTCCGGTCTCCACCTCGTAAACACGAAAGGAAGGTTAACAGGCAGAGAATTTAACATTAAAAAGGTGATTACAGCTTCCTACGACTACAGGTGAGCCAATTTCACCTGGTTTGTGGTTGTATCTGCACCTGGTTTGTGGTTTTAAGGTACCAAGAGACATCAGTGCCTCCCAGGTTTCCAGAAATTAAACTCAAATGCTTCAAGGCCCTTTGATATCGCTGCTCTAAATGTGGAAGAGATGCTTGTAAAACACTTTTTGGTCCTGAATTATTGAGTTTTAGAAAATGAGAGCTTAAGAGGAGTGCCCACACACAGAATCTCCCTGCAGAGGACAAAATCTCTTCGTCTCTCTGCCCTCCACGTCTTTCGGGCGAGCAGAATCCAGGAAACTCCCTCAGCAGATGACGTAGCGGACGAGGCGCGCGCCGCGGACTTCTCTGACCCGCTGGCAGTGGCGCAGGATGTTGAGGATCCTGTGGAAGCGCTTATCCACTTTCAGCTGGGTGAACTCCTTGATGTCGGCCTCCACGACAAAAAACTCGCCTGGAAAACAGCAAAAAAAGCCACCTGAAACCAGGAGCAGACAGATTCCAAGGAAAGCAACACCCAGAAAAGTAGGAAGGGGGAAATAACGCGTTGCTCCTAAGACTGGAAGCGTGATATTATGAAACAAGAACTTTGTGTGCAATTTCTCCCTTTTTTTTTTGCCCAGAATTCAGGGCAGCAACCTTCATCTTATTTGAAGGTGAAGCGAGGATTTCAAGACTAAAATGAGCCACCGTTAGACCGAAGCAGAGCTGGGCTGCGCAAAAACCCACCCAACCCAAGAATATTTAAAAGGGAGAACGTTCTTGCCTTCTGCCCAGGGCAGGAATCGAGAGGCAGACACCGTGGCGCTGTTCTCCAGAGGAAAGGAACGTCAAAAAATAGATTTTCAAGATGAGAGATTTGCTGTGCCACGTACATTCGGAGAAGCTCGCCCGTAAGCTGAGCGACAAAGACATCTCAGGGCGTTTTTGCTCATCTGTGCTTCACAGACGAGAAGGCTTCTTAAGATTTTCAGACAGCCCTGTCTCTTCCACAAAGCCACCTCAACGTGAGTGCTTTGCTAAGTTTCAGCTTGCTAAATTTTGGCTCTTTTTGCTAAATTTCAGCTCGGCAGGAGCGGCCAATGGGTTTTACACCGGCTATTCTCTGTTCTCCTTTCCTTACGTCAAGGGAGGACCAGAAATTCCATGGCAAGGTGTTGTCGGTGCCTCCATAGGGAGTTTTTGTTCTTTTTCCTTTTTGTTTTTCCTGTTTTGAGAATAAACCAGAGCAGATTTACCTTTCGTATCCTTCGTTTCCTCCCCCAGGAATCGGTGGTAGAGATTCCTGACCGACGCGTTCATGGATTTCAGAGGCTGGTGCAGGATCTTGTACTTGCCCACCACGGCCTTGTTGAGGTCTTGAACGACGGCGTTAATTTGATCGTACGTCAAGCGGCCTTTCATGTACCTGCAATTAAAAAAACAATCAAAGTCAGCAGCCAGAGAGTCAAAAACTTGAAGTTCTTCGCTTATTTTTCTTTTTATTCAGCCTAAACTGAACGTGCTGCTCCTAGTTTGAGGCAGTTTCTGCTGCCTTGTGTTAATGAATAAACCTGGTGGTTCGTTAGAGCGCTTAATAACGCTGCAGGAAAAAAAGCCATAACAGATCTTGAAGCAGAAAGAAAGAACGTTAGAAAGCCAAATCAAGAAATTAAAAAAAAAATATCCTGGCCCTAAACTTTCGGGAGCATTTCAAAAGTGGAATAGAGGTTGCATTTATAGCCTTAACACGAACTACAAACACAAAAAAATCAACCTGCTTGGCAGAAAACAAGGCAAAGATAAAATTGAAATGAAATGTTTCTGCCTAAGAGTGAAATTTGGTTCACTTTAAAAATAAAAATTATGTAGGATTATAACCTTGTAGGCATCCCTTAGTTTTTTTGAAGAAATATCAGTTTTGTTTTCTGTGTTTCCTCGTTCCCTTGTTTTATTTCAGAGAAATCCTTCCCTTGTTTTATTTCATCTGAACGGAAAACCTCCATCTTTGTACGCTTTCCAAAGAATTTAAGGTAGATAATCAATTCAAAATTCAATCTTCCAGGAACCCGAAATCAACTCCAGTTCCAAACCGGATTGCCACGAAGTTATTTGTGGCCAGTTTTCAGCTTCGGGGATCTTTTGGTTAATCCAAAGTTGGAGATGCAACGATTTGGGTAAAAACACTTTACTTTCTTGAGTCTTCTTGAGTAAAAGCAGCCCTCCTGCCTCTGAAATATGGTCACAGGTGGTGTAACACAGCCTACTACCTCAGAATTACTCGGCCTATAGACATTAATTCCTATTTTTTGCTCTTTATGCACCCCTCAACCTTTTTATGAAGTCCCAGGAGAATTTGTAGGCTGCGAAGACCACGGAATTAAGTCTAAAACACCTATAGTCGAGTTCCTACGCTCCTACAATCAATAAAATACCCTTAAAAAAGCCAGCAAACCTCAGCTCACCCTGAAGCAGCAGCAGAAAGGCACGAATTATTTCCCTAAACCTATTTCTGCCTTGAATCCGTAGGTACAAAACCCAAAGCAGAGGGCTGCGTTCTTCAAAAGAACAGCCTAACAGCGGTCTGCCACAAAGATAGAGCTGGAAAAAAAAAGAGATGAAGCTCCTAACGGCCAGCTCCCTAAAAAAAACGTTCAGGCTAAAAGAAATATTCCCCTAAGTTACTGTCTGGGAATTACAATGAAAGCACACGTGCTAAAAATACCTTCGGCGGTGAGAATTTGGAGAAAGAATTAAGCCAGCATTTTTGTTTGCCTCGAACTGAACGCTCAGACATCCACTGTGCCATTTCTTTTCTCCTTCCTCAAAAAAAAAGTGTCTTTCTGGAACGGATTTGAAGGCTAAAATAATTTGCAGGCTTCCCACCGTGCGAGAGTGTTCTGTTTGATCCAAGATCCTTCATGCCTGCGCCTGAGCACAGCACGTGCCTTTGTTAAATACCTGCTGCAGAGCTCAAAAAAGCCACGAAGCCACCGAAGACCGCATGAGCTGTGCTGCAAATCTTCCACTTTTAAGGATAATGAAGCACTTCAGGAGTTTATCAGGGAGGATAACGGCTTTTACTGGGGGTTAAAGCAACATTTGGCTGCGTCTGCTTCTCTGGCTCTTGATGAAGGCCAAAAATTGTCACGTTCCAGCTCTGCCCTTCCTAAATTCCATCAGAAGTACCCAATAAGTAAATCTGAAAGTTGAATTTCTTCACCCCTCTCAAAACAGACTGAGAAATCAAAAGAAATAAATCAATATTTTCACAAAGCCATTGTCAAGGTCAGCTAAAAACTGCCTTTTTCATCATTTTTGCTTTTTTTTGTGTAGCCGTACTGCATAAAATCACCTCTGGAGCTATTGCTACGATGCTTCGCACTGGAACGTTTACAATTTCAACACATCTGTCAGTTGCAAGAGCTCGTTTTCCCCCAAACCTCTGTTTTCTGGCCAAATTGACGTGCGAGGGAGTAAGAAAAAGAGGTGTTTACTCACGCGGGAACGCTTTCAAATTCTTCTGTGGTTATTAAAGATGCTTCTTTAATAAATCTTGGCTCCTTGGCAGGTTTTTTTGCGTGTTCAGGTTCTGCAGCTTTCATTTGGTCCTCGCTTTTCGCAGCTGGCCCAGCGATACTGGAAAATGAATGAATATCAAGCACATAAATAGCAGCTAAGTAGTAAGGGGAACACCAGTACGTTTTCTGTTTATTCACAGCCCCTGAGTTCCAAGCCATCCGAGAGGCCGGGTGAATACAAATCACGATCTCTCCTAGAGGAAAAAGAAATAACTACAGCACACGCTCCCTTTTCAAACGGCACACTTCAGCTGACTTCATTAGGGCCCCTCGTTTCGCCGCCAGCAGGTGAATTGGAAGCAGCCCAAAGCAGTTAAAAATTCAATGTCCCGTTCCATTTCGCAGAACAGGAGGCCTCGATTCGTATCCGATGAAGCAGAGCGCGGAGCTCCAGTCTAACGGGCAGCTTTAAAGCACTCTGAGATGAGTTCAAGCCTTGGGAAGCCTGACTCATCCATTAATCTTTTGGAGCAAGGAAACTCGGGCCAGCTCTGCAGTGTTAAGGATGGTGAGTGCCACCTGCTGGACTCCCGAAACGTCTGGTACACGAAATTGTGACAACAGAAGCTCTGCTCTGTGTTGCTTCCATTTTTTTTTTCCATTATTGTTTCCAATAATGGGAAAAAATAAAATAAAAATCAGGAGCAAACTCCAAAATCAATACGTAAGAACCTCAGGGTCCTAAAAGTTCAGAATTAGCTCCTGGGGAAAGGATGGGAGCTGTAGGACGCAACATCTCCACGCTCACCCACCACGTACCAGCTCCGAGTCGGTTTAGGCAGGTGGAGGGGAATGTTTTCGCGGAGGTGCTGGGCTTCGCTTTGATCTCGCTCAGCAGACTTCTGGAGCTCCTGAAATTAACGGTGGAAACCATCAGAAATCTGAAATTTCAATAATGTCATGCAATTAAAATTAGCTTACTGTTAAGAATTGCTTTAACATCATCCTAAGAGGTGTTTTTTGGGCTCTTCCCGTTGTTTTATATCTTTACCGCCTCATTTTCCAAGAGCAGCACGTAAAGCTCAGGAAAAACAAAGCTAAGAGAGAGAAAACATGAATCTCCCTGCCCTTGCCCTCAAAGTGTCAGAGAAATTTGAGCGGGCAGGAAGTATTTCACAATGTACCATGGCAGATTTGGGTAGGGGAAAGGTGGTGGTGACTATAGGAAGAGATATGACAGGAAACTCATCTGCATTCCTCAAACACTTTCAAAAAAAACCCACAACAAATGAAGGCACTGAAAACACACACTAAAACGGATAAATATATTCTAATTAATTCATTTGTGTATCTATTGCATGGATGTAAAAATAAATCTACTCTTTAGACCACAGAATCTATTCTGCTTAAGGCATGCTTGCTACGTATAAAGCTTGAAAAATAGCGTTTTTAATCTTCTGTGCCTTGATAAACCAAATCTGCTTCATCTGCTGGTTTTATAAAAGATTCTTACTTAAAAATTTGATGGAAAACTGAAATTTCTTTTTGCCTTTAATCCTCTAACACCAGCTACGTCGATATCAACGGGTTCTGCAGGAGTATTGCGGATAGAATCCCATTCTCATCTGGGAAAAAGATTTTTGATCAAGAAGAAAAAGCAACGGCCTGGTGAGAATCCATTTTTTGATTCTCTCAAGCCTTCTGAATTAGCAATAAGGAACAGAAATAACTACATACTCCCTTTGCAACACCCTCGACAAGGCATTAACCTCCACTCAACCCCAACCAGAGACAGGGAAGAGTTTCAAGAACAGCAGCTAACACTTTGCATTGCTTCACAAGTTTTTAAAAGTATTTGTTGCCCTTTCATTTTGAAGTAGCCTCTTGCATCTAAAAATATCACTGAGGATCTAGAGAACAACAACTACGCACAAAGATTCCTCTGAAACTTTCAGTATTTTACGAACAGAAAAACGATTACTTTGAGCAAATTCTTCAGTTTTTCTTGCTGTTGAACTTCCATTTCCATTTTATTCAGGAGATCGTGCAAGAGAACCATCTCTTGTCCTATTTTGCAGAGCATAGACTTGAAGGATGGTTCTTGACCTGTCAAAGAGAGAATGTGAGAATGTTACTCCAGAAAACCAAAGCATCTCTGACACAAAAACGAAATTCAATTTCCCTCCTCTCTGCACAGCGATTTTCTCCTTACTCTATGCTCCCCAGCCAGCATCTCCTCCCAAGAGAAGCAGCAACATTACCCCCTTCATGATCTCCCTCAGCTCTTCAAACACAAAGTTAGCCCAGATGACCCCTCCAAACAACATTTCTACAATTCTCTGTAACATCTGCATTTAAGAAAGGATAAGAGATGAGCCTAAAATATTTATATCAGCTTCACCATGGCAGATTAAATAAGCTTATTAGCCACAGAGATGCATTCCTGTAACACTTGGAGAAGACACTGGTATTCACCTCCAGCTATTCCTTTGCACATTTTTGCTATTAGGCTTCACTTATTTTGTAATTAGGCCTAACTTAACAAGGTATTTTTTCTCCTTTTCCCACCAGGTGTACAGATATATGGGGTATTAACCACCAGCCTACGAGTCTCTCAGAGGAGCATCCTCTTGCCTGCTTGGCACCCAGCCCACTGATTTTCTGCAAGGAGGTATGAGCCCAAACTGAGACAAAACCCAGTCCTTAATTTCTTTTACCGATGCTTCTTAATTGCAGAGTCTTTTTAATAGTTGAAATCTTCATGTTGATGTGAAAGCACAAGTCTTCCAGATCTGAAGAAGCCATTGTCTTCTGCTGTCACACTGAGGGAGAAAAGACAAAAAGCATTGAAAAGAAAGACTTTAAGTAAACTCTAAGTGCACAAGCAGCATCTTGAGAAGGATAATAACTGCCAGAGAAGCAAAGGGAACTTAAACAAGGCAGTAAGTACAGCAACCGCTCCTTTTTCCACCAAATAGAGAACGCGGCAGGCAGCACGAACTACCTGTCACTAACCAAGGCAATCTCCTGAGCTTTAAAACAAATACAGAGCAATATTAGTGCAGCGATTCCTCAGGAAACCGAGTTACTTACACGGCAGAACAAGGGACGGAGCCGCCTCCCCTCAGCCCCGTTCAAACCCGCCGCGCCCGCCTACGGCGCATGCGCGGCAGCCATTTTGTAACGCCCCCCCCAGCCCCGTTGCCACCAGGGAAAATTTAAGTTAAATAATAGAAATTGGATAAATTGGGACAAATAAAGGGTTCATAAACACAGAAGGGGTTATGGTGGAAAGGATCTTACAGCTCACCTAGCTCTAAAACCTTTCTACAGGTCAGGTTCTCCTCACAAGGATGGGACAGGCACAGCTTTTCCAGGCAACCTGTCCTGGTGCCTCACTGCCCTCAAAGTGCAGGATTTCTTCCTAATACCTAAATCTGCCCTTTTTTAGCTTAAAGCTGGTACCCCTTAGGATATACACGTCTGCTCACTGCCTGCTTACTACTTTTTTTGCAGGATTTCAGCCCAACCGCCTCACTTGGTGACACACAGCCCCGCTCTGTGCCTCACCTCAGAGCCAGCCTTCCCTCACAGCGCTTCCACCCTCCCTTGGGGTTTGGCCCAAATTATTCAGGGTTTGCCTCTGTTTGCTGTTTGTTTCTCAGACCGTGAAGCTGGAGGTGAAAGCTCCAAGTGCCAGGGAGAACTGGATGTTTCTGGTGCCCTCTGCCTTGATCCGGGGTGGGCTATAACCCCACAGCGAGGGCATGCTGCTTCCCCTGCCAAGCTGCTGTGGTTATGTCGTGTATACCACACACAACTGGGATTTCACCAAAAAAATATAATAAAAACCCAGCACTAATTAATTACTTAAAGAAATTTGATTTATTTTTGGCATTAAACAGAAACAAAGCCCTCATGTTAATTAAATCACCTTCAACATATACATTCTTATATTGGTTTCTCCTACACATCAATTTCTTTCAGGAAAAAAAAAAAAAAAAAAAGATAAATAAACAGCTTACACTTACCCCAAACTCCTTTTTTTTTTTTTCTAAATAGCTACAGATATAAAGGTTTGCTGCTCCGAATAGACTGCTCATCTCTCCAAAGAGCAAATATCCAAATATGCTGTTCCTTTTCCACAATTCCCTACCCAAGAATAGCTCAGTTTTCTCTCTCCCTGCATCATCTAAAAACCCTAAAGCACCGAGACATGGATTAGCACACAGACGTGTTAAAGAAGGGCCATTTGTAAAGAAGTGGTGCAATCCAAGACAGGACCACATTCACCAGACCTTCAAAGAAAGAAATCAGTTTCAAACAACAAACAACAGGTTAGCAACATTGCTTGGTGAACTAACAGGGTACAAGAAAGTTTTATATTAATATTTTTAGCTGTGAAAAGCAGCCAGATGTGTTCAGTCCCACAGAGAACTCTGCACTAGCCCTTCCAGTCATCTTTTCTGCATAACCACACTGATCCAACGTTGCCTCCAACTCCTGAATTCACCTGCATCACTCTCGCAGAGACACGGTCTGTCTTTGGGTAGACAAAGCATAAATTCATCAGCAAAAGCAGAAAAGAAAAGGAAAAAAAAAAAAAAAAAGCCCTGCTTCATAAGCAATTTTTATTGTCAAATTAAAACCAAAAAGACAAAATGAATCAAAAGAAGACATGTCCCAAACACGCATCACCTCCTGGCCTGGGGTTGTTCACATTTGCTAGCTGCTTCACCAGACAACTCAGATTTCTGTTCCGGACTTCACAGCGTTTGTCTCACTCTAACAAGCCCTGAAGTAAACTGAGTTTCAACACATGACCATGACAAGGAGAAAAAATTGAACCACCATCAGATACAGAGAAAACACATTCCATCTCCCCATGCTTATGAAGAATATTTGAACCTTGCATCCAGCTGTTTCTTAAGCACATCAGGGGAACGATCTGGTGTTTTCGCAGGCAACTGAATCCGCTCCTGCAGTCTCAGTCAGTTTAGTGATTAAAAATAACATTTCTGCTGCTTGTTTTGAGGGTACAGGAAAGAATTGCAGAAGTAGGCTTCTTTCTGGAGCCCCTTACGCCATCTGGTGCTACCTAACCCAAAATCCACAAGAACCTTACAGAAAGCTGTGGTACGTACGACCAGGGTTAAGTTACCGTAGGGTAACGAGTATCGGAATTGCTATTTCACATCACCCACAAGAAACTTTTCCCAATCAGTACAAAATGTTCCTTCCGTTTCATGTAAATAAAGTCAAACATTTGACAAGGTCACAAATTGTCCATTAGCGTTCATCTTTACAAAGCTATTGTATCATCAGGAAGCAAAAGAAGAGTGATCTTTGCATTTTATTAAGCGAACACCCCCGAGTAAAGAGGCTGGTATCCGCTGTCTTCTCGCTTGCAAGTAAGCACGCAGACGCTCAGCATGCCAAAGAACTGAAAAAGAGGAAAAACACAAGAAATTGAGTTTTGCTGCATTTTATTTCACTTTTTGGATCCAACATTTATGTTAGTTTTTCATCATAGCAAGGACATTGTGTTCATATTAAAAAATATTTAAAAAATGAAAATAAATCTATGGAAAATATTTTATTTTTTTATTTTTGCCTATCACTTTTCAATAATAGTTTCAGTTCAACTTTTTCCTCTTTTTTTTTTTCCCATTAATTTATACATCAACATTAATTCTTAGTTATGTTAAGCCAGGAAAAAATTCAGTGAAAACACCAGATTTTTCTGGATTTAGAAGTTCTGTACATTTTTTAAGCATATAAAATAAGGAAATGAAAGATTCATCCTAGATAAATTAAAATGGGACCTGTAACAGAGTGCACAACCGAGCACTTCATTGAGGGAAGGGAAATGATGGAAGATTCCTCCCTGAGCAATTTAAGGATGTTGTAAGTTTTATATCAGTGCTTTTCAAATCCAGTTTTCATCCCCTACATGATTTGCTTTCACGTTTCATTTAATTCAGTGTTGTTATTCCATAAATAGCCTGGCTGGTTTCATTCCTTGTCATGTTCCTAGCCCATTTTGATGCCAGGCCTCCTAGCACAGGACTATTTGTTGACTTGTACCTAAAGCAAACTTCACTGAGGGGTTTAAAAATCCCAGTTAAATACAGAAAAATTGTTTTTCATAACAAATCCTAAATCTAGGCCTTTTAGCACACCTAGCTTTTTGTACTTGCTACTACAGGACCAAGATGGATTATTCATTTCCTTGCTGTTTCAAACTACTTTTTGGATCTCTCCCCTTTTTGTCATGCAAATGAAATGCAGAAGAGTTGGCAGAAAACCAGCGAGGAACATAAAACTGGGTTTATTTTAGGCTAGTGGGACACTGTGGGAAAAAAAAGCTCTGCGATCAAAGAGGAAATTATTATTTTCCACGGGGAAAGAGATGGAAAGCTTTACCTTCACAATGGCAAAGCCCAGGATTACAAGCATAGCGTAGCTGATGACACTCTGCAGCCCGGCCTCCAGCTCCCCTGAACAGCCCTGGCGTGGAAGAGAAAAACAAAAACAAATCAAAGACAATTCAGCTGGACGGGTTTTTTTTCTCCCTGACCCTTTGAAAGGCAGCGGGACGTGGAAATGAGCAGCTAGGCCCTTTATCCTCACCTGCGTGTTGAGTTCCTGCGGCTGATCCAGGCTCCCCGTGCAGTTCTTCAGATTTTGCTTGCAGCAGCTCAGGGGGACGCTGTTGTTCCCGGTGGAATTAAACCACTGCGTGGTTGTCCAGTCGCTGTAGTTCTTCACCCCACAGCAGTGAAGCTGCCAAAGACAAGACACCCCTTTGATCTAAATGCTTGGAGATCTGATCTGATGAATTCCTCTTCCCCAGCCCCAATTCCTCAAATCGTTCTTTCCTAAACAGCCCTCGGGAGAATTTAAAGGCTTTCTTACGTTTTCTTGCAAGTAATCCATCACAGCAGACTCTGAGTTTTTCCCGTCGTACTTGTCGAAGACTGCGCGCATCGTGCCTTGAACGTCACTTTTTACCTGTTTAGAAAGGGGAAAAAAAAAAAAAGACAGATTTAAGGTGAGAATTTGGATCTGTATCCCTCAAAGTCAGAAAAAAAGGCAAAAAAAATTAAAAATGAGAAAAATGGATATAGTGGAGGTCTCTAACAACACAAGTTCTGGCCTTTAGCTTTATGTTAGCACTGAGATGTGAATTCTTTGCTTACCTTCTCCCTGTAAACAAACGCCAGGACAAAAGCGGAAACCTCTGCGATGAAGATAATGAGGATAATGGCCAAGAACTGGAATTAAAAGAGAGACGGGGATAAGGAGGAGGTCCACAGCACCTGAATTCATTTGCACACTCGCACCACGTTGCTTTATGACTCGTGAGAAGAGTTCTAGGACACCCAGATCATTGCGTGGGGCTTCAGCAGGCGGCACCCCGCTGTTTTTGAACCTCTTTTTTTTTTTTTTTCTGGCTTTTATTTTTTTTTTCTGGCCCTGCACTCACCAGCCCCAGGCCAACCCGAGATTCCCGGAAGGTGGCGCAGCAGCCGAGCAGCCCGATGATGAACATCACGGCCGCCACGCAGAGGATGATGACGGCGGGCAGCAGCGCGTACTTGTCCTGCAGGAAGTTGTCGTAGCTCCTGTAGGTGTTCATCACGTAGCCCCCGACATAGCTGAGGCCAGCCGCCGCCGCCTGAAAGGCAATGTGAGAAATTAGCAGCAGGGATTTAATTGATTTAGCGAGTTTTCGGCTTCAGAAGTTAACGATGGCGACGTGCAGATCCAGAAAAAATGTGTGTGTGCATCTGAGACTTGCTACACATCAAAGCTTTAACCCAAAGGAGGGAGAATTTATCACCACGGGGTTGTTTTGTTTTGTTTGAGGCTTTTAGCTGCAGCCAAAGCACCAAAAGGCTCAGCGACTGCCCTAAAAAACTGCCTTCAGCTCGTCCCCTCCTGGAGGAAAACCTTCTGGTCGGAGATGAAACGCAGCCAGGCAGCGAAACGAGGTAAAACTAAAAGATTTGGGGTAAAAACCGGTCTTAAAGGAAGCTCAGGCTCGCACACACCCCACACTGAGACAAAGCCATCATCCAGGCTTTAGGAACCGACGCTGGGAATTTCGTGGGTGTTTTTGGAGGCTCCTCTGAGCATCCTTCGGCTCGCAAACCTAAACCCACCTCACACAGACTCTTTCCCTGCGTTTTCACACTTACACTACTCATTTTCCTGACCGACGGATTGATTACCGCCACGCTCGAGGGATTCGACACCTCCTGGGATGGCCGGCGGCCCTGCCAGCGCGCCCACCAAGCGGCCACGCGGGCAACGAGCGCTCCCGGTCCCCACGGAACAGGCTGGAGCTGCACGAGGTCATAGAAGCCCGCCGCCCCGGAGCCAGCGTGCTGCTAAGCAGAATCATGGCACGTCTGGGGGACGTTTTTATCCTTGGGAAAGGAAAATCTCGGGATTTGGGTTGTTTCTCCCCTCGTTTCAAGGCAGCTGGAGGTGCACGGATGGCTCAGCAGCCGCTGCCGAGGCTGTTTTCTCCGGATTTCGCACCCTCTAGTTCAATATTTGCCTGCAGGACCGCCCTGTTTCCTCGCTACTCTGCTCCTGGCTCCTGCTGCTTTCACCTGCCGAGCCGCGAACCGAGTGGCAAAGAATTGAGGCAGCCCAGCTAATCCCAAAGCACTGGGAAAACGTCTTGTAACAGGGCAGATCCCGCTCATCTGTCCCAGAACGCAGTTTTAATGCTGAAATCACAGGCACGGAGCTGTCGCCTGGCTGAGACCCGGCTGCATTTCGGAGCTGCTCCAGAACCTGCGAGGATCCGTGGCAGCCTCGGGGATTGTCGGAGTAGATCTTGTGTTTTGCTAAGGATCCGCAGCCTCCGTGCTGGTAGAAACCCAAGTGTTATAAAGAAATAAAGACGTTCGGAAAGGGCACCGAAGTTGGTTCCTCCTTCTTCCCCACCCTCTTCAAAACCTGAATTCCAGGTTCTGCTGGCAGGAATGTAATTACCCCACGTTAATGGGTGCTGCAGTGCATAAATGCCACGGGCTTTTGGGGCTGCACTGCTCTTCCTAGGAAAACAAACAAAGGGCTGGCAAGGGTCACCCCAAATTCAGAGGCAGGGGAGTAATTATGGATGGTCTGCGGAGCCAAATGACCTAATGGCTTCAATCATGAGCAAAGAGTTCCTCGAGGGTGGCAGGGAAGGTAGAGAGACACTTCTAGATGGACAAAAGGCTGTTGTTTGATGAGAAAACCCCGAGTCCCAGCAGTGATGCAAAGCCGGGGTGTACGTGAGCCACACGAGCTGAAGCCGGGGGAATTTCCACATGCACACGGCGAGGAGTCCCCAGGTTTCTCTGCGGGTATTTCAGAAAACCACCACATGATGAACAAGCCCTGTGAGAGCACGGCAATCAACACGGCTCAGCACGGCAGTGGGAGGTCTTTACAACCCAGGACACGACACCCCGTGAAAACTCAGGGGTTTAACTCAATGTTTCCATTTCCTTTTTTTATTTTTACCCTTGCGCCTCTCTTTGCGGGACTTCTTGTTCTTCTCTTTATGGGATTTCTTGTTCTTCTCTGTAATTCTTCCTCGCTGTCCCAGCCTGAAACCCCCTGGCTGGTGACAGGGTAGCACGGGCACCTGATGTGTCCCAAAACCTATGGGGCCAGGGATTACGTCCCCCTGTGGGTTGGTGAGGCTGTCCTATAGGACATGACTGGAAAAAGGTGACTATAACCAGGTTCCCAGCTGCGGTTTTTCTACAATAATCCCAGTTTAAGGCATTTTGCTCCCTGAAAGAAAGCCCTCCTCACCAGACTACTTGGCAGCAGCCCCCGGATGATCCCCCACAAACGGTCTGTAATCACCAAATTAACTTAAAACCTGCTTTTTTTCCACAAGATAACGTGCGATTAAGACCACTGAAGAAAACACAGGCTCCGACAGCGCTTTTTTTCCCTCATAAACTCCAAAACAACCTCCCCCCCCCCCCCTCCCCCCGCGCAGCTAAGCGGCCGCCAGGCGTGAGGCGCTGAGGGCTCCGCTCCCGGCTCCCCGCCCCAAACCCGGTTCGCCCCCAAAAATTTGGGGTCGGAGCCCTCCCGCCGCCCCCCTGCTCACCCAAAAGGCGAGGCTGAGCAACAGCAAGACGGTTTTGGAGGTGATCACGCCGCAGTCCATGGCCACGACCGGCCGGGAGCCTCTGAGAGCGGGGCGGCAGCGAGCCTCTGAGCCCGCCCTGGCTGCGCTGAGGCGGCGGAGCCCTGCCCTGAGGGGACGGATGGGGTGGACCCGGGGCTGGGCTTTTCCCTCGGTCCCACACCCCAAAAAGTTTGGGGACAGCCACGGTGTGGCTTTGGAGAGATAATAGAGTGTCTAAGAGGCCAGGCTGGGCGGCCAGACGGGGACGGGCTTCGAGTTCGGCGGCTGCAGAGGGCTGAGGTTTCGAGTGTGGTGGCTGCAGAGGGCGGAAAACTTTTCTCTTTCTGTCTTCCCCGCCTCACGGTATTAAAAAGAAAAGTTTAAAGTCTTTAAAGTAAAAAGTTTTAAAGTGTAGGATGGCGAGGCAGGCATTTGTTTTGTAAAGAGGACGTGTGGCAGCCTGAAGATGACAAAGTGCTTGGCTGCAGCACGCAGTGGTGGCAAACTCCTTGGCAAAATAGTCATTAACCTCTTTCCTTTGGGAATATCGGTTTTGTAGGGTTTGTTTCTGGACTGGTGCTCGAGCAGGAATCATAGACACTCTGCTCTTAGCCCAGAAGTCTATCCCAGATAAAACATTGGCAAAAGGACCCACGTTTGCACTGACAGACCCCATGGGTGACCGTACCCATCACTGCCACATTATAATTTCTATTAGAGCAGAAAGTATTAACAAAGTCTGTAAATATGGATTTTTTCTTCCTCAAAAACAAACTAAAAAATCATCTGTTTCTCGTCCTTGCAGTGTGGCCAGCTGAGGTCTTAATAAAGACAAGAAACGGCCTGGAAAACTTTTAGCTTGTTAACGATCTGTGGTAATGACCGCTAATCCGGGGAAAATATTTCAAATTAGAACAAAAGGGCAAATTTTGAAGGGAAAAGGGCAAAATGCACTTGAAGTGAAATGTAGAGGAATAAAAAAATGACCAAAGAAACAACCTCACCAGCCAGCCAGTCCAAACCTTTGTTTAATATCTAAATAGTGTCCTTTTTGGTTGCTTGTTGTCTTCTATTTTATTAAAAAATAAAGAGATCTAAAGATATTTAACAACGAGAAATTAAATAGCGTTAATCAAGATGTTACGGCACGTATGCTGTTTCTTTCGGAGCAAAATGTTATTAAATTCAATCACAGCTGATTTTATACTAAAGGTGGGCTGTAAAGTAATTTGGATACAAGGATAACTTCTCAGGTAACCACCTCAGACAGGTTCTGGACCATCCTCCACCGGATCAGTCCTAAAATCACCGTGTTAAAAGCTTTATCAGCTGATATTTATTGTTTCTTTCCCCCCAGGGCCCGTTACCCATCGCAGAAGGAAATGAGATGAGAGTAAAACCGTTTGTCCTTGTCAAATCTACGTGCCTGGTACTCCTCTCCCTATTTCCTTCTAGTTGCTTACAAATGATTTTCTCATTACCTACTCCATGGGCTCTTTGATGTTGTTTTTCAGGAGCTGAAGGTAATTGAGTTGCAATTTCTAAGCCCTTACCCTTTTATCCTTTCCTTTCCTATTCTTTTTTCTTTTTCCTTTTTTTTTTCATTTCGTTTCTTTCCTTCTTATTCTTTCTTTTCCTTTTTCTTTTCCTTTTTTTTTTCCTTTCTTTTTCTTTCCTTTCCTTCCCTTTCTTCTTTTTTTTTTCTTTTTTCTTTTATCCTTTCCTTTCCTTTCTTTTTCCTTTTTCTTTTTCCTTTCCTTTCTTTCCTATTTTTTTTCCTTTCCTTTTTTTTTTCCTTTTTTTCCCTTTCCTTTCCTTTCCTTTCCTTTCCTTTCTTTCCTTTCTTTCCTTTCCTCTTTTTTTTTTTCTTTTTTCTTCTTTTTTCTTTTTCCTTTCTTTTCTTTTTTCTTTTTTTTTTTCCTTTCCTTTCTTTTCTTCCTTTCCTTTTCTATTTTTTTCCTTTTTTTTTTCTTCTTCTCTTTTTTCTTTTATTTTCCTCCTCTTCTCTTCCCATTTCTTTCTCTTTCTGTTCTTTTCTTTTTTCTTTTTCTCTTTAATTTTCTTTTTTTTCTTTGCTTTTTTTTTTATTTTATTCTTTTTTCTTTTTCTCTCTCCTTGATCCTATATCCGCCCCTTTTCACTCCAATCTCCCCAAACCCCTCACCAAACAGCCCTGCCACCCCTGCAAACAACTTTTGCAGTCTTCTAGCACAAAGCCCATCAAACGTCACAGGACCATCACCGCCTTAACCCATCTCAGTGGAACCTGCCCTTTCCTCCTGCTCCGCTTTTATCTAATCTTTCCTCAGCGTTTCTCCTCGTGCCAACCGCCAGATTACGAGTGACATTTTGGTGACCGGCGGTGCAAAAGTCACACTGCCTGTCGCAACGGGGGCGGCTGGGGGCAGTTTCCTGCGCTTGGCATGTGAGGGTGATGCAAAAGAAGCGTGTGATCTTCTCTCTGAAATCCACTAAAACAGCTCAATCTCTGGAAAACCTTCACGTAAAAAGCATCGAGGAGGAAAATGTGGAGGAGAGAGCTTGTTAGCTACAGGGAAGGAACCTTTGGATGATCGTTGAATTAGCAAAAAGTCCCAAAACTCAAATTTAGTTTCGGTTCCTCTTTATTATTTGTATTATTTAAATATTATTTAAATATTTCAGCCGGGTTAAAGGCTCAAATCTTGTCCCAGTAGATTTTTTTTTTAAAAAACAGTATTTTTTCAACAATAAAAAATGACATTTTCTCCTTTTTACACTAGGGAAATTGTCCTAGACCTGTCCTAGGTCCTGTGCGATTCCAAGGGGAGGCAGATCTGGGAAAAAAACAAGCGTTTTAGGAAAGATATCCCTGAATAATTACGAGAACTGACACTAATTACAGCTGCACGATTAAACATCTGCAGAACTCGTGGGCTGCAGGACTTATTACCAGCAAAACTTCACAGTTTGGTAGTTTGGGACTAAAAAAAGGTTTGATTTTAAACTTGCTCCTGAACCACGTGCTAGTAAAAGTTCTGATCTCTGCTGCTCGTGCTCGGCGTGGTTGTGTCTCCTGTCTCTGACTCACACGATCATGTGGATGGGAGCGATCAGCAAATCCCTCTGGGAAATGAATAAAGGAACCTGATGGACCTTAAAAAAAATAATAAAAAAAGGAGTTAGGATTTTTTTGAGCACGTATTTTGAAGATTGCCTGGAAGCTCTGGCAGGAGGGATTAAAAGGAAGCATGACCAGAGGAACTGGAGACGGTCTGGAGTGTGATCAGCGAGGAAAACCCAGGGGAATTCAGAAATGGGGAGGATTGTGAGTGGGTTTTCCCTCCTGGCACAAAAAGGCACTGGTTAAAACCAGAATCCCGTTTGCCGAGTAACTGCCACGTGGTGCTGCCCTACCCGCCCCTCGCCGAGCGTAAAATGTTTTTATTTTCTTGTGAAGTTCTCAGCGAGAGGTGTTTCAGCAAGGAGGATTCCTCTTCAGTGCCTTTGACAAGAGTTGGTGCTGTGCTGCGGGGTCTGGATTAAAAACTAGCAGGTTTTAGGACCAGAACGTCTCCTGTGATCTACTCTTGACAGGATTTATAACATTTTTGGCCGCATTTCTGCCCAATGGGAACTTGGCCACCCAGAAAGTCCCCACAAGATCCCCTTTTGCTTCAGGGCTTGTGCAGTTATAAGGGATTTTTACCTTTCGTTAGGACTAACCCATTAAAGTGACTGCCCTGACCCCATAAAGGCGTTCTGACAGTGCCAGTCAGATTACAAAAGGGGGTGGCTCCTGCTGGAACAGAAAAAAGCCCCCAAACTGTTTACACAACCCCGGAGTAGGCAGTTACAACACTCCCTCAGGGATCCAAGCCAACAAATAATAAACAGAATATATGCTATATATATCCTATATATGTCCACCCCATGGGGAAATCCTGAAATATGCAGTGACCAGGACCCCCTCTGGCTAAGGACAATCTGATTTCTCATCAGCTGTTAACGTAAAATAAGAATAAAATCACCAACTACCCATGCCTTAACGCTAAAATTAGGAATAGATCTTTTTTACAGGTGGTGGAGGGACTTAAAAAAAGAATTAGTAGTGGGATTGGAGGACCAACCAGCTCCATTGCTTATTTAAAAATTTTAAAGAGGTGAAATGCTGCACATTTCTTTACTGTATTATACATAAAATTGATTTTTTTGTGTGTTAAGTGCTGACTAAGGCATTTTCTACTTACTTTTCCCACAAACATTAATCAAAACTACAGCGTAGCAAGAAATTCAACCCTCTCATTTTCACCTCAGGGGAAAAAAACAAACAAACAAAAAAAGCAGCACTGTTCACTGAAGTTGTTTTTCTTTCCCAAACGCCTCCAGGAGTCAGATTCGGATAACAGCGTAAATCTCTACCAAACCAAACTCTGAAGATTCCTTTCTGCCTTCAGATCATTTTTTCAATGTTTTATCAGCCCAGTCCTGATTATCTGGAGGGAAGCGAAGCTCTTGGCAGCAGCCCCGTCCCGGGGCCTCCAGGCAAATTCACTGCGGGCAACGAACCTGAAGCGACCGCAGCTCCTGAGGCGCTGCTGAGAGCCGCGCACCACCCCTACCCCCTCTCAGGAGCCGCATTATCGCCGGGCAGCCCCAATTCGCAACGCGTTGTGGCGACAGGCGACATCGCGACATGACAACACCCCCACCCCCGGCCGCCATTTTGTGCCCCCTCAGGCGGCGCGGGCGCACTGCGCATGCGCACCCCCTGTGGGGTTCCCGCCCGCTCTGAGCGTCCCTTGCGTCGTGACGTCACTTCCGCTTCACCATAGCAACGGGAGAGGCGGCGGCGGCCATGACGGCGCGGAGGGGGCCGGGGTGGCGGCGGGAGGTGCTGGGGCCCTGCCCGCACTCTGTGGCCTTGGTGAGCGGCCGGGAGCTGCCACAGGGCTTGGAGGCTCCAAACGGGTGCCTCTTGGTGTGGGGTTGGCCGTGGGGCCAGCAGGAGGCGGGTCCGAGCCCGGGCTGAGGGCGTGTGGCCAGGTCGGAGGGGGGTAAGGCCGTCAGGGGGTGACAGCTGAGGTGGACGGGTTGAGGTTTAAGCTGTGAGGTGGGTAAACGGGCAGCGCGAAGCTCCTCGAGGCCTTTCGTGACGCTCTCGTGCTGTTTTTTGGCTGAATATGAGCCAGCAGTGTGCTCAGGTGGCCAAGAAGGCCAACAGCATCCTGGCTTGTATCAGAAACAGTGTGACCAGCAGGGCTAGGGAGGTGATCGTCCCCCTGTACTCGGCTCTGGTGAGGATGCACCTCGAGTACTGTGTTCAGTTTTGGGCCCCTCGCTACAAGAAGGACATCGAGGTGCTCGAAAGAGTCCAGAAAGAGAGGTCTGGAGAACAAGTCCTACAAGGAGTGGCTGAGGGAGCTGGGTTTGTTCAGCCTGGAGAAGAGGAGGCTCAGGGGTGACCTTATTGCTCTCTACGTACCCCAATTCAATTAAAAAAAAAAAAAAAGTTGTAATTTCATCGCTGCCATTCTTTCTGTTACAGAGAGCCAGGCCTCCTAAAGAGCGAAGAAATGACAATTTTGTCTTGGCCCGCAGAGACAGAGAAGAGGAGCTCCTGGAATACGCCGCTCTCCTCAAGCTCTACAACCGCTGCCGCAGCGTCCACGAGTGGCAGCAGCGCAACGAGCAGAAATGGCTGCACAGAGCCGTGCAGAGAAAGGTCGAGGCGGCGATGCAGGAGTGTCAGGCAGGGATCGATGGCAGAAGAGAGAGGTAGCAAGGAATGAGCCAAAATCTGTGTCCGCCCGGCTGTTTTCCACTTAACTCTGTGCTTAGAGGGGTGATTATGGGGGGAAAAACACTCAGTAGGGCTTGATTTTAGACGTTACCCCAGGTGTTATGGCATGGTCTGTGTTATTAAGCAACATAAAACGAAGAGGAGCTTTTGGGCTCTTGTCACCAGTACAATTCACAACAACAAAACCCTAAAAACCGAAACCACAACAGAACTGCGCTGTGCTGAGCTTCAGAAAGAAGTTTTCTCCTTTATTCTTTTTATAGCAAGCGGCTGTGAGCTGCGAGGAAGCCGCTGAGATCTTCTGGCCCTGCTCAGCGGGGCCACCTAGCGCGGGCTGCTCAGCACCGCGTCCCCTGCCGGGCTTTGGTTAGCTCCAGGCACGAAATTTCGGGGCAGCCTGATGCGGTGTGGGGCCATCCTCGCGTTAGGGCGGCGTAAATGCGAGGGGAAGAGCGCGGTTCCTCACTTAATCATTCAACAGATAAATTATTCTGGTTTTTATTCGAGTGTTTTCTTCACTTCAGGCTTCGCGAGCTTCTGGAGGCCGAGGAAAATAAATACTTGGCTGAGATGGAGGCGTTTGAAGAAACCCTGCTGGAGAAGCAAGCGAAAATGAGGGAGCGAGCGAAATTATTGCGGGAGGAGAGGGAGAAGGAAAGGCAGCAGCTGGTGGCTGAAAAACGGGAGCAGCAATTCAGGTGGGTCCAGAACAATATCAAACAGAGTTGGGGGAAGGAAATCCTAAAAGGCGATTTAACAAGAAGGTGACAGAAAGTGCAGAAATCCTTGTCCTGTGTGAGAATCCCCTGCCAAATTGGATGTTTTTGTAGTTCTTGGGTAGAGTTTTAGCTCAGTGTTATGAAAAGAGTTCCTGGAAGAATTATTTGGCCTAAATCCTGCTTCTTAAGCTCATATATGGAAAGCCCTTGGGAAGTTAGGGTTGCCCAAGGCTGCTGGCTTTATTTATTGCCCACTTTTCAGGAAATAAAGCTGTAATGCAACCTGAAATTCCCTGCTGAATCCTCCTGGATGCCAAATTTGGCAACGACCTTTGAAGTCGTTGAGATTTGCGGGTGTTCCTCAGGTTCCCGAGGCCTTGGCATCCCATCTGACTTGTTCAATTCTTGGAGATCTGCTTGGCTGAGGGATGAAAATCACGTTAATGTAAGCGGAATCATTTGAAACGTCGCTTCTAAGTCTCCCACGGTGGTAGAAAATCTGCAGCACCTGCTTTTTTGTTTTTTTCACCTAAAAATTGGGGCTTTGTGTGCCAGCTGTGACCAAAATCTGCTCTATTTGTGGTGCTACTCGTTGCTGGCGTTCTTAGGAGCCAGATAAATAGGGAACCTGATGCGAGCCTGCCCTTTTCCTGTGCAAAACTGAACGTTGAACCTTGTGGGAAAGGGTGGAGCGTTTCATCGTGGGCTTGAGCGGGCTTTTCTCTGCCCCACGCTGGTATCTTTAACAAAAACCAACCTGCAACATCTTAAAACTGGCATAAAAACTCCATCACCTCCTTTTTCTTGTGGTAATATCAGAAGTATTCATGCAGAGGACGTTGTTATCGCAGCAACTTTATACAACAGCCATAAAATGAATAAATAACTGGGAGGGGTGGGGAATAAACGCAGCTTCTGTCTTTGGGAAGCGGCTCCAGGCGGGCACAACTGGGATGTTAAGAAGCTTAGGGTAGCAAAGTGAGGAAGCGAAGCAGCCATCTGGGAGAGCAGATGTTTATACGTCGCTCTCAAAGCTGCTCGAAAGGAATTTCTTTTGATGAAATCGCGCAATTACAGAGGGATTTCGTAGTAAAATTCGACCCGTGCCGAGCTTTGATTGAACTTCTCTTCTCCTCCGAGAATTCAATTAAATTCAGATGAGTTTAGAAAGGTGAAAAAGAAGAAATCATTCTTTATCCTTTCACTGCTGAGAGAACTTTGAACCCGCTGTGTTCAGGTAACACAGTTCTTTCTAATGGTACATTTCCAATCTTAATTATGGCAATGTTTTTCCTCAGAACAGTTGAAAAACATTTTTCGTGAATATCAATTAGTCCTGTAGTCCGTAATCACCATTAACGACTACCTGGGAGTCGGAAGAAGGATCCCAGGGTTAAAAATATGTCCTGGTTTGAAAACGGTTTGAAAAACACATTAAAGGGGTTTAAAAACACATTAAAAACACAAAATGGGTTTAAAATGGGTTTAAAACCACATTTTTAAAAATGGTTGTTCATGTTAAATTTAGTTTGGTCGTTTCTTTTCTTGCAGCTTCTACGAAATATCCCACAAAACTTCAAATTTAATGCAATTCGAGTGGTTCTTGGTTAACAGTGTAACCTAAATTTCTGCTCTTAAATAGTTTTCAGATTGGGACTGAGCTTTCAAGCGACCTGTAAACTAGTCTAGGGCTTTATTTGAATGAAGAGCAACCTAAATGTTTGAACAAGTGTGTTTTATACGTTAAAAATATGCGTGTGCATGTAAAAAAACCACATAATTCATGCTCTGACTCTATATATGCACATATAATGTATGTATAAAGGAATATCCGGTGAGCATATGCATATATATTGTGCACGTGTGGGTTTTTTTTGAAACAAACAGCAATACAGGGCCTGCTCTTCAAGTCCTTAATGCCAAAATCTCCACGAAATCAGGTTGTCAGTTATTCTTTCTGACTCAGAAGGAATCAGTGCCAGGCCAGGTGGAGAAATCCTCATCACGAGCTGCAGTCTTCCGTGTAGTTAGGAGCTGGAGCCCTCCATCCATCGTGGATCTCCAAATTATGCTTATTATTTCGAACCCCCTCACCTCCTTTTTCCTTTTTTATCGTTTATGTCGCCATCCAGAGAACAATGCGATGAGCTCCGCACGCAGCGGATGAAGCAGCATCAGAGGGAATTGTGCACGGAGCGGCTGGCCCAGCTAACTCTGAAGGAGGAACTGAAAAAACAGCGGGAGGAGGAGGAGGAGATGTTCGCAGAGCTTTGGAAGGAGGACAGGTTGGCTAAGGAAAGGCGAGAGGCGGTGGATGTGCAGAAATTATCCAAACAGAATCGGGAAATCCTGGACGTCCTCGGCGCCCAGGTAGCAGCGCTCAGCGCTCACAAAGAGGAGGAGAAGCGGCTGAAGGAAGAAGAGGCTCGATTGCTGGTAATTTCCAGATCATCCTCAATTCAGTACTCTTTGAAAGTCCCTTTTCACGTTAGGCTTACAAGACGTTGAAATTAATCCACGCTTTATTTGTATCCTCGCTGATTTTGTTACTATCTGAGGCTCTCCTGTCATGCTAAGCCTCTTTGCCAGAGCCGTGGCGAATGCGTTCCTGTTGACAGAGGGAAAGACGGCCTTTGAAACTTAGCACGTCGTGGATTTTAGCCTTCAAAGCTTCTAAAAGCTTTTGTGGGAGATGGAAACGGTGGGGAGCTTTTTATCTTCTCAGCCCCTTCTCCCACTGCTCCTCCCCAGCGCTCCGATCCAACAGAGCTGTGAGCACTGGCAGCCAACTCCCTGCAGGGGGAGCTTGCAGTGTAGCTGAGCTGACTTTGGCAGAGCAGCATTTAGCGTTGACTTTGTGATTTACTTCAAACTTCATCTTCATTTTGCAGCTGTTGATGCGTAGCAATTGACTGGTCGTGCAGGGCACCGAAAGCTGATGTTGGCGAGATAAATATCCCACTGCTTTTTTAAAAAATAATGACAGGAAGGAATCGGAAGCTCTGAAAATCCTGGTTGTAAAACATCAAAGTTCTTATTCCAAGCTCAATTGCAATGTTTCACTCATTTAAAATCATGCAGAAGAAAGCTCTTTTCTTGTAACGACTTCTAAGGAACTTCCAGATCCTCCGAAACTAAAACCACTTCTACTTAACTGGCCTTTTGAGAGAAAAAAATAGAAGAAACGGAAATAGAAAAAGAAGTTAGAATAGGAGACTTCGTAGCTTCCCCTGAAGACAGCTGTCTTGAGCTCCATCAAGAACAGAAATTTCTGGTGAAGTGGTTTAATTTCTGGAAAAAAACAAAAAGCTTTTTCTGATGTGTTTTAGGAGATTTATTTACGCTTTGAAGGAGCCATAATATTTAAAAACAGGTTAAGAAAAAGCAGCGTATACCTCTGAGAAAGCTGAGGCCTTGTTTTGGACACCTGTAGCTAAGTTAATGGTGGGCATGTGCTGTTAACAGCTTGTTCGAGCACAGTTATGCTTGTAAACTTAGCATAATTCACGAGTATTCATGATTAAGTTACTTTATTGATGCTGTTTTGGGACTTTTTTAGCTAAATAATCTTGAATACACATTAACAAGTTAGAACTTGAGTCTACATTTTTAATTTTTTATTGGTTCTTTCTTAAGAACTCAGCTTTATTGTCCGTTTTTCTGTTCTTTCCCGTATAAAGTGGAATGATTTGAGGCCGTGAAAATTCAATAGCTGCCCGTTTTTTAATTACATCGTAATAAAAAGATGCAATTACTCACTTTATGCCCAACAGAGATGCTATGCTTTAAGCAGATAACATCGCAGAAATGGAAGGAACACGTGGTTCTGTTACTGGGTAGTGGTTGTGGCTGTGTTTAAAGAGTTGGATATAGATTAAACGTGCTGCAGGGATACAGATTTCTCTGAAGTATTCTGCCTGAAGTATTTGGAGTGTGGATGTCAGGCATTCCTGTGATAATTACAGAGAAAATCCTGAATTCTAAGGAACAACATGGTAAAACGTTCGTGTTTTAACACCTTTAATGGATGACACTAACTCCAAAATTCTTTTTCTTAGAAATAAATGGTTTTTAATATTTATCTTTGCTCTTTGGTGTTCCAAATAAACTCATCCTAGCCGTTGCTTTGCTTGAAGTTACGAAATGATTTTGCAAGCTGGCTTTCTTTTCCTTTTGTAGGAAGAACAGCAGCAGCTGCTGAAACTTGAAAATGAAAAACTTCAAATGGAGAAATTACAGAAGCAGAAGGAATGCAGGGAGATGTTGCTCGGCGCAGCAGAGGACAAGAGGAAGCGGCTTAATGAAGAAAAAGAAGGCGAGCTTGCCCTCGAGATGAAAACCTTAGAAAAATCGCCTTGGAAACCTGAGGAAGACCCCGAGGAGAAAACCAGGAGAAAAGTAAGGGCTGCAGGTTTGAATTGTGAAGTTTTGGAACAAAACCTCACCTGGATTAATTTTGTTGCTCTTTGTGGAGCTGCACAGTGTAAATGAGATCAGACACGAGACCTTTTCTGTGATCAAGTCGATTCTTTTGTCACATAACCTGTTGCCTCTCTTCCTGCCAGCACTCTGCTTCTCTAAAGAACCCCATTATCTGTTTAAATCCCATCTTGCAATCATCAAAGATGAAAACTGGGGGGTTTATAGCAAATCCTGGCTTCCTGCCCCTCCACACTGATTTCCTTCTGCATAAACCACGTGAGGTTTTTAGTCCTTACGCTGCATGGATGAAGGGAGATTAGGGAAGATTTTGTCTGTCTCACGGACCTGATTTATTAAATATTTGTAATTGCAGAGGAAAGTAAATATTTGCCACGTTCTGGTTTATTAGACTGCCAAGAAACAGTTTTAAATGTTTTATTACTAGCTAGATACATAGATGCAAAATTTCCCATAGGAATATCTCGGGGAGGGTATGAAACCATGGATGTGTCTCACTTTTTGCATTTAGAACAAGTAAATTGCCCAACTTCGAGGTGAAAAATGATTTCAGAGTAACTAAGACAGAGCAGGGAGCTGGGTTCCTTACTCTGCACGAGGTATTTGGAAGCTCACGTGGGTTAGGAATGTTTTATAAACTTTCTCTGTAATCAGAAAACACATTTCTGCACAGCTCGTCTGGGCTTGGAACGCTGCTCGAGGCTCCTGCTTCCCACAGGGGCCACAAACCACTGCTTCTCTCCACTTTTTTTGAAGTGTATCTTTAAACTCTTTCACTCAGATCTGCAAATGTGTTTGTTTTTGCAGCAAGAGCTGTTCAAGGAGCAACAGGCTTACCGGGCGCACCTGGCTCAGCAGCTGGAGGAGGAAAAAGAGCGAGAAAAAGAAGTGGACAAGCTCCTCGAGGAAGAGAGGGCGAAGGTTTGGGCCAAGAAGGCTGAGCAAACGCGGTTGGAAAAGGAGGCTAGAGAGCAGCTCCTGAAAAACGTCCTGGATACGAGACAGCTACAGATTGAGGAGAAGAGTAAGTGATAACAGCTGCTTTTGCACCAAACTTACTGCATGAATGTGAAGCTTCCTATTTTTTGGGTGCCTCCTGGGAAATGACAAATCTCAGGCTTGCTGTTTAGGCTGAGACTTTTTAGACTTTTATCTTCTAAAAGTCTTTTTGTGTTTTTTTTTTTTTTACAGTGCAGAGAAACGCGAAGGAGCAGGAAGAGCTTGCTCAGGAGAAGAAGTTACTGGCTGAGGCCGTCGCAGAACTCAAACGCATAGAGGAAGAAAAATATGCGAGGTATTTTTCCTTCTGCCCGCTGGCTCGTTGCATTGCAGATCAACCTTTTGAAGTTTGTGGGTTGGAGAATTCTCATAATTAGCTTTGTAGGAACACTGGGGAGGGTTTTTTTCCTTTCACGGAGGTTCTGCCATCAGACATCCAGCCTCTGGGTTCCCAACTGCGTTTTTCTGTTTATCAAACGCATCCCCTCACGTTTGGAGCCGCTGAGACGCGAGGAGGAAGGCTTAATGAAAGGTTAGGTCGTTCGCTTACCCTCCTCAGCTTATTGCTAAACCCCACCCACACTCCTCCCTTCAACAATCGCGGCGTCAGCCAGCAAAACACCAAAAACACCAGACCCCATCACCCAGCTGCACGGGATTTCCCCTTACCTTGCAGTTCCTCGGGGCTGGAATGTTTTCATTTCGCAGTAGCCGCAATGTTCCTCTGGGTGTCGTGCAAAACCAGCACTGAGGGCTTAATTTCTCCCATTCCGTTTCCCTTTTTGTACTTCTGCCCTTTTTCCACACCCATTTACGGGACGTGACCGAGTAAACTCCTTCCAGAGCAAGTATCTCTTGCTTTAACTGATAAATTTCTTGATAACCATCTCCTGGATGTGGCAGATATCTCACCCTCTGCCAGGAAACATCCCAGTCTTCACTTTGAATCTGTTCAGTGGGTCAACAACTGCTGTGTCGCGCAGATTTTGATTAAATTGTTAGTTTTTGAAGAATCTGAGCGACTCCTGAGCACGTAGGTAGGCTTCCAGCGCTGCTCCAGAGGATGGTGGAAGCAACGTGTGAATCTCGAGGTAGAGTGGAAGCGTGATTTCTTCTGACAGCCATTTCCTACGGCGTTAGTGCAACGAGCCTGCGCCCTGCCTTGCCTGTTGGCAGAAACCCGTTGTTATCTTCGCAAGGAGGGAGTGGAAACTGGGCGTAAAGCTGCTTCAGCAGTGAGCCAGAGCTCGGGGAGGACTGAAACCCGACGCATTTTCTCCTCTTTCTTCCACTGCGAGGGGCGGAGAAGGCGTGCTGATGGCAAGGGGTGCTTCTTGCTCTTTTATTTCTCATTAAGCACAAATTTTGTGGTCTGCTCGGTAAAATACAACAGAATTTGTGCTCTGAACAACGATTGGTTTGCTTGTAGTCGCACAAGTTAACTCTCAACTCCTAAGAAGAGTTTTGAACCTTCTTTTGGTCCGAGGTTGAATGATAACAGATTAAAAAAAATTGTTATTATTTTTTAACCCAATACTTCATAAATAAGCTATTTACCTGTCATTTCCAGAAAACTGAAGGAAGCAAAAGAATACCAAGAGCAGCTCAGGGCTCAGATTGCCCATCAGCAACGGGCCCGTGATGCTGAGGAAGAAGAGAAGAAGCAAGAACACGAGCTGGGCCTAGCAGAAGAGCGAGCTTACCAGGAAAGGATACAGGACGCTCTGTCAAGGCCTTACGAGAAACTAGCAAAAATTCACCCTTTGAGAAGAAAACTCACGTCTAACTCCCAAGATCACTTAACTCTGACATTTTAGCTCACTCTGGCTTGCCTTTAAAAACCTTTTCTAGGCGTGTTTGTAACTGATTTGGGTTTGACCCTTCTCACTGTGACACCTCAAAATATTTTATTTCACTGGCAAATACAAGAAATATATTTTTAATTTTTTTTTTCCCACTGTGTTTTTTTTAATACTGCGTGTTCTCTGCGGTGTAATCATGATGATGACGTGAAGGATATGCAGGCGTTATTTAAAATCAAAAAAATTAAAACTTTGTAGAGGAGTTTCAGCAAATTTTTATTAAAACACCTTTCGAGCAGCCTTAAAACTAATTAATTAATGGCCAGATTGTGTTTTTTTTATGCAGGAGGAGCGGTGGGTGATGCAAGGAGGACAGGTGGGAGTAAGCCAGCCCCATGACATTCCTCTCAGCCAGCTCCCCGGTATGCATTTCATTATTTTTTTCCCTCTTGGCTTTGAAGAGAAGGGAAGAATCCGTTTCTATCCTCGTGCCCTTTCTTGCTCGTGGGCTTTGTGATTCAGAAATGTTTTCTCTGCTTCCTCACATTTTTCTATTTGAGCCTTCGTTGCTGTTTATCTGCAGATGTTTCTCCTCCTTTTTGCCTTCTGCCATCTCTCCTCCAGTCTTTTCACCCCTTTCTTCAACTTCCATCCCTCCCTAAACGTTTCTTCCACCTTTTCCTTCCTCCTCACCTTCTGTTTTCAGTGTTTTAGCTCCCTGTTGGTGAATACCAGCACACTTGGCTGCTTGTTTTGTGGGGCTATGAGCAGAGAAGCTGAAAAATAGCTGGGATTAGAGCTCAGGAATCCCCGCTGAGGTAGTTTCATCAATCCAGAGAGCCCGGGCAGCCACAGGTCTCTGCTCTCACCGCTAGATCAAATTGGCAGGATGATTAAGAGATTAATTTCCTTGACTGCCACGGACTCCTGGTACGGCCCTGCATAAGCAATGCAGATTTTATTTACTACCCTGCCCTGTGTTTGAAAAAAAAAAATAAATAAAGCGCATAATAACACATTTGCAATTCCAGGATTAATTAAAGCGCGTTATTAAAGGCTGTCGTTGGGTACACGCGGTGCGTGAGAGAGGCAGGATACCACGTTCGGGAGCCAGCCAGAACAATAATAAATCTTTTTTAATAAAATAACTCCGAGGAGGTGATCAGAGCTATCAGAGAGGGTCAGAGCTCCTGCTCCCGGAGGCGAAACTCCTCTTTGCGACGAACGTGGAAATAAAAGAGGAGGTTGGAACGGCTTTGCCTGCAGCAGAACTGAATTCCTGCTGGATAAATGGTAACTCCTTTCCTTTCTTAGAGAGAAAAAAGTTTTGGGGCCAAATACCCCATAAGGTGCCTGTGGGAAGGGGTTGCACACGTTTATGTTCGCTACAGAGGCGATGAGATGAAAAAAAAAGGAATTTTCTTCTTGCTTTTTTTACTTTTCCCAGGCTGCCCGGGGTTTCAAAGGGGGGATCTGAATTAGGACTTAATTTTTCAGGTGTCTGTAGGCAGAAATTACATCCCAAAAGCACCCCAAAAGCCTTCCTACACCTCCCTAAAACACAGCGGAGCGACATTAACTGGAAATTTTGCGTCTTCACCCCCAGCTCTTCCTTTAATGACCCCCTAATAATGGCAAATAAACGGACTCTGGTTATGGGGTGAGCGAGGACGAGCTGCTCCGTGCCACCCCGGGGAGGGCACGCATCTCCTGCGTGCTTCCCGGGAAGTTGCTGGCTCTGTTTTTGGGGGGAAAAAGAGGGAATCTGGCTCACTTTCACACCTTTGATGTGAATGGGAGAGGTTTTAGGGTCGCTTCCCCTTCAATATTAGGGGTTTCCGTCTCCGAGGGGATAACCTCCGGCAGGAGGAGGGAGAGGCTGGGGGAAAAAAGCTTGAAAATGGGAAAAAAGCTTGAAAATGGGAAAAGGGGGGTGATCATTAAAGGGGGGTGGAAATAAAGGGGCGATGGAGATAAAAGGGGGATGGAGATAAAAGGGGGACAGATAAAAGGGGGATGGTGATGATTAGAACGCTGGATGAATGATAATAAAAACGGTGAAAACGATAAAAACGGCTGTGACAAATTAAAAAAGAAAACCAAAAAAGTGTGGAAACCAAGGTGGCATCCCATAATATGGACTGGGGTGAGGAGCCGGCCCCCAGGAAGTCCCGCGGAGCAGCCGAGCCCTTTACCTGAGTGGGGCGCGGCGGGGGCGGTGCTGCCTCCTCCTCCTCCTCCTCTTCCTCCTCCTCCTCCTCCTCCCTCTCCGGCAGCGGGTGTAAAGGTCGCTCCGTCGCCCTGTCGCCCTATCGGGCCGGCAGCCCCCCTATATCCCCTAAAAACCCCCAAAACCCCCGCAAGCTGCCGGCCCCATGCCCCGCGCCTAGCGCTGCCCATGCCCGGCCATGTCCGCAGCTCAGCTCTACACCAAGGTGAGCCCAGGGCTTTTTTGGGGGAAGATTGATGGGTTTTGGGGTCGTTTCGCTCTGGGAAAAAAGGGGGCAGCAACTAAAAGGGGGCAGCAACTTGCCTGCCCCATAGACCCCCCCCTTTATCCCTCTCCATCCCTCCCCTTGCGCCGCATCCGCGCCCCGACGCGCGGCTCCCCCCCAGCTCCCCGCGGGGTTTTTGGGGGCAAAAAAGCCGATTTTCGCCCCGTCGATCCCAAAAGGGGCTCGAAAGGTGCTGCTCCGAGCCTCTCCTCTTCCCGGCCGGGAACTTTTTAGGGGAATTTTTCCCCGCCTTGCCTGAAACCCGGGGCTTGGGGAGAGGCAAGGAGGAAACCTACCGGCAGCGGAGCGCTCCCGGCTTTCCTCGGTGGATTTCCCTCCGGCTTTGGCAAATCCCAACAAATCCCAAATTGTTTCTTTTTGCTTTTTTTTCGCTTTTTTCCCTTTTTTTTTTAGCAGCGGGCGAGGCCGAGCCGCTTCCTCCTGGCAAGCAGGGAGGGGAACATGGCCGATGGGCGAGAGAGGAGCCCAGATTTGTGCCCGGGGGCTGCTTTTAGGGCTTGGAGAGGTGGCACTTGATTTTTTTTTTGGCTTTTCTGCTCTTTTTTTCCTTCTCTTTTTCTCCTTTTTTTCCGTTTTCTCCCTTGCGGCTCGCTCCCAGCAGATCGGTCACCGCTCCGGATAAGCAAATGGCATTTGCATGCCAGGGTGGAGGTGAGGTGCAGGGGAAAAAAAACAAAAAAAAAGGAAGAAAAAGGGGAAAAAAGTGCCCTTGGGATTGACCCTTCGACCTATAAAGGGTTTGGGGTGACGCCTGGTACCTTGTGGGGTCCCCTACTAACGTGGGGACATGCGAGGCGAGAAAAGTTCTTGGCTTTGAAATCTTTTTTATGCTGGCAGACGGAGAGATGCCTGCTGTAATAACGAGGATTTTAGGGTTTGAAGGAGGATTTTTAAGGGTTTTCTTCCCCTGAGCGTGGTCAGGGTGGATGGGGGGACGCTGCTGGGCTGGCAGCAGCCCTATCAAGGAACGGCTTTCGGTCTCCCAGCTCCAACTTCGCTGCGGGTTCCTGCTCCTGCACCCAGCTCAGGCAGCCCTTATGTAATTTGGGGTCGGGCACCGGTTATTTTCGGGTTTATTTTCGGGGATCCCAAATGGAGATGGGATCAGATACATCTCCATGGCCCCGGGGAGGAGGCTCGCGGCGAGCTCTGCTCTGTCCCTATCTGTGGGCAGGTTGGAATGGTCGGGTTAGCTGATCCTGAACTTGATCATTAGATTAATTAGCCCGGGTTGGGTGTTTTTATGCTAACCCGATCGGGTTTGTGCTCCCGTTTGTCTGTTAAAAGGGTTTGAGGTGCCCGGGGGTGATCCCGTGGCTGTCCTGGGGTGCTACGGGGATTCGGTAACCATCCTTGTGCTCTGGTTTCAATTTATTTTTAATCATAACGAGATTCCTGATGAGCTTCGGGGCCGATCCTGCTGCTGGCATCACGGGGAGGTTTTGGGGTAGGGTTTGGCCGTGCCGCTGCCCATCAGCGGGGCAGGTTGGAGCCCTTCTGGGACTCATTTAGTGCTCGTTAAGCCACGCTGATAAACATATTACCCTGAGGAGCTTAGCAGGCAGGAGAGGAACCTGCCCTGGAAACATCAGCAGCTGTGAACTCCCGGGGAAGGCCCTTTTTGCATCCTGTGACCCTTCAGAAGGCAGGACTGGAGTTTATGAGCGAGATAATTAGCAGCTGTGGCTAATTAGGAGCAGGTGAGTGGCTCCCAAGCAGCTGGTGTGCATCAAGCTTCAAGCACGTGGGGCTCCGTGGTGGTAAATAGTTTTGGGGGAGAGCCCAAAGTGGGTTTTTCTTGCTCCTAATCCTGTGCCCAAGAGGAATTCGGTGCCACTGGGTCCTAGTGGAAGAGGGAAGCGAGTAGAGGAGGCGTGGAGCCACGGAGGGATCCTATTTGTGTAAGAATAATGAAATAAAAAATAGAATAAAATGTGTCCCAGATGGAGAATGGCTGGAGCTTTGTGGGACCGAGTGCTGGCACCTTGCTGGGGCTGCTCGCACGCTCCCACCGCGGCCCCGGCTCCCTCTTGGCCTCTTGCTGATGCTGCTAAAACGCAGCCGAGGCAGCTCAATCCCTCTAAGCCCGGGCAGATGCCGGCGTCGTCCCGTAATGGGATAAGAGGGGAAGCGTCCCTCCCTCCCCGAGCTTCGCCTCGGATTTGCAGCGTGGGGCTCGCTCACGCGCCCGCCCTTCCCCATCGAAACTCCTTTGAATTACCCCGTGGATGAGGTCGTAGCTTCGTCCCGAGAAAGGAGCAGAGAGCTGGGCTTGGCTTGGGGTGCTTGTTGGAAGCACGGCCCTAAAAGAGCCCGGCTTCAGCTCCGGGGTGGACTTTGCACCCTCCGAGGCGCAATAAAGGGCCGATAGCGTGGGTTACCCTCTGCTCTTCGACCTCTTCTGCAAACAGCATGGTTGGGATCAAGAAAAGGATTGCAGCAAAACTTGGAGCCCTGGCAGGCACCGGAGATCTCTGCTCTTCACCAAGGACGAGGCTTCTTGTTTGGGGTTGCCCGGCTTTGTCTTCTTGGGGACGGGCACGGCTTCCACCCAGGCGAACCCGTGTCCTCGCCCTGCCCCTCCATACCCTTCCGGAGGCGTGACGTGCTCCTGGGATGTGTTAAACATATTTAAAGGCTTGTCTGGTGGCTGAATCACAGCCCTTGTCGCTCCCAATGACATGTTGCATCCCAGGAATGCGCCCTAACGGGTTGCGCCTCTTCGAAACCCAAAGACCCTCGGATGTATTTTAGAGTCCCTCTTCCAAATTTCCAAGGGCAGCGCTGGGAACGTCCAGCTTGGCGCAGAAACCCCACGAGGATGGTTTTTGGGGCCGAGACAAACCTTTAGTTGTGTTTTTGTCCCAGGGAGCCGGAGCGCCGACGTGCTTCTGAGCAAATCGGTGTCAAAAAAAGGTGGAAAATGAATAAAAAAATGTGTGGGGTGGCACTTAGAGCATACAGGAAAGCACGAGGTGAGGCTGCTTTGCCTTTTATTTTCTGTTTAACCCGGAGATGGGGTTTGGACGTGGGAAGGGGTTTGCCCGCGTGCTGAATTTTGTAGTTGACGTCCCCGGCGAGCGGAAGGTACCGCAAGGCAGCGAGGGGATGCGGAGATACCGAGCTGATAGGAGCGGTGACTTTCAATCTAATTCAGTCTAATTAAGCCGAGTGCCTCCCTGGTGGGTTTCTGCTTCTTAATTAAACTCCGAGCTCTGCTACCGCGGGCTGATTTTGGGGCAGGGAGCGGGGCGGAGGAGCGGTACCCACCGAGAGCTCTCCTGCAGGGTTTTTATGGCCCTTGGCGTTATAAACGCCTTGGCCAGAGGGATAGGAAGGCTGAAATACCGGGGTTGAAATGTGCTCAGTTTTCTTTTTCCTTTTCCTTTTTACGCCTCTTGTCATTTGGACCCATCGCAGGTGGGGTGACGACTGGTTCCTCCCTGCGCAGTGGCGAGACGAGCCCTTACGTTCCCCCTACCCCGCTTTCTTTTTAAAAAGGAAATGAATAATAAAAAAACCAGGGTGTTTAAAGCATGTAAATCCAAATATCGATGTTTTTCAAGTGAAATTAAAGCTCTGGTGCTTTGCAGAGCTCAACAGCAGCCACCCTCCAGCCCCGCTGTGCTCGGAGGTTTTAGGGGCACGGTCCGCGATGCTGGATGGAGGCGAGAGGCTTTGTGGAACCTAAAGGATCCCTTTGCTTAGGGGAAACCCGTTTGATTTTCGAGGCTCTCCACGCTCTCACGGTGGTATTTTTATTTTTTAATTGAGAAAAAAAAAATTGTTCTCTGCTCGCAGCCCGGTGCAAAGTTTGGGGTCACGTGGAGTGAATGAGCGGAAGGCAAGCCCTGCTGCTGTTGGCTAAACTTTGCCCAGCTCTCATCTAATTGCTCATTCGGGCTTTAAATAATGGCCAGGGTGACCCATTTTTTGCTGTCCCTGTGCTAGGGGATGACTGGATGTCGTAGCTGATGGAGGAAAGCGAGAAAATCCCCGAGACTTCGGTGTGCGAGTGTGGATTAAACTGTTGAATTCATAACTTGGTGAGATTTTGGCTTCTGGAGGAGGTTTCTCATCGTTACGCATTCCCAGAATCAAGTCTGAAGGTTTCGAAAGGAGAAACCTCCGAAAAAAAACAATTAAAAAAAAAATAATATAATAATAAAACCATTTCGTGTTCTCCGGTAATATTTTGGGGGCAATCCGCTTGGCAAGTCTTTTATCCAGCCTGCCATCTCTCGCCTGATAAACCCCTTTGATGTGGCTCGTTCAGGGGAAAAATGGCATTACACGCTGCCTCAATCACTCAGATGTCAGCGAGGATATTGCCTCGGACTAAGCGGGGGGAAATTTGGGAAGGTTCAGTAATGCCGGGAGACGTGACCCACTTTTCGGATAAACGCCTTTTTTTTTTTTCAGACCGCCGAGCTTGTGCCGCGCGACGGGGGAGGGCGAAACGTTTCGCTGGGGAGGAATTAGGATTTCCTTCTCTTAATTGTGCTGGCCCTATTCCAGCTGGAGGACGGGTTTCCCAAACCCCGTTCTTTCGACAGCCGCGTTAAAAGCTTCGAGCGTCTTTACCAAGCAGAGCAGCGCTTTCCCCGGGTTGTTTTTAGCAGGACCTGGCTTCATCCTCTGAGAACAGGTTAAAGGGGCCAGGGATCAGGTTGAGCCGCTTCCCGAAGAAAAAGAGCCCTTGTGCAAAGCCGTCCCTTGGGGATTCTCCCCGGGACGGCAGCCGAAATGTCTTTTGGCAGCCGAAATGTGTGAGGGAGGCGAAAAGGCTGGGCACGGGCTTAAATTTGGAGAGCCCCTGGGCGCTGCCCGGCTCAATATCCCGTGAGGAAAAGAGGCCAGGGTGTGCATTATTTACCAAAATTAAATCTCAGCAGCTATTATAATTATTTAGTCATTGGTTGGAGGTTATTTTATACTTTATATTAGCCTTATATTCTTTCTATCAGCCTTCTATCAGTATATTTTATATATAAATGAAGTGTATAAATACGCGGCGGGCTTTTCTCTGAATTTCTGCAGGACTGCCCCGAGTTTCTCTCACATCCCATAGTTTTTTGGGGTATTTATCTGTTGGTTTGTGCGTCCTGCTGCTGGCTTTTTCTGCATCCTCCCGCCGGACACGAAGGTGCTGGTGGGTGCCCTACGAGCAGTGGTTTAGCAAGAAAACCAGGTACGAGGCGGACAAGTCTCTGCAGATCCACACGAGAGGCTCGGGGCAGGGCAAACGAGTGCCTCGTCCCGAGAAAACACCCAAAAATACCTTTCTGAAAGCTCCCAGCCCATGGCAGGGCTCTTGCCATCGTGGGGAGGATGAGAAAGGTGGGCTGGTGGACGAAAGCACGCTGATGGAGGGACAACGCTTCACGGGAGAGCTCTTGGAGGCACTTTGGATGAATTTAAGTGAAAAAAAAAAATAGCTTTAATACGATTTCTCCTTCTACCTTACTGCTGGAATCCTTTAATTATCGCTACCAAAACGCCTCTTGCTCGAATCCTCAGCGATCGATGCGTTTCCCACCAGTTGTTTAGCAACGAAAAAGCCCCCGAGGTGGCCCCTGAGCCTTTCCAGCTCCGTTTAGGCAGGGCTGAAGAAATGAAATCAATTCATTTCCTTTTCAAACCTCCTTTGGGCTAAGCACGTGCAAAAGTGATGCTCCGAGAGGCTTTGGGAAGTTGAGCGTTTTGAGAAGGACGCAGTGATTTGCACGACCTCTCCTTTCTGCCTTTTGGGGTTTTATGGCGAGCAAGAAGTGGGGATCCCAAGGGTCCCCATTGCAGGTGGGTGTCCTCTGGCCAGCTTGGGGACACCGCAGTCCCTTGGGGTGGCACAGGCAGGGGGTGGCCCCGTGGGGCAGAAACCACCCCCAAGGGTGAAAATCTCCTTCTGAGAGGCTGCCACTGTTGGAAGTGAGCGTAATAATTAAAAGGCAGTGATCCACAGGTCTCCGAACAGATTTCCTTTTGGTGGGTCTTCTTCGAGACCGTTCGGAAATACTGGGCCATCCTATTTCTTCCAACCACGTGTAATGAGACTGGCACGAAGCCCACTGCAGAGAGGGGAAAAATAGAAGCGTGCTTTCATTTTTGAAGCAAAACACCCAGATATTTGTCCTGGTGCCCACCTTGCCGTTGGCCAACGTTTGTGTTTGAGCTTTTTTAGCTGCCCGGGAGGCTGCGTTAGCGCCCAGCAGCCGAACAAATCCCGTCCCTTCCCGTGTAATGCTGCTCCTAATCGGCCTCCTGCTGAAATCCAAATCAAATCATGAGGCAGGGATTGAGTTTATTCACCAAAACCTCTGCTTCATCTGGGTGGAATAGCGCGAAAGGCTCCGAGAGCGTTGGGTTGTTCAAGTTGTGGTTGGGTTGGGTGCAAATGTTGGTTTTCCCCCTTGGGTCTTGAGCCAGGATTTGGAGCCAGCCACCAAGCCGAGCACAAATAACGCAAAAACCACGTTGGAAAAGTGTCCCCAAGGGTGGGACACTTGCGCCAGAGGTGAGGTTGTAGAAGTAGAGGCTCTCCATCCCGGATGGGGACTCCCCTCGGGGCTCGGTTTTGGTCACCCGGTGGCTTTGGGCTCATCCATTTTCCCTGAGGGCTCCTTGTCTCCCCAGCGGCTATTCATTTAGGGTGGGAAGGCTTTGGGGTTTCCCAGCTTGGGAACGAGCTTGCGAAGATGCCTTCCCCTCTGCACGATCCCTTGGCCGAAGAAAAGCACTTTTATTATTGAAATTCCCTAGTTTTGCCATCCGGGTGGACAAAGGGACACAAAACCCAGAAAGCTTTTGATTTTGTGGCTGCCTCGAGGCGGGTACGTCCTGATCCCCGACTATTTCGGGCATTTCTGGAACGCCTTTGATCTCCGGGGCGCCGGGAGGAGAGATCAACCCGGGGAAACTGGGGCGAGGAGCAGGGCACGAGGAAAGGCTGTGCCCGGCTTGTCCTGCTCCTTTCTCCCTAGCAAGGTGAAAAACAGGGCTCCTGGCCATACCACCCGGGGATATTTGCTATATTTACATCTTATTTAACTTTTTAAGACAAGGACCAAACCCCTCTGTTTTGCAACGCTGTCGGCATCGCCTGGATTTGCCCCAAACTCTCGTGTTTTGAGCAAATATTTGAGGTCTCGGCCCCCCACTGGTTATTTCTTTGGCACAGGGGGGAACTTTTTGGCTGCCAGGGCAGAGTATTTATTGAAGTTGGAATCGCAGCGTTTCATAAAAAGCTTCTCAAAGGTGCTTGGAAATTAAATTCCCTGCTTACCTTGAGTTCGTACCCTGCTTTGTTGGTAGCAAGCCAGTTGTATACCTTGTCCGGGAGAGACCTGATTGAAAATCTACTTGGAAATCAGACTTCTGGCTTATAATTTACCCCCAAACCTCAAATTAGGACTTTTATTTCCAGGCTGACACAATGTTTTAGCAGCTCTGACTTTACAATGAGTGGTGGATTGTGTCCGCGGGGAATTCATTTATTTCTGACTTAATTTCTTGATGTTTCGAGCTTTTATTATTATTTTTTTTCCCCGTCTTTGAGCTTTTCTTTCTTTCTCCCCCTCCGCAGTACACCAGGGTTTGGATTCCTGACCCCGACGAAGTTTGGAAATCGGCCGAAATTATCAAGGATTACAAAGAGGGAGATAAAAGCCTCCAGCTGAAGCTTGAAGATGAAACTGTAAGCTTTTGAACGTTGTTATTCTCTTCGGTAATTGAAACTCTCAAATTAATGGGTGGGAAAAAAAAAATAAAAAGCCTGAGCCATCTCACATTTTTCAGAAAACATTTTATATGCTTCTCACTGCCTCAGCTCTTGAAGCTCTCCCCTGCTTGTGTTGGAGGAGGCTGCGAGAAAAGCCTTTGACCCCCCTCAACTCCTTTCAGCCCCTGGCAAAGCTGTGATAGCAGAGCAATTTTATTTTTTCTGTAGCAGCGATGTTGTTAGGAATATCAGGCTCTGGGGTTTTGCTGCCGAGCAAATTGGAAGGAGCGAGGCTGGTGGCACCTCCTTGAGACTGGCTACCGATGGAAAATCAAATAGGGCATGATCCTACATTTAAAAAAATACTTTTGGGGGGCTATATTTATTCTTTACGCGTTAAAAATAAAAAAATAAGCAGGACACGTCCCGTGCCAGCTGCCCGTTTCCACGCGGGGAATACTTTTTCCCGAAGGACTTAATGGGAAGATGGAGAGCAGGAATGAGGCACGCTTGATTAGGCTGCTCCTCAAAACAATTTTGCTTTCAGAGCAGCAAACGCGGGCCGGTTGCAGGACGTCAGCGCGCTGGGCTTGAAAAGGAAGGGATTTGTGGTGAAATGTGTGCCTGGCGTGCTTTGGCTCTGTTGGGGTCAGTCCCTGCCGTGCTCGTTGTCCTCCCCGTTTTCTCTTTCCAGCAGGAGGCACGCCGGTGGGTTGTCTGCAACCAAAAAACACGTCAAAGCCCAGCATCCACACGTGCCAGTTCAGCCTCTTGTCCCCTTTATCTCTTTTAGAGCTGAAGTTGAGTTTAGGTTATTAAATTGAAGTCTTTCCTCCGAGTTATTTTGTGGCTTTCGACTGTAACACGCAGCTTTTTGTTTTAAACCTTGTACCCGTCACTTGTTGTGTTGTACCTTGAGTCAGAGCAGGTTTTTTTTTTGGTTGGATCACATCTGTTTCAAACAAGACACGAAGGGATACAGGAGCTGTTTCCTTTAATAATTCCTGCAACACCTTCTTAATGCTTTTCCCCACAAAGCCCTGCCTGGATCCACATCGAGTTGGGCTGGAGAGCATCACCAAAGGGGAACCGTGCAGGTGTGCATCAGATAAAAAAAAAAAAAATCAGAGTATAAATAATTTCAAGGGAGTCAAAGGTGTTGAAAGCAAGCCTTTTAATCCTGACAGCCACCGTGCATTACCCAACGGGTTAATGCTTCCCTTTTGTCCTTGCATTTTAAGTGAATTTGCACGCGTTTTGTGGCTGCTGGCTGCATACAGCGTGCTCCTTCCCAACGACGAGCTCAGTTTTAAATATCACGGGGGATCCCTGGTGTGCTTGCCATTAAGATGGGAGGCTGAGTGCGAACTCTTGAAAATCGGCCTCGGCTGCGTGGGATTAGAGCACAAAACCACTGATTTATTTACTCCACTGCAAAGGGAGAAAAAAAAGTACACTTTTTTCTTTAGTTGGTGGCTCTGCTGCTCGTTTGGGGCAGGGCCAGGAGCTCTTGGCATATGGGCAGCCGTATGGTTCAACGTTATCACCCGGCTCTGCAGAAATTGAAGCAGCAGGGACTCTGCTTCTCCCTGTCCTTCTCCGCCTGAAGGGGTGCAAGGATTTGAGTATCAGAGTAGCCTGAATTAAAGATGAGCTGAGAAATCGTGCTGCTGGCAAGAATGTGGTTTATTCCGAAATGAGGCTGTCCTTCAAAGAGCATGGAGATGCTTGGATCAGCTGGGGTTTTCTTTATGGTTCCTGTTACTGGCCAAAGGCTTTTTGCCCCAAGCCTGGCCTGAAAACAGCCCAGGTGTGCTCAGGTTGGAGTTTCTGGACCATCCCTGTCCCCTAAGACCATCTGTTGGCCATGGCCATCTCCAAGCTCTTTAGCGAAGGGGTTTCTTTTCTGGATCATCCAGGTCCCTGTAGCATTTAACATCAAAAGTCTTTAATTACAGTTAAAGTAGAAGGTACAGGCATTGCATTTTCTCAAGCTGGAGTTATCCGTGGATAAATTATAAGATATTAAAGGAGCTGTTGGTTTTTGTGTTCTCACGTCCCTCGTGCGTGTCTCTTCAGCTCTACGAGTACCCCATTGACCTCCAAGGCAACGAGCTGCCTTTCCTCCGCAACCCCGATATCCTGGTGGGAGAGAATGACCTGACGGCCCTCAGCTACCTGCACGAGCCGGCGGTCCTCCACAACCTCAAAGTCAGGTTCCTCGAGTCCAACCACATCTACACGTACTGTGGTGAGTATCGTGGTGGGGCCGTGTCCAGGTCTTGTAGGCTAAAGGCTCCTTTCCAAACTCTTCTTCCTCGGATAAGTTGGTCATATAGCACGTAACGCCCCGCTGGGGTGAAGGCTGCTCTCTGAAAATTGATGTTTGAGGACATCCGAGTGTCCAGACCATGTGTTTATCTCCTGGAAAGCAGCAGGTTAGAGCACAACTACTCAGAAACCTCTTCACACCATGAGCCGTGAGTAAGGTCCAGGACTGTGAGTTTGGGGTAGGTGGGAAGCATGCGTGTGGCCAACAAGTTTTGGGTTATACATATCTGGGGACAGGGGACATAGTACATGATTCTTGGTGGAAAAGCCTTATCAGATGACTTCGAGGCCAACTTGGAGGTCTGTGGAGAAAAGGTAGGACCTAGGAAATCACGGGAGAACAGCAACGTGCCAGGAAGATGTCATCCAACTCCATGTCCATGGCGTGTTTCCCTCCCAAAAGAGAGTTTCCTCCTGTGACGGGTTTATAACGGGGACCAGATCTATGGGATTTGGTGTCCCAGAAAATTGCACAATTTATCCAGTCATGAGAAGAATTACAGAATGTAATTCTGTAATTACGTTACGGAAGAGCAGACGATAATGATGTTCGGTTAGCGGCGTTGCCGAGCATTATTTTTTTTTCTGCAAGAGAAGCTCCTTTCTGGAGACCTTTCCATCCAGCATTTGTGATCTCCAAAGAAAATGAGTGTTGATGGCAGAGGTTAGCAGCGTGTGGGTGGAAAAGACTGCAAAAAACACCTTTTCTTGATGATTTTTGGGGTCATCAGACTCTAAAATTCAGAGCACGAGGAGGCCAGCTGCAAACTTGGCTTTGTCATCCCTGGGGAGAGAGGCCTGCCAAAATCATTCGAGGCAGCAGTTACCTGTGGATGGATAGCAACAGCTCGCAACCCTTTATAATAAAAATAAAATTAGGAAAAAAAAAAAGCTGACTCAGCCAGTTTTCTGCAGTTAAGCGGGAGAATATTGAATATTGAACCCTTTTGCTGGCACTCGAGATCATCTTGCAGATTAAAGATTCCCCAAGCAGCGCATTGCAAGATTTCAGCCAAATTCATGGGGTTGTTTGCGCGGCAGGGCATGTAGAGCTGTCATGAGGTGGGGCATTGTAGGGTTGTTGAGGAAACGCTTGGCACGTTTCTGTAGAGCACTGCCCTTGAAATATGTGGCTGAGTAAACCCCAATAGGGTTTTACTCAGACGTTAAGCCAGGGGAAAGTCCGCCTTTGCACAACGGAGATTATTTTCTATTCATTTTCTATTTTCTATTCATTTCTATTTTCTATTCATTTTTCTCACCAGTTTCATGTGCCTCCTCTGTAGCTATCCTGCAGCTTATTCCCTTGCTATCAAATCACAGCACTTTGATGGAGATGCCGAGATAAGAACTAGGAGTCTTTCCCATTCCTTTCTCATTTCTTTTCCCCAAGCATCGTATTTAAAAAAAATAAAAAAATCAATTGAAACAACTAAGGCAAGCCCTGTAAAGCCTGAAGCATTAACTCTGGGCTTGCTTTGTAACCTATCTGTGTATTTATCTCTTCTAAGGCATTGTCCTCGTGGCCATCAATCCCTACGAGCAGCTGCCGATCTACGAGCAAGATGTCATCTACGCCTACAGCGGCCAGAACATGGGGGACATGGATCCCCACATCTTCGCGGTGGCAGAGGAAGCCTATAAGCAGATGGCCAGGTGAGGGCTGCTCAGTCAGATCCCACAGTCGGATCAAAAATAGGGAATTAAACGTGGCAAATGCACGGTTTTGAGTTCGGAGGCACCTTTGGTGGTACCTGGAGATATTTACGGGTCCGCAAAAGCAGCGCCTTCCCCAGATGGATGCGGTGTTTTGCTTTATTTCCGTATTTATCGTGTTGCTGAGGACAGATGTGGGATTTTGCTCTTATCAGATAAGCCGTGATCTGCTTTAGGCAGCTGGGATGCACATGAGCATGGTGGGACCATGAGTGCCTGGGCAGGACTGAGGCCTCTGAGCGTGTTAAATTGGTGTGAAACCATCACTTCTTTGGGTTTTCGTAATTTTCACTGTGATTACATGATGTCCACCAAGGGGGATGTCTGCTGCTTGGGGTTAGAGGTGGGACGGGGAGGAGGGTGGTGAGGCTTTGGGAGAGTTGTCCCACAAGCACAGCAGTGGTGTAGGACCACAGGATTTGCAGAAAAAGCTTCCCAGGGACTGAAGGAGAGACCTGCCCGTTGCAATCCCAACTTAAAAAAGAGCATCTGGGTGTTAGGTAGCTGATAAAAGGTGAGTTTTTGGCAACTCACTCGAGACTGCACACTGAGGAACCGCCGACCTTGTTCGTTGAGGATAAAGAAGAGCCGCATTCTTCACCCCAACACCTCTTGCAAAGCATAAATCCCAGGAGAAGGTCATCTTCCTTGTGTGCCCTCAGGAATTCGTGGACAGAGTGGAGACAGATGGGCGTTTTGTAGAAAATTCCTGTGCAGCAAGCTGGAGCAAGCAGGATTTTCCTTGCTGCATTTCCAGCTGCCTGGGGAGAAGGTGCTGAAACGAGCCACTGAGGGATTTCAGATCCTTCATGGGTGTAGGTTGTTGATGGAGGAAATTATTTTTCCTCCCCCATCTGCAAAAAGCACTGTATAAAAGGGTTATCTACCCCCCAAAACATAAAAAAATAAAAAACTGTGGAGGTAACCCATGCTATTTATTGAAGATACGGCACAAAAAAAGACCTAGGTGAATGCATAGGGTCTTTGGGGGCTGTTTATCTTAAAAATGGGCAACTTCTGTCCTTTTGTTTGAAGGCAGGGTTGGCGATCTCGGTTTATTTCCTTGCTGTTGTTATCATTTGGGGAAGTGCAATGCAATTGTACAAAATCCTTACATTTTTATATACTGCTACCCATGCAATTTAACACTGACACGTGTTTTCAGTCCCCACTTCGGGGCTTTAAGGGTGTTCTTGTTAAGCTCAGGCTCAATTTGAACGGCGTACTTAAAACGTTTTTAATCTTCCCCTTGCTTTATGGCCACTAATCCTCGGAGCATCCAGGAAGAAGGAGGTTAAACATCACTTCCCCGGCGGAGATGCGGCGAGTCATTGACTCACGCCGCGACGCGGAGAATTAGTGTCGGGCAGGGATTGACCCTGATAATTGCTCCTGGGGTCTGGCTCTGCCCTCGTTTGCTTCAGATATTCTTTTTTTTTTCCCTCTTTAAGGTTTTTAGTGTGAGTGGCTTTGCTCTCACTGCTGAGATCGAGATGAAGTTGTTCAGCAGTTGGCTTAAAGCTCTAGCGATGGCTTTCGAAAGAGAAAACAATGAAGACAAGAATGGAAGAGTTCCTATATGACTTAGGGCTGGAGAATACTTCAGAAATATTTCCAAAGGCTCTTGGTTGCATCCGTGTGCACCAAGATATCCTCCATCTCTTCTCACCAGTCGGGAGCTGCTGGTGGTGGAAAGCATCACTGTCCTGGGGCTCAAACCCTTGTACAACGTCCTGGCCATGGGTTTTCTCACTGGGTTTGGTGTCTTTTGGGGAATGTTTTGAGTTTTGAGTGAGACAAGCCAGAGGGAGGAAGGAGCCACACCGCTGAATGAGCTCCCCAGGTGGAACTGATCTTGGCCTTCTCCAACCAGTCGCGCTCTTGTATCTGAAAAGACATGGAAAAATGTCAAAATTGGTAACAAAAGGCCTTAATTATGAATCCTAGATTAAAAAAAAGCCCGGGGTACGAAATGTTACCTGGTGGCAGTGCTGATTGGATGCTAAATAATGCATAATTCTGCTCTTTTGAGCTTTATTGGCTTCATTCAAGTGAAGAGACTCCCTGCCTGGTGTGGTTTTCATCTTCTGGCTTAAAGGAAAAAGCCTGGGGCCAAGTTCCCCGAAATGTGCGAACTCGGGCAGTCCTGCTGAGATGTCAGAGAAGGGTAAGAAGCAATAATTACCGAGTGACTTCTAGGCAAGAAGTCCAGCACTGGAAGAGTCCAGACTTCCCTGTTTATTTAATTGCACAGGGGATCAAATGACTTCAGCTATTTCCTAATTTTAGGGTGCAGGGTTTCATCTCCTGGTGTCTCTGTGAACGCTTGGTGATGTTCTGGAGATGTTTAGGGTGTCTTTTACGCTTTAGCTGAGAGGCGTCACAATTTTCAAGGCAAGGGAGGCGGAGGCACGTGAAGACGGAGGCTGATGGCGTGATGTGAATGTTTTATCAACAAGAGGACGGATTGATTTATGAAAGTTTTTCTTCTCTGCTGCCACAGGGACGAGAAGAACCAGTCCATCATCGTGAGCGGGGAGTCGGGTGCTGGAAAGACGGTCTCTGCCAAATATGCCATGCGCTTCTTCGCGACCGTCGGTGGCTCTGCCAGCGAGACCAACATCGAAGCCAAAGTCCTCGCGTCAAGCCCAATTATGGAGGTAAAAGCTGAAATTTCCCTCTGTGCTGCTCGTAGTGATCCCCGTTTCTCTCCTGATGTCTCTAAAACACCAAGAGCTGTGCAGAGAGGCCGTGGCCGCTGGGTTTTGCTGGGGAGGAGCCCAGCCTGTGGCTGCAGAGCCTCTCCAGAGGGCCTGGATAAAGCTGGTGGTGAAGGAGGGTGTGGGTGTCCTGTAAGGCAAAATAGGAGCGCTGTGGCTCTTTGGATGTTGGTGGTGGAATGACTGAAAACATGGTTTTTCCAGGATTTTTGTGGAATTAAAACACACAGTGACAAAAATGAGCATTTGTACAGCACATGAGGTCTTCCCCTAAACCGCACAGCTCCTTCATCAGCTCCCAGCGCTCTTCCTTCTGCTGCTGGGATTTCCTCAAATCCTCCCGTGACTATTTATGCAAAGCTGATTACAAAATTAACGTTTAATTTCGTGTCACGCAGGCAATCGGGAATGCGAAAACAACGAGGAACGACAACAGCAGTCGCTTTGGGAAGTACATTCAGATCGGCTTCGATAAAAGGTACCACATCATCGGTGCCAACATGAGGACGTACCTGCTGGAAAAATCCAGAGTCGTGTTCCAGGTGAGGAGACCTTTTTTTCGGGGGCTGTGCTCAGGGAATTCAATAGTCTGGGTCTTCTCTTTGCGTTAAACAAGTCACCTTGCTGCGGGAACATTTGATTGCGTGTCGGTTTTGGAGTCTAAATTCAACTGTGAGATATCGGCAAAATGTCCCAAGACTTTTTTTTGGGGGGGTTTAATTTTTCCTGAAATGATCAGTATTTCATACAATCAGTATTTGATGGCATTCCTTCTTTGAAATGCAGAAGTTATTTGAGCTCCAAGGTTGTACTGATAGCCCCATTTGTCAGCGCAAGCAATCCCAGAAGCCAGTCTGCTCTTTTTTTTCTTCCTCTTTTCCTCCAATCTTTCATCTCCACACCTTCCCAGAGGCCGCTCTATGGATTCGTTAGGTGGGATTAATGCAAGACATCCCTCCCAGGTTTGCATTACTGCAGGCAGAGATCGCATATAATGCTCATAAACGTGTCAGTCAGCGGAGAATGCCCCTCTCCTTCATCCTGAAGGTTGGGAAAAAAATGCTGCAACCTCTTCTCCCCCCATTAACTCATTGTTTTCCCCCCCACAGGCGGAGGACGAGCGCAACTACCACATCTTCTATCAGCTTTGTGCCTCGGCGAGTCTCCCAGAGTTCAAAGACCTTGGACTCAGTGAGTATTTCCACCTCTCCGTGCTGCCTGAGGGCGACAGGAAAGCACGGCGGGGTTAGAAATTTGTAAAGATCTGTGTTTTAAACGAAACCTGAGCGTGGCTTGATCCGGCCGGCTTCTTGGCAGGAGCACTTTTGTCCTTTGAGTCTGTTAACCTCCCGGATCCGCTGTCAATGGTTAACCCGGGACGCATCCCGAGTTGTTGTGCCTTTTTTTCTTTGTTTTTGTCCCGTTTCCCCCGCTGTGATTTCACAAGCACAAGCTGCCGGTGGAAATCCGAGTCTTTTTCAACGCTGGCTTTTTAAAAAAGGAGAGCTCCCCGCTGCATCACCCAGGGGGTCCTGATGCTGCTGTGCAGCTCTCAACCTCAGCTCTCAAGGGAGAAGGAGAAATGGCAACAGCTGGCACCGCAGGAGGCGGTGGGCACGGGGCTGCTGTCCCACGGGGCACTTGTCTGGAGGAGAAGCCTTTTAGCATCATTTCTACTCAAAATTTGATGATGTCGGTGTGTGTAGTCTCCAGCTGTGCTATTCCACGCCGCTTCTGCATTTGCTTAAAACGCAAAAAAAGAAATGATTCTCTGCAAAAACATCAAGCTCTGTCTTTGGTGTTTTCTCCCCTTTTTACTAAACGGAGCAGGATGTTTGTTTTCCCATATCAAAAGCAGGATCTGATGCTTCTCCTCGGAGTCTCACACACACAAAGAAGTGCTGTTTCCCTGGTTTATATTGCAAAATGCTGGAAAAAGAGTCTCTAAGCTTACTTGAGCCCAGCAAAGCGATCCAGTAAGCTGGTTCTTCAGGTAGGGCGATGCACGAGATGTGCCAAAGAGTTGAATTTTAAGCCGGCAAGTAAATATGTGACTTAGCACGTGGGAGCTGGCAGCATCACAGCGCCCTTTCCAAGCCTGATATTGCCCTGAAATAACTTCGTAGGGCACAGATGCTTGGCTGGGGTCACGGATGCTGACTCTGCTGGCGTCTCTCCATGCCCTTTGCCCCCTGTGTCCGAGGCATTATGCTGAGAAGGTGCTAAAATACTTGAAGCTGTCACGAGTAGGTAAAAATATTTAAAAACATTTAAAAAATATATCAAAAGTAGGAGATAAAGGTAGGCAGCTCCTAGGTCAGATGAAAGCTTTGACCCAGCAGGCTGGGGATGAGGCAAAGCAGCTGCAGTGGGCGAGTGCTGCTCGCTGAGGCTTTTTCATTTCTTCTCTTTTAGCCTGTGCTGAAGACTTTTTCTACACTTCTCAGGGAGGCAGCACGTCTATCGACGGCGTGGACGATGCTGATGACTTTGAGAAAACCAGGCACGCCTTCACCCTGCTCGGTAAGGGGCTGCTCGGAGGCTTCCCAGCAGCAGTCTCGGTATTTTGCCTAAAAAAAATCCATCTCCTCCACCTTTTGTTTGATCCACTCCTGAAGGTGTTGCCAAAATCTCAGATCTGGGGGCTTGTCTCTGCCCCAGCCTGGCTCACCTCCAGTTAATTAACGCCAAGCAGCATCCTTGGCTTTGTGCACGTTCACAACAGTGGTCAAATTGCTTTGATACAACCGTTTCTGTAACGAAATAACAGCACGCGAGGGGCTCCTCTGGCATCTGAGCTGTTGTTTCGGAGCCATGGGGTGAGGATGACTTTGTTGGGACACAAAACCAGTAGCCCAGGCAGGAAATAAAGCACCCCGAGCCCTTCAAAATGAAGGGAAAATTGCAGTTTGTGTCGTTTTGTCGTGAAAACCAGCTGTCGATTGCTCCCCTAGGAGTGAAGGAGTCTCACCAGATGGCCATTTTTCGGATAATCGCTGCCATCCTGCACCTAGGAAATTTGGAAATTGAGTCGGAGCGGGACGGCGAGGCCTGTAGCATGTCGGTAGGTCACCAGTCCTTTTCCTCCTGGCATTATTTCCTGGCTGATCCATTTTTTCTTGGGAAATGGTGCCTCATTTCTCCTCTTTAGCCTTCCCATAAGCAATACAAATGTTTTTTGCCTCGGTATGTCCCAAATCAGCTTTTTGGCTTTCTTAAAAGTCTTGGTGCATGCCATACTGGGAAGGAAAAATCAATTTCCTACAACCACGTTGCTACTGGCAAAGCCACCAGGATCCAGGACTCAAGGGAGGGTGGCACAAGCTGCCAAGTATTTCAATTAATTAGCAAGAATAAATAAGTTTAAAGATGCCTTAGCAGGGATTTTTCCCTTTCTGCGTGTTGGCTCAGGGTTAAAAATAAATAAATAAAGAGATGATACGGAGAGCACTGTCCTATCAATTATCATTGCATCCCAGGCTGGGTCGTTTGTTCCTAATTAAAGTATTTAAATGGGCTCTGCACACGTTTTAGCGTTACCCTTGAGATAATGCGGCGTGCAATTAGCGGGATGCTGGGGGTAATTTGCCTGGTATTTAGTCGTATGGATATGTAAAACTGGCCTGCTCCAACGAGGTTGAGTTGTGTAATGGAGTTCATGGTGTTTAATTGCCTTCAGATGGAACTGTGTGGTATTAAACGAACCCTGTTATGACTTGGAATCCGGGGTCCAAAATGTATCGCAGCAAAAAAAACACCCCAGAGGTCTTTTAAAATGCATTTTGCTCCCCATTCTCAAACCCTTCTGTACCAACAAGTATCTAACGGGAAATAATTGCCTTCCTCTTGATAGATATTATTACACCGAGTTAGAGGGAAATTGATTTCTCCTTGTCCAAGAGAAAAGTGCCGCCTTAGCATAATAAAGCCTCCCCACCGCCGTGCTTTATTGGGGGAAAAAAAATAGGAGGCACTGGAGAAAATTGTTTGCTTTTCATTTCATTGATCATGTAAAACGGTGCCTTCTGGTAATGCCAATTTTGCAGGTTTGTTATTCAAAAATTGAGTTAGTCCTTAAGAGGTGTTATGTGCCTAAGGCCTACCAGGGGGCTTGCTGAAGGATGGTTTTTGGGTTGGGAGGCGCGTGTGGGTGGTACGGTGGGCAGAGGGTGGCCTCTCCTCTCCAAATTTTGGGTTGGAAGAGTCAGCCCCCGCTCCTCTTGCCTTCTGCTTGCCCGCAGAGCGAAGACGAGCACTTGAACCACTTCTGCGGCCTGCTGGGCGTGGAGCAGGGCCAGATGCAGCACTGGCTTTGCCACCGCAAGCTGGTCACCACGGCCGAGACCTACGTGAAGAGCATGTCGGTGCAGCAGGTGGTCAACGCCAGGAACGCCCTGGCCAAGCACATCTACGCCCAGCTCTTCGGCTGGATCGTGCAGCACATCAACAAGGCCCTGCACACCACCGTCAAGCAGCACTCCTTCATCGGCGTGCTCGACATCTACGGGTAGGCCTCTTTTCCGCTTCCGAGGCCCCAAAACGAGCACTCTTTGATATATTTCACCCTTCTGGCAGAGCATCCTTGACCTCGGCTTGCAGTAGGGGATAAGAATGATGCTTAATTCAAAGCTTAAAGAAGAGCTGGGCTGAAGGTGAAGAAGTGGGGACAGACAGGCTCCTGTGCTGGGGTCGCTGTGGGGAGACGGGGACTTTCCAGTTGTGGGGTGCACAAGGAAAGAGGCCTCCTGGGTTTATTCCCTCTTCAACCTTGTCCCCTTTCTGTCCCTTTGGGGAGCAAGGAAAAGGGAGCAGTGGGGCAGTAGTGACCCACTGTGATCCCTTAACATACCGAGATGTTTGGTTACCCCAATTTTGGAGGTGGGGTGGGATGGACGAGCTGTAGCCACTCCAGGAACTGCTCCCTGACCCGTTGCCGTGCTTTCTCAACCCCACATCACCTAATTGCAGACTCCTTGTACAGTCTGTCAGACCCAGGTAAACCTGAAATTCCCAACAAAATCCTGCCCAAGGGGTTCTGGGCTAGCTACAGAAAGCTTCTGCGGCTGCAATACCAGTTGAGTTACTGGAATTCCTCTGCATGAAATACCACGTAGGGTTTCTACGGTTGCTGGCTTTTGGGATGGGGAGTTCAACCTTAAAAAAAAAAAAAAAAAAGTCCTTTAAAAATAATAAAAAAAAAACCAACCTGCTCCTTTCTCCCTTTTTTTGCACTTAATTTCTCCAAGGGCTGACGCATTTTATGGACGTTACACCTGATAATGACTGTTTGATAATTGCTTCGTGGGGATAGCAGGTCTTGGCCTAAAAGTACTAACCACCGTTTATTTTTTGAGGGAAAAAAGGTTTATTTTTTGAGGGAAAAAGCACTTAATTCAGTGCTTTTAAGACTCCTTTTTTTCTGGCTCTTACAGCACCTATTACCTGAGCAATTACTTTGCTGCACATTAATCACTGCAGCAGCTTATTCATTTAGCACAGAGAGCTTTGCCACTTTTTCCCTTAGGTTAATCCTTACAGGCATTTTTCAAAGACCTCCCCTCTCTCTCCCTCCCCACTGCGCCTTAGAAATAACATAATTCCCCGTGGTAGCTGAAAAATGCCCTTTTATAACAGCAAGCCCAGCTCCCCCAAGCTGCCCTGTGAAGAAAGTGTTGGATCCGGAGCTGGAAGCTCCAGTTCTGCCTTCGAGGGGTCTTTTGCTCACACGTATCCAGTGTTTGTGCTACCAGGGCTGCAATGCTGAGGCTATAATTATGAATTTAATATCTCCTGTGCTCTGTCGAATTACACGGAAAATAACGTGTTGGCTCCCTTAAAACAGCAGCCACCCTGTCGCTTTTGCAGGAAATATATTTGGACTTGATCTTTAATATTATTTTTCCCAAGAGATGCTGTTAGATTTCTTACCTCCTTCAGCGCTGATGGGCAAGAGGCTACGGTTGTACCAAATATCCGATACACCCTTAGACCTCTTGAATCCCTTGAGTTGTGGCGATATTTTGGGGAACGAGGACTAAAATGTAGATCTGGGATGCGAGCGACGTGAAGAGACGGGTGGCTAACCGGCCTTCCCTGTCACACAGATGATGCTGTTGCAAAGTGAAGTAGATTTTTAGATGAAGCAGTGCTTCCTGCTGATTTATTCATTGCTTTGCAGGTTTGAAACTTTTGAAGTGAATAGCTTCGAACAGTTCTGTATCAACTACGCCAACGAGAAGCTCCAGCAGCAGTTCAACTCGGTAAGGTCGGCTTGGAAACCTTCCACAGAAGTTAGCAGAAAATTTAGCAAGGCACGGCTGGCTTCCACTTAATGGCATTTATCTGCAGCCTGACAAGAATTCATGGCCAGCATGAGTGCGGTCCCTGCGATACCATCTCCCGGGCAATGATTATGCTAAGGAATTGCACTAAATATTCAGATCAAGTCGAAAATGATGCTCGGTTGGTTTATAAGATGGGTACTGGTAGCAGACTTGTAAGTGGCTTTTGCAGAGCTCCACTGGTTTTTGAACAGATAGAAAGTTTGTGCTTTTCCCCCTTATTTATTTATTTTTGCATAGTTTCAGTCCTCACCCGTGCTAAATTTTTTTGGTCTTGTGCCGAGTCTGGATTTCCAGTAGAAACTGTCCCATGAAGTGTCTCTTAAACCACTGCAACTAAAACTCTGAGACTCTAGGACTGGACACACTTCCCATTTTTCACCTGACACAAAACCCCTGAGATTCTTCTGTTTTATTAGACGCAAGCACCTACCTGCACTGAAAATGATGAATCCATTAATGGGTTGTCATCTGCTTTTGCTGTAAGCAGGGAAAAAAAATTACTGCTATTTTCAGGCTATGAGGCAAAACTTGTTAAGTTTGAGCAGCTATGGGGGTAGTTTGGCACTTTGGACCTGTATCACATGCACAGACACGAACATTTTTTGAGATATCTAATGCATCAAATCACTGCTTCTAAAAATGAGAAGTAAATTAGGGATTGTATTTGCACTATTCATATCTTTCTTAGTATGTCCAACGATCACTTCTGAGGCTTATAAATTCAAACTCAGAGATGATATGTTTGAAGAGATTTTAAAAAGCTATCTTTGAAGAAAAAATGCGTTTGATTTTTTTTTAATGTGCTTAGAGTATCTCAGAAATAGCCACAGACAAATTATCTGCTTGGGCAGAGGTCTGAGATATATAAGCCAGGCAAAGATTTGATTTTTTTTTTTAAATAATCTGCAGTGGAAATGTTCCTGAGACGGTCAGATACCGATGCTGATATCTCCTCTAGGACGATGGGTACATTTTGGGAAACTCTGCTCACGCATCAGGGCACAAGTGCTCAGCCCTGGCTTGGCCCCAGCTTGTGAATCTGCTGCAGGTCACTGGTTTCATCAGTGGAGCACCAGGAGAGAGGGATTTTGAGAAGTCCAACGTTTGTATTTCAATGCCATACCAGCATATGGCTTCCACTTGAGTGTACTGAGAGTTTCAGTAGTTTTCAACTGAAAAAAGTGCTTTTTTCTTCCTGCCTCATGGTCTCCTAGCATAATATTTAGGTTTTCCTTGTCAGAAGCTGGTTTCTACGAGTTGTTAAAGCACTGAAGGAAAGCTTTGCTCGGGTGGGGACAAATGGGCAAAGGGGGAAGGGGCTGGGGTCACGGTCACTAACTCTGTGGTTTGTCCAACCTCAGCATGTGTTCAAGCTGGAGCAAGAGGAGTACATGAAGGAGGGAATCCCTTGGACTCTCATCGACTTCTACGATAACCAGCCCTGCATAGACCTCATAGAGGCAAAGCTTGGGATCTTGGACCTGCTGGATGAAGAGTGCAAGGTAGAGAGGACGAATCCTCTTTATTTTTATAAGATGTTATTAAAGAAGGGCTTTACCTATGGTATTTTATGAAGTGTGAACGTGTTCAAGCGTTCATGGCTTGGGTAGGCTGTTGGCATTTCCTTTGCTTTAGCACCATTTGGATCCTTGTTGGCAGAAGCTTGTGACCAACCTAGGTGCCTGATCTCACTGTGTGATGCCAGGGCTCGTGCTCCTGGCCCAGGGACAGCCCTTGCTTGCAACTCTTTATTCCCTCGGTGTTGTTCAGGAGCCGGAGTTCCTCCTTGCCTCGACGTTTGTCTTGTCCCAAGGGAAAATCGAGTTTTCTCGTGATAGCTATTTGGGTAAAGGCAATGGTATTTAGACTTCAGACTCTGGAATTTGTGTTTCTGTGGCCCTTGGTGCATGGGCAAAGTGCACCTGGGTCTTCTGTTTGGTTAACCACGTGTCCTTGAGGGACATCAGCCACTTAACAGCGACTTGCTGAAGGCGATGATGTGTCTGTTTTGCAGAAGACGGAAATTGTATGTCCTCTGTGCTCCTTTTGGGGTAGAGAAACAGGACTTGGGACGACCTGTAGGAGTCCTGCTGCATAGGCTTCTTCTTTAGCTCTCTGAAGTTGCTTGTGGTGTTGCAGCAATTTCTATGCAACGGCAGTAACACGGGCAACTTTGCTGTAAAATCTGCCTAGCACTTCTTTCACATGTGCCTTTTTGACCAAAAACATGTGAAACACATCATCTACACCCCCCCCCTTCCTCACTCCCAAGATCAGACTCCAATTATCTTGGTATTTACCTGTCACCGGGTTATGCTGCGATTAGTCACAGGCACTTATTACGGGCCCTCTAATCGGCTCTTTTATAATAACCCTCAACCCTTCTCCAGCTTTATAAAAATTTCAACAAGCTGTCAACCAAAAGCACCGGTTTCTGGATGGAAACCTTCACCCCCGCAGCACCACTTCACCTTTCCGTGGGCTCGCCGTGCCGTCGCGAAGGAGCCCGGCAGCTTCTGCCACAGCCCTGCAGAGAGACGGGGGCAGCGCTACAATTAGGGTAATTGCAAGTCACCTCGTTAAGCACGTACCGCAGCCCGTAAATGTACTGCGGGACCAAAATGTCATCGAGGGGGTCCTGGTAACAGAATGAAGCATTAGCGCAAAAGGCGGAGGGTTTGTCGCTAGAGTTCTCGCTTTGCTGTATTTTGGGTATTTATTTTTAATGGGAGGTTGGTGAGGGGGTGGCTGGCTCTGCGCTGAAGAAGTTCAGCTAACGAAGGTCCTAGACCTTTGATGGGTAATGAGAGACTTGTCACCATCTGGAGAAGGGACCCAGGAACAATAGAAATGGTAATCAGCAAGAAAAGAGAAGGCTCTCGAATCGTAATTGGAGTTATAGGGACTCAACTTATCTCATGAAAGGAAACGATAAAACCCTCTGGCTGTGTAAAAACAGAGAGCTTTAGGATTTGTAGTGTTTACTTTTGTTTTTTGTTTAGACAACTCTGTGGTCTTATGAGTTGGAAGTTGGTAGAGTTATTGGTGTTGGAGGTGGCACCTGGAGATCATTTGGTGCAACCTCTAGTTATCACAGAATCCTCTAGGTTGGAAGAGACCTCCAAGATCACCGACTCCAACCTCTGACCTAACACTAACCAGTCCTCCACTAAACCATATCACTGAGCTCTACATCTAAACATCTTTTGAAGACCTCCAGGGATGGTGACTCCACCACTTCCCTGGGCAGCCCATCCCAATGCCTCACAACCCTCTTGGTAAAGAAGTTCTTCCTCATATCCAACCTAAACCTCCACTGGCAGTTATGTCCATGGTCTGCCCAGGAAGCCTTATTTCTCCACAAAATTGTGACCCTTTATCCTCTGTTAAGCGACTTTGGAGTCCTCAAAGAGTCTTGTGCCAATTTTATGCACTGGAGAGTCACTTGCCTGGATCTGGTGCTTTTAGGAGCTCTTGGTTTTGTTTTTTTTTGAGTTGGGAAGGCATGTAGAAGACTTGCTCTGGATATCTGGGACAGCTTTAGTGCCTGGTTGTCCTCGCTGTGCTGACTTTGGAGAGGACAGCGGACTCCCCAGGAAGACTTTGAAGGCTTTGAGGTTGGAGGGATCATGTGAAGAGTGACTCCAGTGCCCTGGAGAGGAGGAGCTGTGTCCGGACTCATTTTCAAGAGACTTAACTTATCCTCGGAGGAAATAGAAAATTCTCTAAGAAATGCAGCAGGGTCTCTGCATCAAAGCTGGATGAAGTTTCTTGCTTTTCAAGCTAAGAAAAGCAAGAAACCCCTTGCTGTGAGTGCTGTCCATCCTCCACACGCTTCCCAAATTTCATTCAAGTGCTGTTTGGAGTTGCCGTGGGTAGCCAGGTTTCTCTGGAAGGTGTCCCCCTACTTTCTTGCTTTTATCTATCCTGTTGGGATGGGAATGGAAAAAAACAAAACCAAACAAAAACACCACAGATAAAAATTCTGTTAGCATGACCCCATTTAAAGGGGTTTGATCAGGAGCAGGATGGTTGGGAAGGTTGACGTGTCAATCCCAACGTCTGCATCCCAGTATTTCTGATGAATCTCGGTGAAATTTTTTCTGCTGAGCTGCGGTGTGACCCTGAGGCTGCTACAGGATGTGTCTAACCAAAGCCGTGAGCTCCTGCGTGTTCTCCAACTCCCTTGCAGCTCCCTTTTTGTGTTTTGTGGCACGTTGCCATCACATTATGCTGTTGACGTCCCAAATGCGTCTTCTAATTCTGTTCAAAAGATGATCTTTAACCTTCCCCGTGTCCTTCTGGCGAGTGTTAGGAGCATGAAGGCTGCTTCTAATGGACCAGCTATCAGCCCTGCTTGTCTCTCCGCGCTGCTGTGAACTCGGGGATCTGAGCAAATGCGTTTTCCTTGTCTTGCCTCGTTAGGTTCTTGAACATCAGAAACCAGCACGTCGCCTTCCCCTACCAGGCGGTTTGATCCGGGGGGGATTTCTGCTCCACGAGCAGATACACGTGGCTCCGGAGCACGGAGGGAGGCTCTTTCCAGGATTTAACATATGTCGAAGTGATAAAAACAAAAATTTAAATAATTTGTGTTTTAAGAGTGGGACCTAAATATTGTTTTAATGGTCCTCCTGCTGGAGGTGGCAGTGGTGGGAACCTCACCTTGCAGTCAAAGCAGCTCCAAACACCTCCTCAGCTGCCTCGTGGTCAGGGTAGGTTCTTAACCATGGGATGCCTCTGAAAATAAGGGGTCCTAGGCACTGCCCCTGGCTTCAATGGCTAGGTGTGGGGTGGGTTGCACCAGCTCCTGGCAGCTCGGAGGATGGTGTATGAGGACGGGAGGTGATGCTGCCAAGGATTCGGCCCCTATCAGGTGCTTCTCAGGCAGCTAAAAATACCCAGGCTGCACAACGGTGAGCAGGGAGCGGCGTGGAAGCGGTGAAACCCTCTTCCCAGGAGGCAGGAGGGAAGCTTTTGAAGTTTCGTCTCTGAGATAAGCAGGTTTCTCAGCAGAGTGGCTGGCCTGGAAGAGAGCTGGAGCAAGGTAAATCTGCTTTCCACAGGGCCAGGCAGCTCAGGTGGCTGCGATATCCCTGCACTGCACCCGTGGCTCGGTCCCAGAGAGCCTAATAAATACTCCAGAGAGGGTGTTTGCATCAATTATAATGCAAATAAATATGCTAAAGATAAAGAAATAAAAAATCTGCATTTATATAGCTCCGTAGTTTAACTATGCACATCAACCTTGCATCAAAAAAACGCGCATAATTGCATAAATAAATGCTTTTTAATATTTATATGTGATCTATACATAACAATTGGCTACGTTTACAACTGGAAAGTATGAAAATAATTCTGGGATCCCATTTCTTGCCGATGGAGTGGGCGGGAGCAGCTCGTCCCTGGGTCCCCTTCTGGCAGGTTTGGGCTTCAGAGAAGCATCAGGAAATATTCATCATCTGCCTCCACTTGTCCTTCTTGCTTGCTGCTCCTATTTCCTTTGTAATTTGTCTTACAAAGGTCCATATAAAGATCTGATGGATGAGCAGAGCTTTTCCTGACTCTGCGCAATTGTTCTGCGTTTTATCAGCTTTGTCCTATCCGATTTTAAACACTGCCTGACTCTTCTCTTCCGACAGCTTTTTCTAACATGAATAATTGGGATGAAGCCCCCCCGGAGCTTTTGGGTCAAAGATTTTGCTCTTTCCATCCCCGTTCAGGTTCCCAAAGGCACCGACCAGAACTGGGCGCAGAAGCTGTACGACCGGCACGGGGGCAGCCAACACTTCCAGAAGCCCCGCATGTCCAACATCTCCTTCATCGTCCTGCACTTCGCAGATAAGGTAACCGCTGGTGCTGGGTGCTTTTTTTTTGGTGAGAGGGATGCCCAGTTGTTTGAAACCTCGCTGCTGATCTGGATCAGTTTGGAGGACTTCAACCTCTGAGCTCTCTCACTAAGCATTTTGCTCCAGGAGAGGAAAATCCCATTTTTCAATGCTGCAGTGAAATGGGTTCCTGTTAGGGCAGCTTCACTGCAATTATGTTGGCAGGGGGAGTTATTTTTGAAGAGCAGGAGCTGGGAGCAGAGGGGAAAGGTGGTGGGGAGGAGTGCAAGAGGTGCCCATGTGGCAGGTGCCACCCTTTGGAGGAGAAGATGCTCCTTGTGCATCTCCAAATCCCAGGGGCTGAAGCTTTAGGGTCTCATCCACGGGCTCCAGCTATATTGAAAACCTGGCACGTCAAATCACTCAGAGAAGAATCCTGGAAGCTGGGAGTTATCCAAACACACCTGGGTCTGAAAGGGAAATGAAAGAGCAGCCTGGGGACGTGCCAGAGGAGCCACGCGACGTGCAGGTGCCGCAGTCCCTTGCAGGAGCTTCTCTGTCACCTGGGATGCGAGGGGCACTTTTCATGATGAAGGCTCCTATTTTCCTTCCCTTAGACACGTGATTTTGCACGCACACACTTCAAAACCAATATTTCCTTGCAGGTGTCGCCTGTCAGCTTTGTGATAAGTTATTTCAGCTGACTTAAAATGTTTTTTTTTAAAGGAAACAAAAGTTTCCCTCTTTCTTCTCAAAACCCTTTGTGTTCCCCCAGCCCTCTGCAAGCCGAAAACCAAGAGACCTACGGGAAACGCAGCCAGGAGATCTTTTTAGGTTCATTGATTGTCTTGCAAGGAGCCTTTTAAACGAAACATCCTGTTGAGGGACTGATAATCCTTGCATTTCTACCGCCGGCTTGAGTGGAAGCGCAGCTGCATCCAGAGCAATTTAATGATTTAATGCAGTCTGTGGTTGTGCAGAGGATTTTGTTGTCATTCAGGTCCATTTTCTTTAATAAAAAGCAACCTTCAGGTTCTGTCCGTTCCCCTGCCCTCGGGTTTTTCGGGTGGGCTGTGGGCAGAGCGCCTTGCAGCTGCGCTGTCGGGTTTTGGGTGGGCAGAGTGCGACCTCTGGGCTTTTTTTTTCCCTTTGTCCTGTGCTAGGTGGAGTACCAGTGCGAGGGATTTCTGGAAAAAAACAGGGACACGGTGTACGAGGAGCAGATCAACATCCTGAAAGCCAGCAAGGTAAGTGCAGCCCGTCGGGGCAGCGGTCTCGGCTGAAGCTGTTGGCGCTGCTGGATAAGAGAAATGGGAAATGAGAATGGGAAATTGAGAGTTGTCAGCGGCTTTCCCTGGCTCTCAGCGATGAATTCATACAAGGACGGCCAGATGTGCATTTTTCTCATCCGTGGGGGCAGATGCAAGTCTCCTAAAGCTGAAACTGGGCTTTAACAACTGAAACTGGGCTTTAACGACGCCCAAATCAAAAGCTTTGATTTTTTTCCTCGGGAAGCTTACAGCTTTCCCAGGGTAAAAGCTGTGCGTTATTAGGGCTTCCAAGAAACTCCAGGTAACCTGCGGGAATAATTAATGCTGTGTGATAAATCATTAAGCCAGTGCTGAGCTCGCTGTGGTGTCTGATGGGGGTTTGTCTGATTTTTTCCCCCCTCTGCATTCCTCTTTGCATTCCCACTACGGTGATGAGCAGGCAAAGGGGGGAGCGCAGTCACTTGCGCTTGTCAAGGACTTCAACACCTCCCTGCCAGCAAGCGCATCGCTGATGAGGAGCTCCCACCAAGGTGGAATCGCATCCCGCTAATTAGGAACGCAATTAGCGCGGTCAACAAGACGGCAGAGAGGACTTTTGATAAAGCAGCTAATTGGTTTTGCTGGCACTGCTCAGCCAGAGCAGCTGAGAGCTGGTGTCCTTCGAATTAGGGAAAATGATGTGAATACTGATCGAAAGCATATGGGCGTGCTGTTAGGAGATATTTCAGTCCTCTGTAATTACGAGTGGGCACCAGCATTTTTGACTCTGCCCGTTGGGAAGGAAGGATCTGTCCCTTTTGCTTTGGATCGATGTCCTTTTCCCTAGGGATGATGCTCAGAGGAGGTATTTTGGATCTCGGAATACAAGAATTGCTTTCCCTTGATTGCTTTTCCTTCCCTTTCTGCTTTAAGATGGGTAAAACCCATCAAACAACACATCTCAGGGGTTCGTTCAGCAAAAAGCAGTGCCCCGGGTGCTCAGTCCTTGTCTTGCCTTTCAGTACCAGATGGTAGCAGACTTGTTCCAAGACGAGAAGGACGCTGCCTCCGCCACCTCCGTGGGGAAGGGGACGTCCAAAATCAACGTCCGTTCGGCCAGGCCAGTGATCAAAGCTGCCAATAAGGAGCACAAGAAGACGGTGGGGCACCAGGTAACGTGAGCGGGCCGGTCGAGTGAGGAGACTTTCCTGTGACCCATATTGTAGGATGGATCCATATTTTGTACACTTTCTAGCAGTTTCTTGGAAGAGCAGACTTGAAACATTTTGACTAGGAGCTGAGGCACTGCTTAAAGAGGAGGCTGCTCTGGGGTACACTGGGCTTGTATCACAGTGCTCATAAATTAAGAATAGGGAGGTTCTGGTTTGAGAAAAAGCTTCTGTGGTGCCTTCATCCCTCCTAAAAGTGTGTGTTTTTTTTTTTTTGTTTTTTTTTTTCAGTTCCGCAACTCGCTGCACTTGCTCATGGAGACCCTGAACGCCACCACCCCGCACTACGTGCGCTGCATCAAGCCGAACGACGAGAAGCTCCCGTTCAAGTGAGTGGCCTTTCGGATGGGCAAACGTGCTCAGTTGTGTAGAACACGAGAATGTTTTGGGCTCTCTTTTCCTAAAGAGATCGCCCTTTAATTTGGTTCCGTAACTGGAAGGTCCAACAGTTTATTGGGATCTCTCCTCTTGGATTTCGTCAAGCATTGGGTGTTCCTCCTGCCCCTGAAATGGAGGCTCAAACAGATCCTAGGAATTCATTTTTACACTCTGTAGATACTTGGTGTGCTGCAGCACATCCTCGCTTTGCAATCATAGGGTCTTCGATGCAATTTCATCCTTCAAATTGCTTTGATTTAAATAGTTATAGGAGCAAACACTGGGAAGCAGCAGGGAAAGAAATAAAAATGCGGGGACGAGCGGTGTGCTTGCAAACTGGTTTGTAAAGTGAGCAAAAACGTCTCGGTGCTTCCAAAATAAACATGGCCAAAGTAAAACCATGACTTGCATCAACTTCAGGCAGATTTCCAGGTGAGTGAATAGCTGAAGCAGAAAGCTTGATAGAGGCTCTGCAAGGAGAACTGGCTTAACCTTCCCAGGGGGTGTTTCAAAGACTCAATTTCCTTACTCAGCTGAACTTTCAGCCCATCCTTCTTCGTTTTTTTTGCCTTTGACTTCCCAATCCATTTTTTTTTCACCTGATGCTCAAGATCACATCGTTAGTATCCCTTCGTAAATGCACAAGCTCCTGGTGGTCAAGGTGCAATAAATTGTCTGAACTGAACGTAGCTGTGCTTCTAGCACCTTCAGGTTAGCAAGTACCAGGAGGATAATGCTGCTTGTGTCCGAGCAGTGTGTCAGGGTTGTCAAAACTCAGGATTTTGGGAACGAAGGGCAAGCCAAAGCACAGACAGGAGCTGTTCAGGAGGAGCATGCAGGGGACTGTCTGCAGCCAGCTTCTTGACTCTTCATTGCTCTCGCTGCCACCAGCGTGAGGAATTTGCATCCTTCGCATGACCGGAATAAAACCATTTGTTCATACGGAAAACTCAGGCCTGGAAAAATCCGGCAAATACTGCGATGGCTGCGAAGGATTCCGCCTTTCATAGGCACTTGTGCTGAAAAATACACGGTGCCAGGAAGAATTAGAGAAATGAAGCATCAGCGTCGCTGCACTGAGCTAGCATTGAAGCTATCTTGTAGTTCTCATAGCACTTGATGTTATATGTTCATTATTCACTGCAAAAATGGAGACCTTCTTATCTTACTAAAGCACAACATTTTTCAGCTCATGGGAACATGTTTTTTTTTTTTTTCTAAAATTGGGATAATTGAGCCTGGAGAAGAGAATGCATTTAACAGCAGCCAGGTTTGTGGTGGAAGGACAGGAGGCAGTGGCCACAAATTGGAACAAGAGGTTGAGATTGGAGGTTCAGAAAAAAAAATATCTTGCTTGTGCAAACTCTGTCCTTAGAAGTTTTCAGTCCTTGCCTGGATAAATCCTGAAGCAACCCCAGTTTCTGATCCTCACCCTCCTTCTGGAAACCCAGTGCAGCTCTGAGGAGCCGAAATATCTTGAATTTTCACGTGACCCCTACCAAAGCCCCTAGTCTAGAACATAAAGATCGCTCTTCTTGGAAAACTTAACGGTCTCCAAACCCATGGGACCTGTTACCTACTTGTTTTTCATTTGGAATTTAATATATCAGATTTATTTTAGAGTTGAATTGGCTTTCTTTCTGGAAATATCTCGTCCTTAGAGCAAAATCTATCCACAGATGCATGGTTTTCTTCAGCCCCTACACCGAGGACGAGAGCAGAGCTTTCTTCCACAAATTGGAAACTAATTCATGTCCTCTAAAGAGTTAGTGTCAAGTTGATTGAAGTAATAGTAAGTTTTTTTTTCTCCTAGCCTAATGCATCGATGGGTTGTAAAGGACTGAATTTCCTAATGTGCACCGTGTGCTCAAAATTTGACGTATTGCAAAGTATTTTCTCTATTTTTTCTGTATTTCAACATTTACGTTTTTGTGATTGATGGCATGGGTTGCCTTCTCACCGTGCTCATCTCCATCCTTCGTATCGTTGCAGGTTTGACCCAAAGAGAGCAGTGCAGCAGCTGAGAGCTTGCGGCGTGCTGGAGACCATCCGCATCAGCGCCGCTGGCTTCCCCTCCAGGTACCGTGCTGGGGTTTCGACGTGGTGCTGGGCTGCTGGAGCGCTTTGCTCAGCGAGTTTACCCAGGGGAAGGGAGCAGAAAATATCTGCAGGAATATTTATATTTTTCTCTGGCTTCAGATACCCGCTACAATAGTCATTTCATCCAAAAAAAAAAAAAAAAGTGAAAAATAAAATTGATTAATCTTGCAGAGAAGGAAAATAAGGGTTGACAATTCTTATTGCAGGGTTTCACACAGCACGTCCAAAGTATATTGGGCTTGAAAGCCTTGAGTCTTCAAAAATAAAGGTTACGGGAAGTGTGGCTCTTGCTGGTTGTGATGTGAAATTCGCGAGAGGTTTTTAGGGCCTAATAAATCAGAAAAACATAAACTGTAAATAATGCCTGAAAGCGGCAAGGGCGGATAATTCTAAAAATGCATCAGTAGCACTTTAGTGCCGAGCAGCTTTGTGTTAATGTCAGCAGAGCCATCAGCCCTTTTGTGTGGAAGAAAAGGGTTATAAATACGCCTGGCAAGGAGCTGAGCGTGATGGTGAGTGCCACCAGAAATTCCTCCCCCCACAAGATTTGGGAAGGAGCACGATGATTGCCTCCCATCTCCCGCAGTGTCACAGCAATGGGGATCGTCTCTTGAACCCTGAAACCCTCAAGGTGTTTGTGGAAGTTGCTGTTAATTTATATGATCCTAAATAATGTGATCTCTGAGCTCCTGTTTCTTTTTTTAATTTATTTATTCCCTCCTTCGTTAAAGTAGCTGTGGGGCCAAATCTGGCTGGCTGTCCTCTTGCGGTGAAAGCCCTAAGACTGCTGTGGCTTATTTTAGAAGAGGCCACAATTTTTATGTCTTTAGGTTTAATTTTCCCAACGACTGATAACATTTCTCCATCTCTGCCACGAAACTCCGGGTAGCTCGGACCCTATAGCGCTAAAATCGACGTGTGGTTAGTAACTGGAAAGGGGGAAAGGAGAAAACAGCAGCACTTGGAGACCAGCCAAGGTCTATTTATGACAAATGCTTGACCAGTGTGAAGAAAAATTCAAAAGGGACCTCCAGTGTGAGCTGTCTGTGTGCTTTTGGGTTTGCTTGTATGATTTTGGCTATGGGGTCTTTTTTTTTCCCAGGACACTATGAGTACAAAACTCTTCCATCACTGCAACATGTCAGCTGTTGTTCTTTCTCCAGGGGAAAAAAAAAAAAGAAAAAAAAAGGTGTAAATAGCTATTTCAGCTTTTTGGAGTGACCTTCTCAAGATCAGTGTTTGGGATGCCTCAAGGAAAGATTTTTCTTTGTTTCCCTGTTTCCGCAACATAATCGTACACGGAAACAGCTCTACACTACATAAAATGTTGACTTTGGGCTCTGGTAATTGCTTGCTCATCAAATTCTGGCCTTGAAAAGCCCAAACGAGGAATTTATATGTTGAAAAGTTCATCTGTGAAGGCTGTACATTTAGATCCCTTAAAATAACCCTGCAAAACTTGAAATCGTTGTGAGATTTTCTTTCACTCAAGTGTCTGTAGTTCACTTTCAGAGCAAGAGAGATTTTTTTAAAAAGAAGTTTTATTGGAGAAATGGGAGCAAACGTCAATTTTTTTGTCTTGGAGTATTTACATCCAAGTGACAGGGGTGACTTCTGAGATCGATGGGGCTTTGGGTTGGAGATCTCATGGACAAAGCCACCTCCTGCAATTACTTCCCACTTCTCCATCACTGTTATTTACGGGGTGAAGAGCTCAATATCACTGGAACAGGCTGCCCAGGGAGGTGGTGGAGTCACCATCCCTGGAAGTCTTTAAAAGACGTTTAGATGTAGAGCTTAGGGATATGGTTTAGTGGGGACTGTTAGCGTTAGGTCAGAGGTTGGACTCGATGATCTTGAGGTCTCTTCCAACCTAGACAATTCTGGGATTCTGTGATATTTTGAGCCTTCAGTCATCTTTTACCCGGTTCCTTTGATGAAAAACAAACCCAACAATATTTTAATACAGTTTTTAGCCTTCCTCAACCCGCACGAGATGTGACAAAGCTCCTCTGAAAGGCGAAGCCTCGTGCCCTCCACTTTGGGCACGCCTGGCTTTCTTTTCTCATTTCCACGGTGCTCTGCGTTCGGCAGCTACCACGAGTAAATTGAAAATGTATTATTTGGCTCGAAATGTTACGCAGCAGTTAAGGAACGCATTTGTTAGCACGCAGAGATAGGACACTGATGAATGGACTGTCTTGGATGTGTAGATAGTCCATCTGTCATCATCTTTCAGGGGCAAAGCATGGAAGATGTCTCTAGTCTAAGCCATTTGTCTTCTTTTTGTAGAAAAACTAGCTACGTAAAGATCAGTCCATCGAAAATGAATTGGTGCAGGTCTCCATGAAGAGCAAAATACTCCTTTAAACGTGTTTTTCACTTGCTTATTAGCAGAACTCTCAATCTTCCTGCTGGTTTCTGGTCAGTGCTCCGAGCAAAAGAGTTGCTTTGAATAACACTGAATCATCGCAGCCTCTCGGAGACGCCGGTATCGTACTCGTTAGGTGGGATCTTGATTGCTCAAGGATTCCTGGCGCTTGGCCCCATCCTTTGGTGGCTGGAGCTGCCTGTCAGATGCTGCATCTTTGTAAGAGCTCGGTAGGAAATCACAGCTGCTAAACTCTGCAAACATTAAACATCCGTAATTGGAATGGTTCACCGACGTCCTTGTACCCAAAATCATTTTTATTTTTTTTACAATGTGCCTTTAGCCACTTTACAGTCTTTTCAGGGAAACAAATCCTATAAATGACTTTGGCCACCAGCAGTTCTGTTTGCACACTCCCCCCTGCTCCCAATAAAGGTAATATCTATAGTGTTTTTCTTCCTCGTTCTGCTCTTTGAATACCTTCCAGATAATTTCAAGCAATGCCAGCCTGCATGCTTTAGAGCTAATTGAAAGGCAAATCTATTCCGCTGCAGTAAACAAGGCAAGAGAAATTTTGTCCCTGCATCGGTTTCCAAAATAATTTTGAGTCCAGTCTTGCCTCAAATATTCCACCCCCGTGCCCCCAAACACTCTTCAGTTCCTACAGAAATTGAGATATTGGCCACCTCCTGTGCTGCTTCCCCTATTGACCCCTTCAGCCCCTCTGCTCCCAGGAACAGCCCATTCGCTTTGCACCCCCTTGAATCACAGAATCCCAGAATTTCTAGGTTGGAAGAGACCTCAAGATCATCGAGTCCAACCTCTGACCTAACACTAACAGTCCCCACTAAACCATATCCCTAAGCTCTACATCTAAACGTCCTTTGAAGACTTCCAGGGATGGTGACTCCACCACCTCCCTGGGCAGCCTGTTCCAGTGTCTAACAACCCTTTCGGTAAAGAAGTTCTTCCTAAAATTCAGTTCTTCCTTGAAATTCACCATAAAGCCTCCAAGTCTCATTCTTCAACCCAATGGATACAGGATTTAATTTGTGGCTTGCATTATGCTTTATTTCATCTGTTTAATTCCAAGACATTGCTGGGTTTGTTGACCAAGGCTCCAGCTCCTGGCTAAACCAAACAGCCTCCTTGCTGCTCGAGCCCCAAAGAGTATTTTTTTGCAGGTTTAAGCTATTTTCCTGTGTCCTTTCCATTCATTTTAATGCCTCTTCCTTTAGTGAACTGTGCTAACTCCAAAGCAAAATTCTGAGATTTGAGGCTGGTTGTGCTTAATCTTAGCTCCAAGATCATCTCCTTGGGAAGATTTGCGTAGTGTCTGTTCAGTCCTTTGTATTTCCTTCTCTCAGTTTCTCGGTTATGCAGGCACAAAATTCCTCCTGGGTACAGCTCTTCACCCTCACCTCCTGTAACTTCATAGTTTTAAGGAATTTTATTTATTTAGTACCTTAGTGGTGTCCAGCTCCTAGCAGTGGGCTGTGCTAGGTGTGGGGCAGCACCCTGGAAACCCAAGGGGTGGTTTTAATTTAACCTGACAATAAATTGAGCTATGTTCCTATAATCTCCCTGAACTGTTCAACTGTGGGGTAGCAGGGCACATCGTTTGTCTTGTGCTGGTAAGGACTTAGTGTTTTTTTTTTCTCCTTTTTTTTCCTAATGGAGTTGTATATCACGGATATACCAGGTATGATGAGGTTCATTGTGAACCTTTAAAAAAGAGGAGGGAAAAAACAATCAACGTGTAAAAATACGTACAGAAGACCATGGAGAAAGTCCACATCGCCCAAAGCAGCAAGTTTCAATACTTCTGCACAAGAGAAACCTCTCGTAACATTGGGGGATCACTGTTCGTTTTCCTTGAAGCACGTAGTTGTAAGGTGATTTTATGCTGCTTTGAAGCAGAAACGGTTTAACCAGCCACTGTTACATCGAACCTAAGTGCTTTCATCGTTTCTTTCTGCGGGGAGAGCCCTGAAACGGTGCCTGTGAACCTCTGCAGCTTTCCTCTGCTCATTAACCGGGACTGCAGATACCGTGGTGCAGCTCCTGATGGACCACCTGAGCCCGGCACGAGGGCTTTTCCCTTGCTATTCTGGAGATAATAATTAAAATGATGTGGAACCCAGGACTGTCATCTCCTGTTAAATCAGCCGGGATGGCAGGAGCAGCCTCGCTGCAGCAAGAGAAGCAGTGTTACACCACGACGTGTGGCAGCAAACCTCTGGGACGCGTGGCTGGGGTGAGGATGCTACCAGGCAATCTTAAAAAGTGAGTTACGGGGCCGACGTGACAGATGGAAAGATGGAAAATCACTTTTGACCACCACGTGAATTGAGAGTGAGCAGCTCTGAAGACAGATCCTCTCTACGGTGATTCATGAACTGGCTTTGAGGAATCTCTGCAGGTGTCTGAGTTTGGGTTATGGGTCTCTGGCTAGTGAAAACCCAAAACTTGCCCTCATTTGGGGGCTGGCCCGTGCAGAATAGGGTGAAACCTCCAAATCTGGCTATGCCAGAGCTACCCAGAGCACTCTGAGCTTGGGAAATCCGCAGGAAATTCATTGTTTTTATCAGTCTGGTTTTCCTTCCCTGCTGAATTTTCTCGACAAATGTGAAACTGCTGGTCATGTGTTTTGAAATATGTGTTGTATTCCCCCCTCTCTCAATCCCTAGAATATTTTATTTTGGTGAAGTGGAAAAAAAATAAATAGAATTAGGTGGAATAACCCCCAAATAAATACATAGCCAGGGCTGCTGGGCTGAGGAGGAGATGTTTCTGTGTATTCTTCTCATTTTGGTGATGCTGTTTGCAGCCATGAGGGTGCAAACAGACTAATCCTGCCTATCTCTTGCTTTCAGGTGGACCTATCACGACTTTTTCAATAGGTACCGTGTTCTAATGAAGAAGAGAGACCTCTCAAAGAATGACAAGAAGCAGATCTGTCAGACCCTGCTGGAAGACCTCATTAAGGTGAGCTGGGACCGAGTCTTTAGCAGCAATTTTTACAGCACAGAAGCTCGTGGCTTTGGTATTTCTGGGCTAGAGGAGTCCAGAGTTCATCTGCCATGAGCTGTAGGTGAACCACTGGCCATCTCCAGAAATCTCATCCCCCAACCTCTCCTCCTGTATGTGGCTCGCCACACAATAACTTCTTGATCTTGATGTATGGGAGACTCCTAATAGCCACTTATATGCTTAAAAAATAATAATTATCAATTGGAACCTTTTCACTTTACATATTTAAGCAAAAAAGTTTCCGTCACGTCTCACCAACATGTTACTACTCAGACTCACGTGCATTATCTTAAATTGCAAACGTGCAGACTGTTGAGCCCAAAATGCACACAGAACCTTTGGCAGGTTTTAATTTTTCAACCCTGCTTTCCATTTTGAGGAATTTACTTGCTTGGGTTCCTCTTTCTGCAGAGGTTGTTTGCCTTGTGCACCGGGCGTTTGGCTTCTCAGCTGTGGAGTCATTTGCAGCATGTGCAGAATTTTGCAGATTTAAGCCCTAAATTTTTTTTAAATGTAAAATAAACCTTTTCATGAAGTCTCCTGCACTTGCCTTGCTGTGTAAATAAATGCATTCAAAATTTGTGGAAGTTGAGATTGAATCCTAGTGCTTCATTCCTCAGCGGGTTTTTTGGAAGCTGAAGTCGTTTGGAGTCTAATATTATGTTTCTTACCCAGCTGAGAAGAGACGTTAGCTGATAAATTTGACTCCAAATTTTGTAACCTGTATCTAATGAGCAAGATAGACTTAAAAAAAAAAAAAAAAAAAAAAAAAAAGAAGAAAAAGAATCATGTTTGCCTTAATTAAATTTAGTTTCCTTTATGCTTTTGAAAAGGATCCAGACAAGTTCCAGTTTGGCCGTACCAAGATCTTTTTCCGTGCAGGCCAGGTGGCATATCTGGAGAAACTGCGAGCGGATAAGTTCCGAGCTGCCACCATCATGATTCAGAAGACGGTGAGGGGCTGGCTGCAGAGGATCAAGTACCAAAGGCTGAGACGGGCTGCAATAGTGATCCAGCGCTACGCACGTGGGCACCTGGCGCGGAGGTGAGTCCTAGCAAGCCCTCCAGGGACCTTCCCTGGTAAAAGAGAGGTCGTTTGGAAACATTTCTGGGCACTCGTGTGGCACCACTCTGGTGAAAGCTGCCGTGCCAAATTCACACTCCTAGCCTCCCTCATCAACCTTATTTTAGAGGCCTGTGATCAAAATTCCCAGCCTCCAACTGTATTAATTTAATTTCTGGGTGCTGGGCCAGGGTAATAACGGAGGCAGCTAGGTTATAATTGGATGACTAAAGCACTCTGAGATATTTAGGTGGGAGTGTTTCACAGAACTAATATTTTTTTTTTCTGGAACTACCACTGGCAAATGGCATTTGGACTGGGTAGCGAGCACTTTGCTAATTGGTATGCGCTCATCTTCTGCGGGGACCAGGCTTGTGCCTCCTTGGTACCCAAGGGGAGTTCTCGGAATTGATTTACTGTATTCTTCGTAATGAGAAAAATCACTCCAAATCACTGGCAACGGGGCTATTTACAGTAGGGAATGAGAGAGCTGGAAGTTTAACTCTCTGCAGTGCAGGAATTTCAGGCGTCCTAGTGCTGGGTTTCCGTAAATAATGCTGTGTTGGAGAGCATTGCTGATAGCAAACGTGGGGTGGGTGTGAGGAGGCAATAAAGCACTTTTTTAGCATCCCAACACATGGGTCACTGGGCATCCGTGCCCCTCGTTCGCATCAAGCACTGCTCTTCTCCCACATCCAGAGCAGCACTTTTCAGATAGGAACAGGGAGATTGGATTCAGGGAATGGGTTGGGTTAGAAGAGACCTTAAAGATTTCCTATAAGTCACTCTGTATTTTGGAAGAACATCAGAGATGCCGTTTAAATTTGCTCTATTATTTGTGCTTGTGAAAGGGACTGGAGAATCTGGGGATGAGAAGGTCTCAAATGAGCAAAGCTGGGCAGTTTGGTGACCTTTATTTAGAGCTGAGCAGAGATGTTTCTAGCCCCTAAAAGTCCACGTGCTTCTCGAGGCTCGTGGACCTCTTGGTTAAAGAGCTCTTAACTTTGAAGTTAAAGCAATTGAGTCCCGAGCAGTAAGAGGAAGGCTGACAAAAAGGGGAGCCACAAAAAGTGGCTCAAATGCCTATAAAATCCTTCATGCTGAGAGCAATAAATGAATCATAAATTCGGCAAAACAAGCTAATTATCGGATTAAACGGAGGCTTTATGGGCGTTTATTAACCTGTGTAACAGCAAATTGAACACGAATTCAGTCGGAGAAGGGGAGCAGCGTGTCGCCGAGCTGACCACATCCCTCGTTATTCACTCTGTATGAATTGCTTGGGGTTCTGCTCTTGAATGCTGCCAAACCAGTGCACACCGGTTTAAATGTCAGATCAATTTGCTGCACTTTTCCTGGAGCTGGTAGATAGCCGGCGTGTTTTATAGCTCTGGAAGTGGCGGAGCCAACCTGGGCATTGATCGGCTCGAGGATTTCACGCAGAGAGTTCAAACTCAGGGAAAAGCTGCAAAATGTTTGGTTTTAACTGCTGTTGAGGAATAATGAGGTGTGTGATTTCTGGTTCTGGTGCACCCAGGAGCCATGAACGTTGCCTGATTGCATACAAGTTCCCATTACCCTAACGAAGACATGCTCTCAGCTTCTCTTTTCTTAGCCTTGCTGCTGGGGTGGTCTCTCCTGAACACTACCAAGCTACTTTGGGACAAAAGGTTTTCCTCACCATAAGGTTTAATACTCGTTGTGACAATATAGGGAGTTTATCTTTGATTGCTAACCTTTTCCCCGTGCTTTGCAGGCTTGCGGAGCACCTGAGGAGGACGAGAGCTGCCATCACTTTGCAGAAGCAATACCGAATGCTGCGCATCCGCCGAGCTTTCCAGAGGGTCCGCAAGGCGACCGTCACCATCCAGGCTTTTGCTCGGGGCATGTTTGTCAGGAGGATTTATCGCCAGGTAGGGCTCCCCAGACCGTCTTTGCGTTAGAAACGAGTAGGAAAATCCTTTATATTTACCTCCACGGCGCTGCACAGCGATTCATTTGCAGTGGACGTTTTGATGTTTTAATAAGCCGACCGCCCCAGGTGTTTCTGGAGCGCACACGTTGATGGCATTGCCATTTAAAGCAGGGAAAGCAAAAAATGATTTTGGCAGCGGCACCTCCGAGGAGAAGCTAAATGAAGTTGGTCACACAAATGCCAGAAGGCGTTGTGGAAATCTGGAAATGTCACTTGATCTAACCCGTGCTTGGCAAAAACTTGCCTGTCAAGCAGAAGTTGTGTTGGAGCCATGCTGCAGGTGCCATTTCCAGTACGACAGGAGGACTGGTGGGGTCTGTCATCGAAGGTGACAAGTCGTTTATTGATAGGAATCCCTCGTTAATTGTTTCTCTCCATTAGCTTCCTGCGTTTAGCCAGGAGCTGGAAGCACAGCAGCAGAGGTTTAACGACAGCCGGTGTTACCGACAGCCCATCTCTCTACAGAAACTGAGAACAGCTTTGGGAAATCCTCTGCCCACTTTCCAGACCCAGCTTTATGCTGATTGTCACCGAGTCTTGTTATGCCTGAGTGGGGGGTCATGGGGATGCTTGAAATCAGAGGCAAGATGAGCCAGGAGGGGAGAGCCTGGTCCTGGAGGTGGTGGGGTTACACAGACATCCCCTAGTCACCCACCAGGATCCTATTTACCCTCTTGTTTCAAGGCCAAGAGGGTCTTGACTCATTCAAGCAGGGTGGCTCCTAAAAGAGGACTCGGTGGAAATCACAGAAATTGAAGTATCCCTTCCTGGGTATAAAATAAAATGCAAAATAAAAGCTGCTGTCTCCAGCCACCACCTTTAGTACCTACCAGGATGCTCCTACTTGGAGGACAAATCCTTTTGAAGGATTTTAGGAAGTGCTGGGTGCCGCGTCACAGCCAAACAAGGACCGCTGCCACCTTGCGGGTGCCTCTTCTCCCCTGATTCCTCCTTGCTTGTGTTTTAAAGGTCCTCGCAGAGCACAAAGCCACCATCCTCCAGAAATACGCCCGCGGCTGGCTGGCCCGCACCCGTTTCCGACGGATCCGAGGTGCCACCATCGTCCTGCAGTGTTATTACCGGCGTAGGAAGGCCAGGCAGCAGCTGAAGGCGCTGAAGATCGAGGCCCGCTCGGCGCAGCACCTGAAGAAGCTCAACATTGGCATGGAGAACAAAGTGGTCCAGCTTCAGAGGAAGATCGACGAGCAGGTAGGTCCCGAGCCGCGTTGGGGCTGGCGTGGGCCTGCTTCCACTTCGTGCCTCTCCATTTTCCATTTCTGGGAAGGATTTTGTCTTCCCACGAGGCCTGGGGAGGCCAACGTGGTGGTAGCGGCCTTCTCCTGGCCAGATATTTGTAAGGGAAGGGTGCCACCATGCATGCCACTTGGATCTTGGGTCTCCACCTCACGTCTGAAGATCACAAGTTGTGCGATAATGGTTGTGTGAGCTGCCCAGAAGGAAGATAAAATCAGGAAACTTGGAAAACCATCGCTCGAAAAGCCAAGCCAGCAGCTTGGAAACGCGTCGGACAATTAGGAGGTGTCAGGAACCCACACCCATCACACTCAGTTTCCTCGCAGCCTTAAATCTCTCCCATCCCCGTACGACAGTTGAGGTCCTGCGATGAAGAAGATGAAAAATGACTGTGCGTTGGCTCGGATACTGCAGAGTCAAGCCACTTGGGGGATTCTGGCCGCTTTCCTTGCTTGTATTAATTGGCCACAGCGTGTGCGCCGCAGTAGTCTGACATTCAAACTGCAGTGTTTAATTTTAAAATGCCTGCTTGCTTGCTTAGGCTTTGCAGAACTGTAGCTAAGAAGAGGGAAAACTTGGGCAGAGGGTTTTCTATACAGGTTTTGTCGTAGCATATTTTCCCTGAAGTTCCCCCTATTTCAGTCTTTGCTGATCTATAAACACGACCTTTTCAAAGAGCCATTAGCTTTTAAGAAAATACATCGCAGGTAACCCGCAGAGCTGCAGTTGCACCTTTATCTGAATAGAAAACGTTTCTATTTCTGCCTCTTTAGCTCACGCCTGGGTAGAGATACGCCGTGCTCAGTGCGCCCCCGAAGAAGAGAAGATCTTTCTTCACAAACATTAAAACCTATCATCATATATCAGCCGCTGCTCATACACTGGGCCTGTTTAATTCATAGAATCATAGAATCATAGAATATCCTGAGTTGGAAGGGACCCTTAAGGATCATCAAGTCCAACTCTTGACACCGCACAGGTCTACCCAAGTTCAGACCATGTGACTAAGTGCACAGTCCAATCTCTTCTTAAATTCAGTCAGGCTCGGTGCAGTGACCACTTCCCTGGGGAGCCTGTTCCAGTGTGCAACCACTCTCTCTGTGAAGAACCCCCTCCTGATGTCCAGCCTAAACTTCCCCTGCCTCAGCTTAACCCCGTTCCGGCGGGTCCTGTCGCTGGTGTTAATGGAGAAAAGGTCTCCTGCCTCTCGACACCCCCTTACGAGGAAGTTGTAGACTGCGATGAGGTCTCCCCTCAGCCTCCTCTTCTCCAGGCTGAACAGGCCCAGTGCCCTCAGCCGTTCCTCGTACGTCTTCCCCTCCAGGCCTTTCACCATCTTCGTAGCCCTCCTCTGGACACTCTCCAACAGTTTCATGTCCTTTTTATACTGTGGTGCCCAGAACTGCACACAGCACTCGAGGTGAGGCCTCACCAGCGCAGAGTAGAGCGGGACAATCACCTCCCTCGACCTACTAGCGATGCCGTGCTTGATGCACCCCAGGACACGGTTGGCCCTCCTGGCTGCCAGGGCACACTGCCGGCTCATATTCAACTTGCTGTCTACCACGACCCCCAGATCCCTCTCTTCTAGGCTGCTCTCCAGCGTCTCATTGCCCAGTCTGTACGTGCAGCCAGGGTTTCCCCGTCCCAGGTGCAGGACCCGGCACTTGCTCTTATTGAACTTCATGCGGTTGGCGATCGCCCAGCTCTCCAACCTATCCAGATCCCTCTGCAAGGCCTTTCCACCCTCATTCGAGTCCACAACTCCTCCAAGTTTGGTGTCATCAGCAAACTTGCTCAAAATACCTTCTATTCCTACATCCAGATCAGCTTCTAAATCATGTGAGGGACCGTTGCACACACGAGGAAGGATTAAATCTGTTTTCCTAGAGAATATCCCAGCGAGAGGGGGTACATTGGGATGTTTTCCATGGGCTTTTGCTCCATCCCCTTTGCTTAGGGGGAGGGATGATCAGGAGAAGAAGACCCTATGTAGACCTGGAAGAGAAAACTCTCTACTTTCATGTTTGTTTTTCTTAACCAGGCTGCACAGTTCTTGGAAAACTCTGTTGTTCTGGGACTAATGGGGGCCTTTGGCTCTGTTGCAGAGTGCTTTTTGCACTTGAGTTTGTGTTCTTGCTTTTTTGAACCCCATGAACACCTTGAAAGAGGACGAAGTGGTAGCTCAAGATCTGCCTTTGCTGCTTTACTCCTTGGCCTGACCAGTTAAAAAAAAATGTATGTCAGGAATTCTCTAGTCTATTGAGTTTTATTATTTTATTTTTTTGAAGGAAAAGGGGGAAAAAAAAGTCACAAATGGGCAATTTTTAACTCTTTTGCCTTCTGAGTTTTCACCTCCACGTGGCACGAGCCTTCCATACAGTGGCATGAACCCAGTCCTCTACAACTACTGAAACCTTTCAAAAACAAAAGTTTAAAAGACTGGTTATATATTTTTTGGCTGGATCTTGCTTACGGTATTGCTTTCTTCTTTTTTGGGGTGCCGGCCGCAGAACAAGGAATACAAACTTCTGAACGAGCAGCTCTCTACCCTCACGTCTGCCCACTCCTCTGAGGTGGAGAAGCTGAAGAAGGAGCTGGAGCAGTACCAGCAGAGCCAGCAGGGTGATGGCAACCAGCTCGTCAGCCTGCGGGAGGAGATGGAGCACCTCCGGCTGGAGCTGGAAAAAGCCCACGGCGAGAGGAAGGTGGTGGAAGACAGCTACGTGAAGGAGAAAGACCTGCTCAGAAAGGTGCGTGTGTTAATCATGTCCTATCTCATGTGGGTTTCTTGCAGGTGAAAGCTTTGCAAATCTGAAGGGGGAGAGCCTTAATTTTCTATCTTCAAATAGGAGAGAAATCCTTCAACTGGGAGAAAGAGAATTCAGTGTGGAGAGTTTAATATATATTTTTTTTTCAAGCAAAAAGCCCAAATGCACATTTTACCCTGAATTACTTCACCGGCCAGGCTCATTCTGAAAAACCTTCACACCCATGCTTGTCGCCTGAGGTGTGGCTTTAATTTCCTCCTTCAAATAGTTGTGAATGATCCTTCTGCAATTGTAATTCCAGAACAAATGCTTTTCTCACGTACAACCTGAAGGTGAGTCGCTTTGAGGTAGGGGAAAAAGATCTGGGATTAGGGATCACCTCCCTCTGAGGGCACGTTTTGCACGTGTGCTTGTGCGTTGCCCCCACGTTGGAGGATGTGGACTCGGTGATTTTCTTCTCTCCGACCCCAAGCAAAAGGATCCTTTTTGTCCCCGGGCTCAGTTTGTTAGCTCATGGTTTTAGAGCCTTGTTGTGGTTTAACCCGGCCGGCAGCTAAACACCACGCAGCCGTTCGCTCACCCTCCCTCTCCGGGATGGGGGAGAGAAATGGGAAAGTGAAGCCTGTGAGTTGAGATAAAGACGGTTTATTAAGACAGGAAAATAATAATAACAACAATAACAATAATGATGACAATAGTCCCCTCCCAGCTCCTGCTGCACCCCCAGCCTGCCCGCTGGCAGGACAGAGCGAGAAGCTGAAACGTCCTTGGCTTGGTGTAAGCACTGCTCTGCAACAATTAAAACATCGGGGTGTTATCAGCACTCTTCTCATCCTAAGCCAAAAAACAGCACCCTACCAGCTCCTAGGAGGAAAATTAACTCTGTCCTAGCTGAAACCAGGAGAAGCCTGAAAGGATGTTTTATTTTGAAGGTGATGCGCTGGGGAAAACCGGCTTCTCTCTGTTCTCGATTGCAAATCCCCCTCCAGCACTCAGAAGAAAGGTTGTTTTAACAACTGAAGAAACGCTTTCAAAAAGCAGAAAACCAAAGCAAAAGCTTTCCCTTCTTGCAGCAGTGCCTATGGCTGAGTAAATACTGTGTAGTTTACCACGTCGATAAATGGTTTAATTATAAACCACGGCGGTTGTTTCCATTCCTAACGAGGAGTGCAGGCTCCCAGTTCTGACGTGAGCTTCCAATTGCTCCCTTCAGTTCCTTATCAGTGGGAAGACCTGAGAAAAAGCCAGGGAAATGTTGTGGTTATTGCTTTGCTCTAAGAAATGCATTTCATGCCAGCAGTGCCCTGGAAATGGCTGGCAGCAGGAGATGGGGCGAGCAGGTTTGTGGTCCTGTGCTGGAATAGTTTCAAAAGTGATGCTCAGAGGCTGGATCTCACAGCTGGAGGTCCAGACCCTGGAGGAAAGATGGTTAAAAACCTGCTCAGGAATTTTATCCCCTTCAGTGATCGGTTTCTCATAGAAAGATGGGCAGGAGGTGCAGAAGGCACCGGTGTCGCAGCAGGGCTCTGGGGCAAAGCTGTAAAAAGGGTCCAATTTTTTGTCCAGTTTTGTCTTCCAACCATCATAACTTTGTCTTCTGGGTAAGAGAATTCATTATCAGCACGTCCTAGAGAACACTTGTAGAATAATATTCCTTATTCCATTAAGGAATATCCCATTATTCCTTATAATATCCCATTATTCCTTATCTTTTCCCTGTTGGGATAAATGAGGCGAGTTCTTCTCTGTGCTATTGCAGCATAGGTTATGGTTCCTCTCATTTTTTAATTTCTTTTAAGAATCCTTCTGAACTTGAAGACATCAAAGCTGATCTAACATCTGCTAGGGCATTTATTCGAAGTGATACAAGAATGAGGGGATATAGTTAAATTGTTGGTGCAAAAATCACGATTAAAATCATGGCTCGGTTCACACCATTTAAAAAAACAGGATTTTTGCATACCTTAAAATGTCTTTTCTTCACTTTCTCATTGTATTTTCAGTCTCCAGCTCTCCTACTGTACAGAGAGATGCGTGAAAGCGTAGTCACAGAGCAAATGAATGGATCAGAGAGCAAGGGGCAGTGGGATGACGCTAGTGAATGGATCAAAATTCATGAGGACGAACAAAATCACAGCACAGGAGACAGTCAGCTTCAGCCCAGTGTTGCTGTTAGGTGACAAGTGGCATCGTTTCTCTTAATTTTAAATAAAAAAGTAATAAAAAAAAAGGGTAAAAAACAATACAAACAAACTGTTTAGCAGGATTCAGTTCCAGTTTTCGTTACTTTTTGCTAGGCGATTGGTGGTGTTAATAGTTGATATACAAAGCACGCACCATGCCTCGCTGACCTGGAGGTTCTGCAGGGGTGTAAAGTGACTTGAATATGTGCGAGCAATAATTTTTGCCTTGTTCTGCAGCGTATCTCCGACCTGGAAGAAGAAAACGCCCTCCTGAAGCAGGAGAAAGAGGAGCTTAACAGCAGAATCCTCTGCCAGTCGGAAGGTAAGCAGAAAGGTTTATGGCTTGGTGGTTCCTGTGTGTGTTTCTCTGGGTGTAGGAAGGCACCTTTTAGAGTTAGGCAGTGGCTGGCTGAAGCTTTCCAGTGCTTTTTGATGAGCGTGGGCACAGCTGAACCTCATCACCCCCAATACCTGGGGTTTCGATCGGGTGCATGAAATGAAGGGCATTTATATGATAAAATAAATAAAATTTATATGATAAAAAAAAATTATATGATAAAAATAAAATTTATATGATCAAATAAAAAAGATGCTGCTGTTGATTTCTTCCTATGTCCAGTCTGGTGGTGGGAAGAAGCAGGCAGAGAAGTCTTTAAACGCAGTTACCATCAAAGACAATTCTTAAACATCAATATATTTCTGTCCTGTGCCAGCCTGTTTGCAAGTGGGTTTATGGCCAGCCTGTGGGAGCTGGAGCTGGCACGGCTGAGCCTTGCAGAAGAGCCAGAGCTGTTCCAAATAGGATCCAAGGAGTAGGATCTAAATGATAAGCCTTTAACTACTAACAAATGCTCATATGTATTTTAAAGGTTCTTGGCAGAGAGAGGTTTGTTAATTAGTCAATGTTATTGCACGTGTTTACAAGAAGTTCCTTTCAGAGATGAAGAGCACGACTCACTGTTGGTGTTTCTTATTTTGAAGATGAATTTGCACGAAGCACAGCTGAGGAAAACATCCAGATGAAGAAAGAGCTGGAGGAGGAGAGGTCTCGGTACCAGAACCTGATAAAAGAGTATTCGAGGCTGGAGCAGAGATACGACAACTTGAGGGATGAAATGACCATTATAAAGGTAACGAAGCTGAAATTATTCTCTTTTGTCCTGGCCATCGTGTTGGTGCTTGGATAACGTGGCTTACTCATCCCCAAAACACGTGGCAGATCTGATATTGTTGTGTGGTTTGGGCTTGAGGTTTCTAGGACCAAATGTTCATGCTGAAGCCAAACCATGCGTGTGTCTTGCAAAAGGATGCTGACATTTTCCACTTTCTGTTAACAATTTGGAGAAAGCAGTGAATCACAGCAGAAGCTGGCACCTGCATCTTGTTTTCCGTTTGGTTTCAGTGATGTTCACGTGCCAAGTGGGTGTTGAATTTGGAAAAAAACAAAAGCAAGGCATGAGAATTTCAAAGGGCAGAGTTCTTAGAGTCAGCTTTGCTAAAGTTTTAGGGGAACTGCTGAAAATGAGCTGGTGGTTAGAGCGCTGCTGGGTTAGGCGGAAGGCTGAGCATGTAAAGGGAGCCCCGTGGGGTTGTGTGAACAGAATAATCTTGAGCTCAGCTTTGCATGTTCTCACTTAACAGGCATCTGGTGTCATGAGCAGCCTGTAATTCATGCAGGATTTTTAAAGCGAGCTTCTGGATCCCTTTATATTTTATTTTAATATAAGCCTACGTGTTAATATGAGCGTTATGGTAGGGCACAGGAGCCAGAAATTAGAAAATAGAGACAGTCCAGCCTGTCGAGAAGGTAACCTTACTGTACACAAATATTTGCTCAAAGAACCAGTGCTTTGTGAGGAATCCTTCCTTAAACACTGAAGGCGTTGTGTATCCGTGTCGCTCCTTGACAGCAAGCACCGGGGCACAGGAGGAACCCATCCAACCAGAGCAGCTTGGAGTCTGACTCTAATTATCCATCGATCTCCACCTCTGAGATAGGAGACACCGAGGATGTGATTCAGCAGGTGGAGGTACGGCTGCTGTTCTGTTATTTTTGTGTTCCTGAGGGGAAGCCAACTTCATCTGATGAACCGTGGCTTCAGGTTCTAGCATAATATCCAGGCAAGCAGTATTGGCCGTGCTCTAATATTAAATGTTCAATTAAAAACCAACCAAACAAAAAAAGCCCACTAATTAAAAATGCCTGAGCCCCTTCTAGCCAAGTATTTATCTTTTTAACCATGGCCTCAAGCAGCCAGCTTATCTAATGGACGTGCAATAATCAATAATTTATTAAAATGGGTCGACTGGGACATTAAAAGTCGTTTAAAGAGAGTTTCTTCTTCAGGAGGTTGGGACGGATAAAGCAGCCATGGACATGAGCCTCTTCCTAAAGCTACAGAAGCGAGTGAGGGAGCTCGAGCAGGAGAGGAAGAAGCTGCAAACCCAGCTGGAGAAGAAGGAGCAAGAAAGCAAGAAAGCCCAGGTAAGGGATGCCTTTGAATTAGTAGGAATATTTCAGGTTTATAACTGGCTTGCCTTGATTGCCTGAGGACACAATATAGAAACTGAGTTTTAGGAGCACCAAGGTCACATTAAAAGGCAGAAAATCCATCGAGGAAACGGAGAGGAACTTTTTTTTGGCAGCTGATGACAATTAGACGAGAGAACAGATTTTTTTTTTCTGACAAAATGCTTATTTTAACACATTTAGGACAGTATCTCAAGTGAGCCTAAAGATAGAACGGAAAACGTTCAAGAGGGTTCTTCGGGAGGCGGTGGAAACCCAAAACACGTTTCAAATCCCAGTTCCTGTGGCTTTTGTGACCACATCTGGCAGGGATTCATTGCAGGCTAAAACAGCACAATAAATCAGAAATAGCAAGATAGCTGCTAGCAGAGTGCATTTTTCCTTTCCTCTGTTTTGCAGGACAGGGGCTGCCTTTGATATGTTCTTCCTTCCCTATGGAACCCAAGCTCTTTCTGTATTTTGGGTAGTTTGCCTGGAAGCCATTTAAAACAAATAAAATTGCTGTTACGGACAGCTTGGTGGTAACTGAGAGGCAGGACTCGGTCCTGTCTTGTCACTGAAATGTGAAAATTCATCTCTCTAGAAAATGAGCGAGCTCAGTTATGGCACGGAGGGAGCTTTTGATGGCAGTTTGTGTGTAGGTTTTCCCCTGCAGAGCTCTGAGCTTCGTTATAGGGCAATGTGTGGGGAGATGATGCACGCTGGGTCTGTGCTTATAGGGTCCTGAAGCAATAAACGTGCTACTATATGAAACCCTAAGCAAATGCCTTCACTCTTGGTTGCACAATGGAAGCATCCAGGGCTTCTGGTGCTTTGTTGGGCAATTATTTTATTTATCTTTAGTGTGAGATCTATTGCATTTGTCAACAAATACATAGGAGACTCAACAAAAGCCTCAGTGGCAATTATTCACTTGGCTCACCAGATATTCCCACTGATCCTCTCTAGCAGCTTGCGGGAGATGTGTGAAATGGGAAAGCTGCAACAAGCCACGGTTATCAAGATATTAACAAGAAATTAAGCCATTTTCTCCCCAAGCAGCCCCAGCTACGTGGACCTTGGACTCCATCTAACGCCAATTAATAACATTATTCTTGCTGAGCTGCCTGGTTCAGCCCGATCAGCTCCTCTGGCTCCTCTTTAATACCAATTTCTCTCTTCAACCCCTGCAGGTAATCGAGACGAAGACCGAAATGGCTTCGGACCATGAAGATTTTGCCTACAACAGTCTGAAGGTGAGCGAGGGGCTCGTACTCGAGAGCATACCTCTAGCAGCAGCTTTTTCTGGCACTTAGTCCATCCAATTTTTAGGCTCTAAACGTGCTATTTTTGTTGAGTTTCATTAGTACCTCTGTGCAGCCCACTGGATCAGCTTCAGGATCATTGCCCAAGTGTCTTTCTGTTGGATAAACGTGGCTGTGAAGGTTTTAAGTCAGATCTTTGACTTGACCTTGTAAAGCAAAACGAAATTGCAGGATGGAAAGGGAAAACCTTGATGTTGCACCGCAAGAGCTCTTTAGGGATCTCCAGCACGGTGTTTTTTCAGGATTTCCATCGTGATGTTCTCACCGTGGCTGTAGGAAAATGAGCTGAAGGAGGCAAAAATGAACAACCAGCTCTGAGAGCTTGCTTTAAATCCGTACAGTACTCAGCAAGAGAAAGACAGACTCTGCTGGACCCACTCGTGATTTTCTGGCAATTTCTGGCAAGTGGGTGATTTTCTGGCAAAAAAATTCAGACCAGCAGTGGCACGTGGGGTTTGGGGTGAATTTAGGTCTAGGAGAAACCGTAGAAAAGCCAGGAGCAGTTCCTTCAAATGACATTGTGGCAGGAAACGTCTTCCTAAAGGAGAGGATTTTCCATTCCCTATAGATGAGTTGAAATACACGGCTCCTTCGAGAGTCATGTGCCATCAAATTTATTTTTCCCTTGTGCCAGCTTAAAAAGTTTTTACGTGGAGGAGCTGGTGTGTAAAAGCTGCACGTGGTGAATTCCTCCTTATTAGGAGTCCTTTATAATGGATAAAGAGAGTTTTTAGTTGCTGCTGTCCTAAAATGTGCCCAGCCAGCTGTAAGGTAGGGCTGGAGGATGGGAAACTCCTTGTTTATTCTCCTGGGGAGATCCTGGTGGCAGGTGTGTCTCTGAGTTATGCATGCACAACACAAATTTCTGTGAAAAATGTATTTTCTGGATGGCTTTTTCTGGCTGGGGGAGTGGGGAACGAAAGCACCGAGAAGTCCTTGCACTGACTTTGTGCTCCTAGCAGGAGCAGAAAGCCTAGTTTGATTTCTCTCTCCTCACATAGCTGGGATGCTCTTGAATTTGTAAGCTCATCATTAAATAAGCTTCTATAGAGGGTGTTTTTTATTTCTCCTATCGAGGACCAGAAATAGAATAGGGAATGAATTGCTGTCACAGCAGCACTAACCTCAGATTTATGGAGGTTCACCCTTCTAGCGCTGCTGTCCAGGCATCTTCCTAGATGCCTACAACCAGCCTTTGGAGTTAGGAGTGTGGCTGACCTGCAAGAAAAGCAAGCAAGGCTTCTCCAGCAAAAAAATCAAAAACCATTTGGGTAGAAAAATCAATTAATGCCTTGCTTCTTCCCCTTCATCTGGCTGAGCCTGCCCAGAAGAGTTCAAGGTGAGTCAACGCTTGAGCTACCCAGCAAGAGTTAAACCCTTCTTGGTGAAGATTTCCCATTGTGTACACGCTCTCCAAACTTCTTTTAGAAACACTTAACTGAAAAGCTTGAGCCGTGGTTGATGTGGACGTGGAGGAATTGCTGGATCGAACGCATTTCTTACTATTTTTTAAATGACAGATGGCTTTAAGTACCTGAATGTGCTCTGTTAATGATGGTGTTTGTTCATCCAGGAGAGGGCTGGCTGTCCAGATGCCAGATCAGCTCTTCTGTTCACACCTCTGCTGCTATTTATAATCTGGAAGGATTTATAATTATCACACCCGTTTCCTATGGAAATAAGGTTTGCACAGCTGTGCGAGCTACACGCTGTATAAATTGCATAAACTGCCCCCATCCCCCCCAGTGGCTTTCAGATTCATTAGCCAAAGCTGCTAATGAGGTAGATATCCCATAGTTAACAAGAAAGCTGTGGGATGGGCCAGAAGGCAGTGGGGAGAGAGAGGAACCCGAATCTCCTGGGGGAGAGGTTGTGCTGTTGTAGACCCTGGAGAATCCCCACGGAGCTCGGTCCCTAGGGAAGGGGAATCCACGCCAGACACCGAGCTAGAGGCTGTGTAGCTGCCCAAATTTGTTATTCCTCTCTCTCCTACTGTCACGAAAAAGCAAAGGAGCCCTTCAGTTGTCTCAGCAAAACATCACCGCTCACGCATCTTTATTCGGGGGGAGCGGCTGGTGTAAAACCTGCACGGCGTCGACCCCGTCTGTCAAATGCCAGCAGCTGACAAGATAGCAGGGAGAGAAAATCCTTTAACTGCAAATGTGATGGGGAGAATTACGGGCTGGGTGACAGAGGACGATGCAGTGGGAATTCAAACCCGAGGGGATGTTGGCAATGGGAAGGGCCGTGTAAGACCGCACCTTGCGGCGTATCTAAGGACAGCCAGAAATGAATTAAACATTGTGGGGTTTTGTGGTGATTTCTTGATTAAGAAGGAAAAGGGGTAGAGAGCTAAAAATGCGTTTGGGTTCTCTACTGGGTTGATTTTGTGTTTAGAAATAACGCCAATTAATAATGCCAATTCTCCTCTGTGTCACCACATGAGATTAAATAGCACCAAGCTATTGATTGCAGAAAAAATATTTTCTGAAGGGTGATTTGGGGCAGGAATTGATGGTTCAGCTGGGATCATCATCACAAGAGGCATCTTAGAAGCAGATGAGGCAGTCAACCCGTTGCTAGACAGTTTCGCTCAATCTTGTGATGGTTTGGTGTTTTCCAGAGGCAAGAGCTGGAGTCAGAGAACAAGAAGCTGAAAAACGAACTTAACGAGCTGAGGAAAGCTATCGCAGACCGAGCAACCCAGAACAACTCTTCCAACGATGTTCAGGACAGTTATAATCTCTTGCTGAATCAGCTGAAGTCGGCCAACGAGGAGCTGGAAGTGCGGAAGGAAGAAGTGCTCATCCTGAGGTCGCAGATAATGAAGGCGGCCCAGCAGAAAGAGCCGGGCAAAAATACGGTAAAGGAGAGGATAATGGGATTTCTCTTGCCTTTTCCCATTCCGGGAAACATTGAGGTGATCCCGGTGATGTTTTGTGACAACCAACCTATTCCGTAAGGAAACGGGATGGTGGAAAATGGTTTCTGGACCAGATTCTGCTCGTGTGATGCTGGTGCAGTCGTGGTGTCTCTACTGGCACGTAGGCAAGGGAAGAGTTTGACCCTTCTCACGAAGGCTTTTTTGTTTAGAGCCTGCTCTGACCGAAGGGTGCATTTTCTGAAACTCTCACTTGGGTTTTTTAATTCACCACTTTATCCTCCCTGGAGGTTTTAGGATGTTTTTGTGTTTTGGGCCACACACGGGCACTCCTTATCTCCCTTCTGGGTTCTCTTCATCCTCCTTTCATCTTCTTTCATCCTCTTGCACGTATGAATTTGTAGGAACCCTCTAGTTCAAGGGATGCCCTGAGGGAGCTCCGTTACTCGTGGGACTTGTTCAGTTTTGGGAACCTTGAGGGATGTTCAGGAGGTCACGCTGCTGTGTTTTTCGTGTTGAATTTAGGAGCCCATCACCAGCCCTGCCAGCTGGCCCAACAGTGACAAGCACATCGACCAGGAGGACGTGATCGAGGCCTACCAGGGGATATGCGAGACGAACCGGTAAGCGCGGCCCAAACTCTTCCAGCAGTTTGGAGGACTGAGGAAAGCGTGAGAGATGGGATCTGGTCCTAAATTACCAAAATATTTTGGAGAGTTAGCAGCTTCTGGGTTCTGTTCTGGGGCTGGGGACAAGGACAGGCCGTAAAGATGGGACTGAAGATGCTGGTCTCCTCACGGGTGAGGTGCCCTCGTCTTTGGGCCAGTGCCTCCCCAAGGGAAGGCAGGTGTGGGACGGGTGGAAAAGCCAACGTAGAAGTGAGCAAAACTGGATTTGGGCTTGTACTGGGGGAGAACAAAGGCAGGGATTGTGCTGCCAGGTTAGGAATCTGTTTGAAGAGCTCCTGAGTGGGTGTTTTAAGGGAAAATTTCCCTGTCTCTGAGCCTCTTTCCTCTCCCTCTGGCTCAGCCCTGATTTGGGGAGAGCTGAGCTTTCCCACTCTTCTGCTTCTGTGGCTGAAAAAGTCAAGGAAGCAACAGGTAAAAACCAAAACTCCTCCTCCACTGCATAATTAGTAGCAAGAAGGAGGATTTGGAAAATTTGATTTACTCATTTCAAGCAATTCCTCATGCTGTGCTGGGAAGGAATTTGTCACCATCTGTCTGTATGGTACCAGAGGGTTTATACTGCGAGGCATTAAATCAATCCTTGCCACCATCCAGGAGGATATAAAGTAAAAAGATAGCGCCTTGCAAGAAGACAAAATTACTTAGATTAAACTGCGAGGTCACATGTAAAGTAAATGTTTATTTTACTGCGTGGGAATTGAATCTTTATCTCCTTTTCTTTGACAAATGCAGATATTTCCTACCCAATTTGCATTCAACAAGGTATTTGGGGGACAGAACCGTTGTGGATGAATGGCTTTTAACAAACACGGGATGCTTTGCCACTTTGCAAACTGGCTGCAGTAGGTCGTTAGCACACCAGGCTGGGAAAGGCCATGACTTAATTAGGATTGTATTCATGCCTGTATGACTATGAGCCGAGACACGCCATCTATGAACGTGACACGAACAATTATGAAGAGCTGCGTAATGGTTTTGGAACTTGGTGGACGCAAAAGCGTGATGGGGAATCGTTTGTGTCTTTTTTTTTTCCCCCACTTTGTTGCTACTGAATATTTGCTTTCCTAAAGTGAACTTGCTGAGCAATTTTTAGCCCTCCTGCGGAGTAGGGATGGTGAGATTGATTTAGTTTGCAGACCTGACTGCTGCAGTGAGGGTGGAATCAAGCTCAGAAATCACCCGAAATGCTCAAACCATCTGATTTTCCGCGATACTACGAATCTCTTTTCCTTGCAAGTGCACGAGTGAGCTGCAATTTAAAAATTCATGCGATGACCTCAGCAATTTTTCATCTCTTGAGGTTTCGGAGGGGAAATCTGCAGTCTCCAGGCTCAGTTTCCTATTACCCTGGTTTGCCTTTAATGTGAAGCTGGGCTGGAGAAACAGCTCCTGTAACGTGGTAGCAGTAGCTCGAGGTATGATCAGCGAGGTTTTTGGTGGTGATTTATCCAGTGGCTTGTAAATCATCACCAGCTTCCCCGTGGTACGGTTCCCTGTGCATTTGTTTGGATATTGGGTAGGTTTATAAGCTGTAGGCTGGAGCTGATGGCAATAAAAGAGACGAAAACGAATGCTCAGGGAGCACGGGCTGTTGTTTTGGGGGGCTATAAATTAACATTCCCTCCCCCCAGCACCAGTCTGGAAGAAAAAAAACCCACACAACTGCTTTCTCTTTAGTCTTCAACAATAAATAAATATTTCGAGGAGAAGCTTTTCTGGTGGGATTGCAATTGTGAAGTAGAACTGATGAGCAAGAGCCACTTTTTCAGTGAGTATTTCCATTATTTTTTTTACCTCTTGCTCTCACCCCTAACTAAAGGGGATGCTCTCACCACTGGGGCAAACCTGTGGGTCACTCCTAGCTTGGAGTCGTCATATCTCAGCTGTTTAGGATGTGACAAATGCAGCTTTATTGTGGGGAGCATGCCAAATTTTACTGAATTCACCGAATGCCTGATTAATCTGGGAATTTAAATGCAGCAGGAGGAAAACGGGAAGAGCTGCCAGGTGCTGCTAACCCAGCCCGTGGAGCGGTTCTGTTTCTCCCTGCTGCTCTCGAGGGAAACCCTTTGATGCCAGGTCAAGGGGAACCTTGAATTAAAAGCAGCCCTTTGTAAATTCAGTGAACTCAGCTTTTTTTTTCCTCTTTTTTTTTTTTTTGACTTTCAGCAGCTAAAGAACAAAGCACCAAGTGAGCTTCCAGCTCATTTTCTGCTTTAATAACAGAATGCAAACCTCCGTAGTCTCTTTGTTCCCCCATTTTAGTTCTTGGGATCTTTCTTTCAAGGCTGTTTGATCTCGCTGGAAACAGGGAGCCTCCGAAAGGCCAGGTGATGATGTTAGAGATAACCGCAGCGTGCACTATTTTTCTGTTCAATCCAAAACAAATTTGCATTTTCAAGTGAAATGCCCCTTCCTCTTAAGGTGATAATGATCTGAAGAGGATAAAAATGAACATTTCTGGGGTTTGGTACACTCGCATCTCCTTCAAGCTACTTGCATCAGGCCACACAGAGGCTTTGTGAAATTTTTGGAGAAACGAGGCTTTGTGATTTGCATCCTTTCAACTCAGTTCAGGCTTGTCTGAGCGAAGCATTTAGCATTTTAGGAAATGATTACGGCACGTGCACTAATTAATCCAGTTAGCAAGGAAGGACCCCTAATGACTTTTAATGCCTCAGTCGATACGAACGTCTGGGAGAAGGGAATCTCAAGGATTTCAAAGTCGGTGCCACGTTGATGAATACAAACCAAAGCTTATTTCCCAGGGCAGCTTTATCTTAGTATAATTGCACTCCCTTGAATTCCCAGGCTGAAATCTGAGGACCTTTTCCTGGGTTTTCACTTGTTTTCCATGTCTAAATCCATGTTCTGTTAGGATCATCTGGACAACCAAAGACCTGGCTAATAGATTAATGCAAACCAGACCAATAAAGCTTCCCCCCATATCTGTCAGACCACAGATCCTGTCGGAAACCTGCGATGTATGGGGAAAAATGGGGTTTTAATCAAAATTCATACATATGGCTCCACCAGCTGGATTGGCTAGAAGAGCTGGCTGGTGTTGAATTGCCACTCCGGGACAGCAGCAGCGAGACACCTCCCGAATCCTTTTGTGGCAGTGCTGCAACACCCCAAAACCTTTCTAATTCCCCATATAGGGCTGATTAATGTCCATTATTGAGGTTTGTATCAGCGAGTGTGGATTTAAAGGCAGAGTTTTCCTTGCCAGGGAATGGCACCTACCACAGCTCTTCGCAAAACAGGAGATGCGTATTGGCTCGATTCCCTTTTTCTCCGAAATCTCAATGATATGTTAAGCAATTTATTATTATTATTATTTCCCAAAAGAGAAAATATTGTCAAGCTGGAGTTGAAACCGAGCAAAATCTCGGTGTAGGAAGTGCACCTGGACAGGTTCACCCAACCACACTTCTTTGAAATGCGTTCAACACCTCATAAAAAAAAAAGAAATGAGTTCCCTGCCTTTCTGCCTAGATACGTAGGGAAATTGGATCTCATATGGATGTAAGAGAAGCTGGGGAAACAAATATCCAAAGGAGGTTTGGATCCAAGGCTGCCCTGAAGAACGGCTGAGATGTGTTTGGCTTGATGACTGAGAAAACCCTTGACTGAAATAATTTATTTTAGACCAGTGACAATTTCTGTAGAAGGAAAGAAATAGATAAAGATGTCTTTTGCTTGATCAGAAAAAAAAAAAAAATATTATTAATGAAATGTGCCAGGGTACAGAAGGTCTGGAAGAGAAAAGGGGTGAAGTACGCACTTATGAGTGAGATGTTTTGAGTAGGGCTGAGTGAAAAACCCCAAAATATGTTCGGAGGTACATGAGCAAACAACCCTTCCCTTTAGTCCTCGGTTTGGCTTTGCCAGACCCGTGGAGAGGTCTGCAGGAGTTGAGGTGGTGTAGAAGTACCAGCCGGCATTATTTTGGGGTGATTTTGAACCTGGCTCCTTAAAAAATTGTGTCCTTAAAAAATAATAATAAAAAAACGAAGGGTTCTGCTCTTCTTCCCCTTCTATTTCAATTGACCTTTTGTCTCTCTCTGTCCTCTTGTTCCCTTTTTTTCTGTCCTTTATTTCTAGCAAGACTGAGGACTGGGGTTATCTCAATGAAGATGGAGAGCTCGGCTTGGCTTATCAAGGTTTAAAGCAAGTTGCCAGGTCAACCGCTTTCTTTTTTCCCCCCTCTTCTTCCTCTCCCCCCTTTCTCTTTCCGTTTCATTTCTTTCTTTTCCTCTGCCTGTTGCCTTCTGTGGGAGCAGCTAGAGGGGGAATATATGAAAAGGGGAAGGATCTGAGACCCTCCTTTAATTTTTAAGAGGAGATTGTGGCTGAGCACAGCTCCTGGTGGTGGCTGAGCTCCCAGTTGGACTCATTGGGGCATGACTTGAAGCCTCCACATCTCCTGGGGATGCTGGTGCTTCTCAAAGGATCTCTTATACCCAAGCTGGTGGATGTTTGGGAACACAAATGGAAATGAAAGCAAGGCAGGAGGACTCATGGGGTCTTCTTCTGGTTCGATACAGTGCTCCAAAGAGCTAATAATTAGCTGTTAATCAGTCTATAGGGCAGTTAGGGGGCTCCAAATCCATGATTTTCATAAAAAACATTAAACGAGCTGATTGAAAACACTATTTAGAGGATAAGTCATAATAATCTTTTGTATATCATCTAAAGCAGTCCCATCTGGAGAGATCGGGGTAAAACCAGGCAATAACGGGAAAAATAAGCGATGATTTTTTTACTTTTCAAAGGAGGAGCCCAAGTTCATAGAAGGAACATGTTCTTGAGGGGTAGCTCATGGTTAAACCGAATGCACACGAAGAAATAAAGTGAAAATTAGATGCTTGATACTTTTTTCATAGCGGGCCTGTATTTTCCGAGCCTATTAAGGACATAAATCCTGACAACATGATTACAAGGCTGGGTGCGTTATTGTCTCTGTTTTCACAGTTGGAAAAGATCCTTTTGTATCTCTGGCTGGAAAATGGGGGTTGCAACTGGCTTAAAAAAAAAAAAAACAAAACAAAAAAAAACAAGCAAAAAAAAAACAACTGTAATAAAACCCTACAACGAAACACGCTTAATAAGGAAGTTCTGGGATTTTTTTCCCCCTTTCCCATCTTCTTTCAAAACTGTTTAATCTCCCGTAGAGTAAATGATAGATTCATGTGAGTTATAGCCATACTGCCCCCTTTTGTGTCATTTTTATAGGGAGGTTGACTGGAAACATCTCCCAACTTGGCTGATTTTGAAGGATCTTAACTCAAACGGTGTTTACTGCCACGATACCGAAATAAATCCCTGATGGCTTTGGTCCTTTTCTCAGGTTGCTGGAAGCACAGCTCCAGGATCAGAGAAGAGAGCACGAGGAGGAGGTGGAAGCTCTGCAAAACCAGGTGGAGGCGATGAAAGAAGAGATGGAGAAACAGCAGCAGGCTTTCCTGCAGACCCTGCAGCTCTCTCCAGAGGCTCAGGTGGAGTTTGGACTCCAGCAGGAAATTACACGGCTCACCAACGAAAACCTGGTAAGAGACTGCTGAAAAGAGACAGGAAACACGAAGGGGAGGCACCTGGGGGTCTTCCAACCCTCCTAAACCCTCTGCAGGCTCCTTCAGCATCTCCCCCTGGTGCTCTTTGGAGCATCCATACCCTTGAGCTGTTTGGTGCCCAAGGCTTTTATCGCTCCTGTGTCCTTTATTCTTTTTTTTCTGAGCCTGCCTACGTGTGGCACTGCCTACCAAAAGACACCGCTGAAGTTGCTGGTGGCCCCTCCGCTCTGTAATTAGGCACTAAGGCAACGTCAGCCTTTCTTTTTGCTTCTAGCAACACAATTTTCCTCTGTCAAAACACTCGTGTCGTGTGTTACTGATACACAGAGCAGCCCGTGAGCTCCTGGCTGCTAGTGACTCCAGCCTCAAACTCACCTCAGATGACTTGTGCTTGTTCTTTTTCCTTTTATCTTTAAACCCACTGCGTCTTCCGTTTTCCAGGATCTTAAAGAAATGCTGGAGAAGCTGGAAAAGAATGAGAAGAAGCTGAAGAAGCAGCTGAAGATTTACATGAAGAAGGTCCAAGATTTTGAAGGTGAATTGGGTGGGGGAACAGCGCTCTGCTTTGGCTCCTTGGAGGCTGCAGGTTCCCTTTCCTTCCCCCCGTTCTCTGTTGATGCTGTGATAAATCACAGAACCCCTAATCTCTGAAAACGAGGCATTAAGGGAAATTAAGCTGAAAAACTGGCGAATTTCCACGGCTGGCACAGCTGCTCTTTGTCAGTGTGCTTTGCATGCAGCCGGCTGATGTTTCCTCATATACATGCGTGCTGGTCTCTTCTGTTTTATTAACATTTTATGGGTGCACAGCGCTTAATATTGTGCCTGTGTAGTACTTAGTTCGGCTTTACAACCAGCCTGAAGCTGAGATGCTTAGGTATTTTTCATTGCCTGGCCTTTTTTTTCCTCCCCTTCCATGAAAATGATGCATCAAAAAGTTTCCCGTGGAGTTACCAGTTACCACCTTCTAACTGCAGCCCACGGTTCCTTGGAAAATAGCAACTGACTTCATCTTTTACTCTTTAGGTCTGACTTCTGGGCTCTTTCTTTCACTCGGTAGACTGGTAACTCAAGATTTTGTAACTTAGGACCCGCTTCTCTAAATTTTTATAGGTCTAAGTTAAAGGTTTTATTGGAAGCTTTCTATAAAACACATTGGTGCCTGCTCTAAGGCCAATGAATTTTGGAGGACCTGAGACAAGACAAAGCTTTACAACTAGTCCTTGGTCACCAGATGCTATGTTTCACCCTCATTTCACCCTCCTTTCTCCTTGCAGCATACCAAGCCATGGTCCCGGAGGAGAGGAGACAACACGAGCGTAACAGGCAGGTTGCTGTCCAGAGGAAGGAGAAAGATTTCCAGGGGATGCTGGAATATTACAAGGAAGATGAGCCGCTCCTCATCCGAAACCTCATCACAGGTGAGGAGTTTGCTCTTGTCTGGCTCCTCCTGCTCTCACCAGGGAGAATTTGTAAATTTGTCATCTCAAAACAGGCACGGTTTCTCCCCAATTAATCTTTCCCAGGGCTGCGTGTTTATGGTGATGACAGTTTTGGCAGGCAAAGCTGTGTGTTGCTTTACCAAGCAGTTACACCGGCATGGATACGATCCTATGGGGTAGAAAAAATGGAAAATGAAAAAAAAGGAGGCTGTAGATCTCAGAGCGGGCAGCAACTGGTGAGCTTGAGAGAGCAGCAGAGAGGGATGCAAGTTGCAGAGCCAAAATCTTAGCCTCCTCGGGGCAGGGGAAGAAGAGTTTGCCTGGGTACGTCTGCTCAGGTGTTTCTGCTTCACCTGGCATCAGCGAATTTTAAGAGGGTTTAAAAATCACTATCAAACCTTCTAGACCTCAAGCCCCAAGCAGTGGCTGCTACTGTTCCCTGCCTTCCTGCCTACATCCTCTACATGTGCATCAGGCACGCAGATTACATCAACGACGACCAGAAAGTGCACTCCTTGCTCACCTCCACCATCAATGGCATCAAGAAGGTGCTGAAGGTAGGCGTTGGCTTCCTCTGTCTTAAAATGGTTATAAACCGCGTCAAAATGTCGGATATTCAGCTCTCGTTGTGGTTTTGAGACCCAGTCATGCTTGAAACGATAGTTTCAAGATCTAGGTGGGGAGACCCCAACCCATTTTGTCTTTCCGTGCCAGCTGCCCCCGTTGAAGAAGGCTCTGATGTGTTTTTCGTTTTGCTCCCCCAGAAACACAACGATGACTTTGAGATGACGTCCTTTTGGTTGGCGAATACGTGTCGCCTCCTGCACTGTTTGAAGCAGTACAGCGGAGATGCGGTAAGGAGCTTGTAGCTGCCCTGAAATGTTTTGGCATTCCTGCCAGGGGTGGCATTCGGGTCCCCTGGGTCTTGTGGCTTTGTTCTGGCAACGATTTGGGGTCATTTCATCCTTTCTTCTACTTGGATATGACGTGAGGCTGCTCCTAACAGAAATTCATGGACAAGATGTTTAGAAGAAGAAACCAGCAACCTCGTAACCTGCATTTCCAGGACGATACCCAAAAAACCTTTGAATTTCAAAGCCAGTTGTGCTATTTGATCTGTCAGAACAGGGGATTTCCTTCTGGTAGGCTGCTCTTGAAGGCTGTTTCCCTCAGTTTGGTCGGCCCCACAGCTTTTCTTTAACCAAGACTTTCAGATGAGGAAAAACGTTCCAAATCTTGCAATATTTTTGTGTTTCTATTGCTTTTTCCTATTCAGCTAGTTCAAAATAACAACACTTAATCACACCGTAAGATTTCAGAAGGAAATCCTCTCATTTCTTGCCACCGCCGTGTTTCACGTTTCAGTTCTTTCCTTTGTTTATAGCCATACCTGATCCCTTCTGACAAAATCAGATCATCACAGTCCTCGTGGTACGTTACACGCCGCCATCCTTATAGCCGTGCGCTGTTGGTGTTAAAACTTGTAGCATCCCCCAGTGCTGTAGTTTGTCTTTCAGTCGTGACTCGTGCTAGATGCATTGAGCAGTCAAGCTTTAAGAATAAAGATAAATTGTGAATTTAAAGCAAAGTTGTCATGCAACCAAATGAAAACTTCAGATCATTCACATCATGATGACCTCTGGTCCTCTGGGCCTCTGAGGTTTAAATGAAAGAGTGAAATTCTTTAGTTAATACTCAATTTATGCTCTAGTTTGCCCTCTTCTGCCTAGAAAACAACATGACATTTAAACAAAATCCTGTTCCAGAAAACAGCAGGGAAGAAAAAAAAAACACTTTAAATTTAACATTTTTGCCATGATTTGCTGGGTCAGCTGAAGCAGCTATTTACAAATCCTTTTAGTATAACCCTGAGTTTGAAATCCACCTGATTTTTTTTTAAAAAAGCACTCCTATTAGTCAGGAAAACTGATGTGTTTTGAGTTGATTTTAGGATTTGCATATTGTATTTCTGCATTTTGCCAGTCAGCAAGCAATAAAGCGGTTGCATACCTCTTGCTTTGACCCCAAAATTGATACGAGCATATAAACAGGCAATTACAGTGGCTGTGTTAATTACATAACTGTGTCACATGTGCCTCTGCCAGCAGAGTTGGCATTAACGTGTAAGCCCAGAACTCAAGGCTACAGCTTCCATTTGTGGCACCAGAAATCTGCTGTGTTTTTGGCAAAAGGCAGGGAAAAAATCAGCTACGAGGGAGATTTCGGAGCTTCAAAACAGTTGAAAATGCTGTCAATAAACAACAGCACCTGCTTGTCTTTTTCTTTAATTATTTTGCAAAATTTTGGCCTCAAAATAATCAGTCTCTCACAAATAATTGCGACTCCCAGGAAGCAAATGGATTAGAAAAAATGTTTCTCAGGGGACTGCAGAGTCGCTTTTAATTTCATTTCTGTATTGAAATTAATCCAGATGTGGTTTTCCTTGCTGAAGGTAAAATGAAAAAGTACCATTTAACAATGCTTTTTTGGCCCTCCTAGTTGTAATTTATGACTGAGATAATCGCAGGTGATTTATGACTCTTGATTTTTTTCTATAATTGAGTTTAGAAATGCCCTCTGGTAACATAGCTGGACGTGTTATGCTCTAAGGTGTTTTGTATTCATTAATTTTTAATATTTACGGTTATTTTATTGGACTGCAGAGGGCTGGAATAACAAAACCGGCTGTTTTCATCTTCTTCTCAGGGTTTTATGACGCAGAACACGCCGAAGCAGAACGAGCACTGCCTGAAAAACTTCGACCTGACCGAGTACCGCCAGGTGCTGAGCCATCTCTCCACCCAGATCTACCAGCAGCTCATCAAGGTGGCGGAGGGCATCCTGCAACCCATGATCGGTAAGTTCCCCAAAACGTTAGCTTTTAGGAGCATTTTTTTCTGCCGTTTTGGTTGTTTTGATTCAGTTCTATACCCCACGAGTGTTTTGCAGACCTTTGTATGGTGCTAGCAAGACTTGTCCCCAAAGGAAAAGCCTGCAGCAGGCAACAGAGGTGTATGGTAGGGAAGGGGAAAAGAAAAAAGTGTTGGCTTGGAGCAGGTCCTCGTGTTTGCAGTGACCTGGAGTGGAAGAAGCAGACCTGAAAATAAGAATATGTACTTGGGAGGAGTTATTTTTTTCCCCCAGTGATGAAAAATTGCTCCTTTCTTTCCGTTTGGGAGGCAGGGACAGAGGGGAGGTAGCGCTGGTGGTTCTCTATGAATGGTCTTCCACTGCAGGTTTGTGGCTGAGCTTTTTGTGGGTGGAAAAACTTACAAGCAGAGAGGAAAACAAATGAAAGAAGAGGATAAAGAACATCTGGTTTGCTTTGCGAGGGCGAATCAGTATGAGAAGGGTCATCTCCTCAGCTAAATCTGGCCTCCTCCTCGCTGAGCTCGTGGCGGGGGCTGTTCTCAGCGCTTTCCAGCTCACAGCTGCTGGTATTTTCCTCGAGCTCACAGCCTCGACCCCTCTATAGCTGGGGCTCTTTCTCTTTGCCCTCCAACATCTGCATATTCCCTGCTCCTTGCAGAAAGTTGTCGTGTTCGCACATCAGCTAGCCAGGCTAGCAGTACACGGATCTGTTCTCCTTTCAGACCTCTAGGGATTATGAAACGCTCATCTCCGCTGTTTTTTTCCCCCTTTTTCAGTGTCTGGGGTGCTGGAATATGAGAGCATCCAAGGGCTTTCGGGAGTGAAACCGATGGGCTACCGCAACCGCTCGTCCAGCATGGAAGACGGCGACAACTCCTACAGCTTAGAGGCGATCGTTCGCCAGCTCAACACCTTCCACACCACCGTGTGTGAGCAGGGCCTGGACCCCGAGATCATCCAGCAGGTCTTCAAGCAGCTCTTCTACATGATCAACGCCGTTGCCTTGAACAACCTCCTGCTGCGGAAGGACGTCTGCTCCTGGAGCACGGGCATGCAGCTAAGGTGGGCCGAGGGATCGGGCTCGGGGTGGGCCTGCTCAAGAAAATTTTGTTGATTTTTTCTTTGATTTGGTAAAGGGAGAAACTTGGCATTCAGCTTCTGGAGTTGGCCTAAGTGCAAGGAATAAGCAGGAGTAGCTAAAAGCTGACCCCTGCAAACCTGCCAGAAACAGCTCATCAATATTTATGAGGATAAATCTTCTCACTGTAATAAAACTTCCTCCTCGCTGTAAATGATTTAAACCTTTCCTTCGCCAGCCTTTCCCCACCCCGCAGGGGATTCTTGGCATGCTGCCTTTCAGCCCGAGAGTGGGTGCAGACAGATATTGAGCTTTGCTCTGGTTGTCTTATGCCATGTGAATCACAAACATGCATCCAAAATCCTGATATACCAACACTGCAAGACACCCGTAAGCCTCGTGAGTGATTTCTGAGATGTTACGTCTCATCCCTCAGCTCGATTCTTCTCTTTGTTGCATTCCCCCAGGTTTAACATCAGCCAGCTGGAGGAGTGGCTGCGTAGCAAGAACCTGCAGCAGAGCGGAGCCCTCCAGACTCTGGAGCCCTTGATTCAGGCCGCCCAGCTCCTGCAGCTGAAAAAGAAAACGGCGGAGGACGCCGAGGCCATCTGCTCCCTGTGCACAGCGCTCACGACGCAGCAGGTGGGTACAGATTTGGGTACTGTATTTCATCACTTTTGGGCAGATTTCTCCCAATTCTGCTTCTCAGTGAGGTCACGGGAGGTTTGCTCCCGTGACAAAATGTTAGTGGTGGAAAATTTCGGCTTCTTACCATTGCCTGTAACCCGATTTTGTTTCCGACAGATCGTGAAGATCCTTAATCTCTACACTCCTGTGAACGAGTTTGAAGAACGGGTGACAGTAGCTTTCATACGAGACATACAGGTAAAGCAGAAGGCTATGAAATGGAGGAGACAAAAATGATTTAATATACATGTTGTTGGGAATAAATCAGGTGTTTTGTAACAGCTCTGCCTGCTGAATGTTGTCCTGAACTTAGTGCTGCTGTTGCTTACTTGCAACACCCAGCTTCAGGGTCATCCAGGCTGTTAATCACGAAGGGCTGAAGACCAAGATAAGCAGCGAAATTCCCAGCTCAGACCATTTTGGGGCACGCTGGGATGCGTGGTAGCAAACAGCACAGGCCCACGAGAAGTTTTACTGGTGCCAGCGCGATTAGACCCTTTATTAATAAATTTATTTATAATTTTAAAGGGTTTAAACGTCTGTTTTCTTCTTCCACCTCCTAGACACATTTGCAAGAGCGAAACGACCCCCCGCAGCTGCTGCTAGACTTCAAGCACATGTTCCCCGTTTCAGTTCCCCTTCAACCCTTCCTCCATAACGATGGACACCATTCATATTCCGGCTTCTCTCGACTTGGAGTTTCTCAATAAAGTCTGAAGAAAGCCAAACCTAAAGCCTTCGCTCGTACCTAGAGGCCTCCAGCAAAGAAGGAAGAATCGCAGAAGAAACGCGAGGAGCTCTTTAAATATGGACCAAACAGGTTTATGGAAGAGCCGATACAGAGTAATAAACGGATGCTAAAGTGTACAGTAAAAAAAAAGAGACCGATCTGTATGATTTTTTGGGTAATTTACAGCTCGGAATGAGGATACTTGAAATGTAGATTTATTTTTTACTGCTCGATTTTATGTTGGCATAGTTCGAAGCCCGTAACAACCTCCAAAAGCCACTGAGAAAAAGAACGGTGAGGGGGAGACCACGTATTTTGCTCTTCATAGGTGTCTGTGAAGGAATGACAGTGAAAAACTAAATCTGAGACACTTAGGCTACCTTCAAGGACGCGTGGTTTGCCTAATAACTAGCTGGTGTGGATGTGCTAATAACGGAGAGATGCAATTCTGTCGCTTCTTGCTTGGAGCTGTGTTGCAAAAGTGATTTCAGAAGGTGTAAATACGTACCTGTGACGCAGGCTGAGGTCGCACGTGTTTCCACTGCTGTGTGATTTGTCACAACGATTGAGAAATTGTGTTATTTGAACTCCGTATTGTGCATCTCTGACTTACCTGCTTCAGAGGAGTGAAATAAATGGGCAGTTTGGCATCTTTTGCACAGATAAGACATGGCGATGCAGCCCAGTTTGATAATTAGGTCCTAAATCATGTTCAGTGGATTAGTCCTAGCCATAGCAGTCAATGGAAAAATTCCGTGTGATTCAAGCAATGTTTTAACACACAAAAAAAGAGTAAAATGTAAAATATATATAATTGTAAACCGGTACGTTAGTGATGTAAGCCAATTCTTGAAGAGTAAACAAGAAGATTTTGATCCTACAGCCTTAAACTGATCAAAACAGCAAGCAATCTGAATTCTAACCATTAGGATTTGTTTGTGTAGCTTAGAAATTAAAACAAGCAAACCCTCTGACCTCCCCAGGTAGGCACTGAGAGGGGACAGCTACTCACAAAAGCAGCAATTGAATTTTCTCAGTACGAGAAAGCATAAAACCACCAGGCTTTCAGGAAAAAAAAAAAAGGTTAAAGTTGGGTTCCTGGGGCTGAGTGATGCTGTAGAGCAATCCTGAGTGCAGTCAGGCCACGAATTAGGACTACACTGGTCTGTGGGGTGATCCTTCTGCCATAGCTCAGCGTGCCAAAACGCAGCCGGGAGATTTGGAAGCAGCGAAAGCCCTGCTCATCTTCATGTCGTGAGCATTTTTGGCCTTTCCACTTCCATCTATCTACGTAGATGTGAACTTCTTTGCTTTTGTGGTTGCCGTTTCTGTAGTCTCAGCGCTTCTGTCCCAATTTAAGAGCTTTCAAAAAACCTCTCTGCACCTAACTGCGTTTAGTTGGTCTAAATCACATCCAAACAGTGAATTTCTGATCGGGTATCCTGTCAGCTGGGAGCATTAAAAATAGAATGTAAAGCCTCTTAAAGATTCACGACGCCGAAACCTGCCGTGCTGCAGGCACCTTTTGAGAGAAGGTGTGTGTTTTGATTTAAACACCGTGTATATAATCGATGTATATACAAATTGTAATAGAGCTGTATGTACTATATATGTATATTACTATCAAAAAGCACATTTTTAAAGGAAAAAAAAAAAAAAGAAAAGTTGAGTGCTGTTAAGAAATACATTGGTCTATGCCTGTGTTGTTTCAGATGGATGATGATTTAGTATGCCTGTTACCAGTGAAGGACAGACTTAAGGTCATTCTCTAGGGAGAAGTTATCTTTCCTTCTAACCATCACCCAGCTAATTACTGAAGAAAATTGATTGCTTGGATAGTTACCAGCACTACCTCCAACCTACAGCCCTTGAGCATTTGCATCCACGACGTTTATTCAGTAGTGCCTTCATCTCCCCTTCGATCACGATGAGGATGACACCACCATTTTGCTGTGCCACTTGCTCATCTACAACACTTTTATTTATTGTACCTACCTCTTTCCACATTTTTCAGATGAATGTGTTTTTGTTTTGTTTTGCTTTGTTTTGTTTTCTTTTTTTTCAGTGCTCTGAATTTAATTTTTCATGCTGTTTTATCCCTTTTTCCATCCTCAGAATCACAGTATATATATATAAAAAAAAAAAATCAAAGCAGAATTTAGTCTTTCCATCAGTGCTATTTCTCAGAATTCACCTTAGGCCAGCAGTTTCCTCTCAGGCTCTTCAGGTCTCTACCTTTCTTTGCTGTAAATTATTCAGGGTACGATTCCCAACAGCCTGATTAAACCAGTGCTCATCATTCAGACTAAATGACAGGTTGCTGCAGCATCCTCTCCTGCAATGATTTTGCTACCGATCACAGTCACAATCGTGGTTAATGCTCTTCTAGGGGATAGCGGTCTTTCACTGGCTTTTTCAGGACCAGAATTTATATGTACAACAAAGATTTTCTTAAAATAACAGCAAACAACAACGACAACTCTCAGTATGTACAGATAGGAACTGGGATGTGATGTCCTGGTCTGTAATAACGTAGCTTACCCATTAAAATCCATCTGGAAGAGGACTCCGCTAAATATCTTGAATATATTTTTTATCTTTTTTCAGTTTGCACTTTTTAAAATTTATTTTTAAATATTGATTTTTGTTAAATCACTGTGTTCGAGCATGCCTTTCTTTTCCTCAGATGGGCGCTTCTTTATTTAAAGGATACGTTCAACGCAAAGCCCGGCTCTCAGAAAGCTGGCTGCTTTCCAGGTCCGCCTTCATTTTGAAATATTGATTCTGAAGTCGAGCATTTTCCCTACTGTGTGCCTTTAGCTGTTACTAAGGTAACTGACTTCTCAACCACTGGTAAACTGTGGGAGGTTTTTGATATTATTATTATTATTATTAGTCTGCCACAAACAGTTTTCTGTGGATTTATAAGTCCACTTCTAAAATCTCTCTGAGAAGGTCTACAAAAACACTTAAGAAGTTCCTAAGAAAAGACATATTGAACCGTATTGATTTTTTGCATGTATAATGTACCTCAGATAAAACACTACTGGCAGTTAGAAAAAAAACAAAAAACAACAATTTAAAAACAAAATACAAACTACACACACCACCACCGAACCAACACCTCAAACCCAAGTTCAGGTTTGTGCTGTCTGACCTGTGAGAAGTGTCTAGGCCAAAATACACATTTCATTTCCAGCTGAAACTTGACTTTATTTTATTCTTTTTACTTTTTCTTTTACTGGCAGTTCTGTAGCTGAGGCTGCTTATCTTTCAGCTCGTAAGGCTGTTGTAGTTGACTGTAGAAAAGAACATTAAACTTAATGAGAATTAAGTTATTGGAAATAATTTATGCAAGTGTAAATCAAACATTTTTTGTTCATACTTTATCATACTTTGTTCATAATTTATCTAACGGCACTTCTACGAGTGAAACAACAAAATGTGGGTGTGCTGCAGAGTTTGAGCATACACGGTGGCTGCTACCTTTCCTGGTGACTTGAACGTTGAAATCACAACCTGTCTAAAGCCTTTGCAATGTCTAACCCCTCAATTTGTGGCTTACAAAAGATGCAAGTGTCAGGGATGCACTTGAAACAGCAGGTCCTTTTCCTCTTTTCAACCATAAATGAGCAAGATTATGCAAGCTCCTTCTTCCAGACCGTTTAACTGAAAAATTAACATTTTACCATTGCATCTAAGTATGATAATCTAATTAAAAGGAATTGCATGAACTGCCATGAAACCTATTCCTTCAGCTTCATTGATTCACATATATTACAGCCATAAATTATTTTTTTCCTGAAAAAAAAAAGTTATAGCACTGTAGATGTTCTTAAAATAATCCAGAGGACCTATGCCCCGACAAGCATACAATTTATTTCAAAAGGTAAATGCCAGTGGACTAAGGCTTTCAAATTAAGTTGAAATTAAAAGAAAACAAATTATAAAAAATATTTCTTATTATTATAGTGCAATATCTATTTTTGGGGGGGTTGGGGTGAAGTCTAATTACCTTAACAAGCAGAAGGTATGGCTGCTCTAAAAGAAGTTGAATGATACACAGGAGCGATGAAATACTACTGCTTATAAAATATTTTTCCATTTTGAACAAATCTGTAAACTACACCTTTGTTTATAGGAAAAATGCTTGTAATAGTCACTGTAATATTCAGCTGTGGATAAGAAAAAAATGTGAAATAAACACTTTTGAAGAAATCGTGACTTGGTTGAAAATGGGCTGTGTTAAATACACATTTCAGGTATTTGCTTCATACATTGGAAACTGATATTTCTAATTTACAAACACAGAGAGTCTGAAACCTTTTATGTGTGACTTCAAAAGGTTTAGAAGTTGTGACAACTTTAGAGATGTTTACATATTTTGAGGTAATTAGAAGCCAATTGAGTGTGAAGTATTATGGCCTTGTAAACCCATGCAGAGGAGCTGAGGCAATGCCAGCCCTTGTGTATGTGAAGTGAGACAAATCAATGGCAAAGACAGAAAATAAAGTATAACATTTTTTTTTTTCATTTTTGCTGTGTTTTTCCCCTTTACTCCCCCTTTTTTATTTATTTTTTTAAGGTTAGGTTACAGGTACATTCACTGGTCTCCAGGTTCATTAAACCATTGGAATTACGTCGGCAAAGCAGTTGAAAGACATTCTGAATACAAAATGCAGTTTTCATGGGGAAAATCTAGAAGAAAAATGCTTTAAATTCCTTCACTGAAGGAACATATGGCATGTTTTTGTTTGTAATACAGCATTTTTTATCGATCCTCCCTTTGACAGCCTGAGGTGTTCCACCAACCACCACACTTACTACACCTCAGCGTGTCTTTCTAAACACTAGAAATTTGTGAGGTGCTTTTGGGGGTATAACCCACCCCAGGTGGGAAAGTCGAGGTGTAGAAAGGGAGAAAACCGGGATGAAAAACCCTTTATTCTCCATGTAAAGCCACCAACATGGGCCAAAAGACAGGGCAGCCCCCGGGGGCCCCTCACGGGGCCGCCCGCCATTTTGTGCCACCACCGATCCGCCTCAGGTCGTCCCCCCCCCGCTCCCCTTTTCCTAAGCGCAGGGGACGATGAGGAGGGGAAAAGTCAAATAAAGCTAAAGTAAAATAATTAAATCAGCCAAAAGCGGCGCCTGCGCGGAAATGCATCCAGGCGCCTCCTCTATTGGCGTGGTGAAAATGCGAGCGGGGGGGACGGCGCTGCCAGAGGGCGGGCGCGGAGCGGGGCGGCCATGGCGCTGCTCAGGGGTGAGTCGGGTTTGTGGGGTCTTTGTGGGGTCCCCTCATGGTCCTGTCGGCCCGGGGAAGCCCCTTGCCACCTGGGGGGGCTCCCCAAAAGGGTCTGGGGGTCGGTGTCACCGGCTGGCCCCGCTGCCCTGCCCGAGGGGGCAGCGCGGGGGTGCAGCAAGGGCTGGGTCCCTCAGCCCCTGGGTGGGTTGTGGGGTTGGCAAAAAAAAGGGAAAATGGTATTTTTGAGCCCCTTTCTGTCTGCGGAGGGGGTGGTGGGGTTGTGGGTGTTGGTTGGTTCTGTGGGTCTTGCTTGGGTTTGTTTTGGTTTCTGCAGTTTTTCTCCTTGCTGTCTTGTCTGTCCTGTGTCAGCAGTGGATAAACGCCTGGAAATAACATTAATATTTCAAATAAAGCCTAGAGAGCTGGCACAGTTCTGCTGATCTGCAGACCTGTGACGGAATTATAGTGTGTTTAACTTTGTGTAGGGCTGGAGGCAGCACACAAACCTACACGGAGGTCCGTGAAGTAACAGCGCAGGTTGTAAGCTCCTGCAGCTCTGACGAGAGTTTTGTGTAAAGAACTATTTCTGTGTAGTTTAAACCTTATGTCTTCCACAAATAAGGTAAACGAGGTCTGTAGGATCCAAGCTTGCTTAAAAACAGAATTGAAATGTGTTGAAATAAGGCTGTGTGGCAGTGCTTTGCTGCTTGGTGGCTGTATTTATATAATAACACACAGGTAAGCCATAGTTGGAGGTTTTGGTGCTGAAAGCCTCAAACTGAAGCTTTTTAGGCCATCAGAATAGGATCTGGAGAAGAAATATTTTCATACCGAGTGCACTTAAGAAGTGTTGGAGGGTTAGAGAAGGCTTCACGTCTGTGTCTGATTTTGGCAGAGGGTTGTTAACAAAACCAGATTAAAACATGTCTTGAACTGAGTGTTTGATAAGAATTCCTGGCTGCCTTCACTTTCTAGTCCCAAAGCTTTCCAGATCCATACAGATTTGGTAATATTCCGCTTTCATCACGCATTTATCACCTTGGGAAACAGCAGAGAGTGGCAGTCTTGCTGTGGTGATGTAGGACAGCGCTAATTAACGGGGACTTAAGAAGAGCTAATGAAAGGCAGGGCTCTTTCTCACAGGACTTCGTTTACCTCTTGCCATCCCTGCTTTGGCCCCGTGGTGCTGTGGGGACGACGTGGGCAGCAGGCGAGCGGTCGGGTTGGAAGAGAAAACGCTGTTGTTGTCAACTGAAGGTTGAAGGGCAAAGTTCTGCCCCACCCCGGGCCTGTTTGTAAAGCTGTCTCGTGTGTGATTCAGCAGATAAAGCGGGCAGCCGACCTCCTGGTCAAAAGGGAGGGGAAAAACTCTTTGAACCAGCTTGGTCGGGTCCTTGACCTGGTTCACAGCAAAGCCTTGCAGCTAAGCACTAATATACTAAATGTGGCTGTTTTCCATAATGATAAATCAGTTAAAGCATCCTCATCTTTGTTTAGAACAAAAACACCTGTAGGGGTTCATATTTTCCATCTGTTAGTAGTTTTCAGATCTTTTTTTTAAATAAAATCCACATGTACAAGCTAAGTAAAAAACTTTGGGTCAGTGGATTTCATTCAACAGGCATTGATGCTTATCCCTGAAGCTGCAATTCTTGCTCAGGGGATTGCCCAGCTGGTTTTCAGAGCATAAGCACTGCCTGCTTCGGGTCGCAGCATTGCATTCAGGTACCCTTGTAGTGGAGTGAGCTTGACCTTCACGAGTTTGGAAGTCCTTCCCTGGAAATTATGCAGCCTGGGGTCCTGCGTAATCCACGGACACAAGAGATGGAGGAGCACCAAACCGGCCAAAGATCGTGCAGCCTGTAACAAAACCTGAAAGCAGTCAGGATGGTGGTCACGGGCAACGTAAAGAACACACGTTTTTGTTTGCCTTCATCCTTAAATCTGCACGTATCCTTCCAGCCCTGCTGAAAATAACAGTGGGTGTTTCGTGGCAGCTGCAGCAAAGGCGCGTGAGCTCTGGCGTTCAACTGGGGGAAAGTTCACAGCCTGCCTCCCTCTTGTTCCGACACGTGGAAGCAGAGAGCTGCTGTGCCAAGCACTCAGGACACGTTCTGTAGGGTGCAGGGCTTTGCTCGGGCTCCAGTCCTCTTAGGCTCCTTCTGGCCAAGGTGTTTGTGCTCCTTCACAGGCTCCCCTTCCTATTTAAAACTGGATTTTCTTAGAAGTTGGAAGGCTGGTGCTCATACAGCTTAGATGACCTATATTAATTATGGAAATATTACATTTTGGATAAGAGAATGTTTTTTCTCTGGAGTTAAAGGAGTCAAATTCAAAACAAATATAATTTATTTATTTTTTTAGCTTTGCGAACAAGCCCCAAATTTCCTGATTTTTATAAGACAGGAAGTGGCCTTTTTTATTTGTAAAAGAGCAGTTCCTCATCGGACAGATTATTTCACATGTATAAAGTGTGGGTTTTCATGGAAGTTCCTTTTATGCTTTTAGTGCCCTGTCACTAATATCTGGTGGAGTGCAGGCAGCCTCCTTTGTCTGCCCCATATCCAAATTATCTACTTTTTCCAAATCTTTTATTGGAAAGGAGGTGTTCCAGGAGTCTTCTAGCTTTTTTTTTTTTTTTTTTTCTCTGACCATTATTTCTGACATATTTTTCTTGTCTAAAGTCTTGCTGCCTCCTGTGTCTTACTTGTCTTGAGCTGCTTGGTTTCATGCTGTCTTTTAGGATGAACATAGGATTAGGATATTGATAGGATTTATGATCCTGGATCGTTCTTCCTTCTGTTGCAGGTGTCTTCATCGTTGCGGCGAAGCGAACTCCTTTCGGGACCTACGGGGGCTTGCTCAAGGACTTCACGGCCACCGATCTGACCGAACATGCCGCTCGGGCTGCCCTGGCTGCTGGCAAGGTCTCCCCTGAGATCATCGACAGCGTCATCGTTGGCAGCGTCATGCAGGTGGGTAGCAGGGAAAACTCGCCAGCCGGGGATTATTTCAGTCCTCTTCGGTGTGATCCTATAGATAGCTCCCTCTGTTTTGCAGCCAAGAATAAACCACAGGGGTGGAAATGGAAGGGGTAAGTAGCACTCGTAGTGTAGCGTTTCCCGTGCGTGTTTTAGGGACGTACCCTGCATGATTTGTGACGTGACTGGGAGCAAGGCTTAGATTTCTTTTAATTCCACAAAAATAGTTGAAATCAGGTGAGGCTGTTCCAAAAATACAGGTTCATTACACGGCCAGATGCTAATCCCTGTTACATTTTTCCTGTTTTAATGTCTTATATCATTAAATCATTGATGAATTTACACTTGATTATATAAATCCCATTTTTTCTAGAGGCTGGAACTGATTTGGGCCCATTTCCCTCGAGCTTTTTAAAGAGATTTTTTGGAAAATGAATGAGTTTACTTTCAGCGAGAAGGACGCACACCTCGTCTGACTGTCCAAATATCTCTGCCATAGCTTTTACAAGGAGATTTTGATGTGAATGCTGCAGGATCTGTAGCCAAAAGAGTAGCTTTTGATTCCTCTATCAGCCACGGCTACCAACTCGGTTTCTTTTACTCAAATGTCTGGGCTTTTGTAAGAATTATTCATCAAAAAACACGACAAGTTGCTTCATCAGTGTAATTCATTTTCACACAAGGAACAGCAGTCTTTTCACACTGGAATTCTATTTCTTTTCCCCATCTCCCCCCCACCCTGTAAATTTTTGATTTTTAGTCTATTTTCTACTTGGTTAAGTACATAAGTAACTGTGAACAGGCTATTTTCAACTCCCCTTCTTCAGCAGAAATGGCTTAGTTCCACGTTTTTTTCACAGTTTCCATTGTCAGGTAGCGTTGTGCACAGAATCATGTGTTTATAACACACGTTAGCTTATTTTTTTAAATTTTTTATTTTTATTTTTTTATTTTCTTCTGCCCGCAGAGCTCTGCGGACGCTATTTACATCGCGC